TGATGGAATTCAACCATTTGGAAGTAAGGTTTCAGATTTTTTTTGTTTTGTTTTAATTTTCCGGTAACTAACGTGCAATAGGGTTGGAAAGCAGTGGCTTATGTCAGTTGTTCTCAAAACGTGGTCCCATACCAGCAGCATCTGCTTTTCCTGGAAACTTGTTAAAAATGCTAATTCCGTCTGCACCGCAGCCTACTGAGCCTGAAACCCCATTAAAGGGGCCCAGATATGCCTGTGAACAAGGCCTCCAAGAGATTCTGCTGCCCCGTAACGCTCGAGAGCCACTGGTTTAAGGCATAAGGTTAATGCAGAAAGCAAGTCCGCTTTAGGTGACCCGTGACTATAACTGCACACACACATGAATAGGAAAGGTGCGCTGAAAAGTGTGGATAAAGTGGCACTAATTGAATTTGGTGGTCGTGTTACAGATGACTTGCTTTTACTTTTCAAATGTTTAGGAATATCCCTCTATTGCATGTATAGAGAGAGCACCATGAAGAATGTAGCGGGAGGAATGGCTCTTGCTTGGACAGGCCCAACACGGCGGGTTTCGCCCGAGGACCTGTAGCTGCTGGGGGGGAGGAGGGATTAGCCTGGCCCGGCTCTCAGCCCGGGTCACTCATTACAACCACCTGGGGAGGTTGTATGACGAATGGTGCCTGAGGCCCACCACAGGGAGTTGCGTCAGAACCTCTGGAGAAGGGGTCAGGGAAAAGCGGAAGCAGATAGATGGACACATGGACCAGCCTCCCCGGGTGATTCTCATGTACAGTGAGAATGGAAAGCCTCCCTCTGCCCTTGGGATATTAAGAAAAGCAGGTTATATCCAAGCACCTTCCGAGGTCAGCATGTGGGAGTCTGGGAGCTTCCTGAGGGTGAGGCACAGCCGCTCTGCCAGGGGACAGCCTTGCCCCCACAGCAGCAGAATGGGGGGTCCGCATGAAGGTCCGATCAGACAGCTAAGGGTGAGTCCAGACTCTAATGACCTGTGGGGTGACAGAACCAGCAAGAGTCTCTCCATACTTCAGTTTTCTCACTTGTCAAATGGGCTTAATGATATTGCCTACCACACAGGTCATTGGGAGGACTGACTGGGCAAGTACATGTAAAATTCTTAGGATAAGGCCTACCGTGTGCCTCATACCTGTTAGCTCCTCTGTCCCTTGCTCTTGTCCTCATTACTGTTTGGACCCTCCAGGGCCTGCAATCCTGGTTTTTGAAGAAATTGGGGGGTAGGACCCAGAACAAACTGATGCTTCTAAAATATCTTCTTCTCATGCATAGTTCTTAGTCTTTTCTCCTGTCCCCACTTCTCCCACTGGCCAGGGCTAGGGGCCTGTGGTGAGAGCAGTTGCATCCTTGAGTCTGTCATTCCAAGAACCCGCTAACAGTTTGTATCTGCATCCTCACACGTGAAACATTCCAGCCTCCCCATGTGTCAGGTGTGACCTGGGAGTGCATCTGGGTGCTGGGTGGGAGCGGCTGCTTTTTTTTTTTTTTCACTACAGAATATTCTGGAAGACCAAGTACATTTTTTTTGCTCGTCTCTCGCTGTCCTCCTTTGGGGGATGGTGGTGGTGGTGGTGGTGGTGTGTGAGTGTGAATGTGAATAAGCATGTGTGTGTCTAAGGGGGTTGGTCTTGTGTTAGGAAGGCCCCAGGGAAGGTGTGCACAGCTTTTGGCTCAGTAGAAACAGACACTGCTGCCTTGGCCGCTGTGATGTCGATACCAGAAAGGCTCCAGACACATGAGGGGGACACTGAACCTCCTCAGTGAAGCCTCCATGTCACTGTGCAGCTGCTTACCTGCTTGTGAAGCCCCCAGCATGTCTGTCTCCTCTGACATCCCCGCCATCCCAAGCTCTTCATTCCTCTGAGGCCAAGCCTGGAACTAGGGGATTTGCTCAGGTTCCTTGGCAGCCCAGCCCGCCCTGTGGTTGAGGAACACGGAATAGCACCCCTCCTCCCCCCTCCACTCCCCAACCCCAGCGTCCACTTGCTTCAGCATTTAGAGAAGCCAAGATCCACCCTCGGGGAGATCACAACCTAGTTGGGAGTTGTGAAGTCCGCACTGAGGGGGACACCCAAAACAGAACGTGGCAGTTCCCTAAAAGGGACCTTGAGCGCCGTGGGGGTAGAGAAGGGAAGGTCAGACACATTTTTTCTTGGAGAATCGGAGAAGGCATTGTTTGGAGGACATTCCCACCAAAGGAGTCTTTCCTGGCAGCTACACAGAGTCTTGGAACTGTGAGCTGTGCTTCAACAGTGGACGTGGGCGAGTGGATCAGCATTGGCTGGTAGAACTTCCACCCCTCTGGCTGGAAGGGCCCCTCTGGCTGCTGAGACCCGAGATCCAACTCTGCTGCAGGGCATTTGCCTTTGAAAACATGTCACTGGTCTTGGCTGAGGCCAGGCTGTGGGGTGTCAAGGAGGAGAGGGAGCAGAGCAGTTGGGCGCTTCAGGGTTAGGGCTGAGGACAGCTGGAGGGGAAGGAATCGGTGTTAGGTGGTGGGTGTTACCTCACTTATCCTACTCAGTCCTGTGAGTGGGGGGGAGGCCTTCTATTTCACAGCTGAAGAGACGGGCATGGGAGCGTGCGGTGCACAGAAGCACACAGGCGTGCGACTCAGAGCTGGGATTTGAATTAGGCTTGTCTGGCTATAGTTCCTCGGCCTTTACTCTCCGTGGATTAGGAGGGCATCTCCAACCGAGGGCCTTTCGTCAGTGGCGTAGAGTTTCTCTGGTGCCCGCTTGGTGCAACCTGGTGTGAACAGCAGTATTCCTTCTCCGGACTTCTGATTATCTGTGTTTACTCAGCCAACATTTTCACCTCCTTGGGCCTTGCTTTCCACCAGTAATATCTGATTGCTGACGAGGATGTCCCCTGGGGCTCCACTGACACCCTCGGCCTGGGACTTATTTTCTAGTCTCTTTTGGGGCAACTCTGCCCCCTCTCCCGGCTCCCCCCATCTGTATTTCCCAGTTGCTCAAACACACTCTTGTCCCATCATCCTGTCAGCTTTCCTTGCACATGTTTCTCCTGTGTTGCAGAATGCCTGGTGTCCTTGACAAGGACACACAATGACGGACGGGGCCTGGCACAGGGCCAGTGAGCGGCACCCAGTCATTTTGCTCCATCTGATCGGCTGTGGACATTTCATTTAAAGAATCAAGATTACGTAGCAGGCGCTGAGCACAGTCATCAGCCAAGGACGGCCACTCTTCATTTCAGACACTGCTTTTTTATAAAGGCTTTTTATATCCCACTTTCTTGGGAATAACTTTTTCTTAATTAAGAATTCTAATTTTAAAGTGAGCTCCGACCTATTTCCAAAATCATTCCAGTGTTTTGATTGCATTTCATGGGTGGAAATGAAGATCCTTTATTGTTTGCTATCTGTTGTCCTCCACAGCTAGTTGCCCATGGCAAACTGACACTTGATTGAAATCATAAATGGGTGTACCCTGCTAGAATATCAGTAAAGGTTTTTGGGAAGTCATATTGTGGTGCTAAAAAGGACTTAAGGCCCCATGAGATCTGAATCCTTCAGTGTGTTTCTGCATGGCTGGGGGCCGGGGTGAAATGGTGCTTGAAATTGAGGGGGTGGGCTGCTATCTTCACAGTGAACTCGAGGGAGGAAGCTCAGGGGACATAATGTCTCCTTTAGAATTTGGAGAATTCGGAGATTGGGACAGTCAGATATCAGAAGCTGTTTTATACCGAAGAGGATTATTCTGGGTGTTACCCTCAATGTCATATATGAGGTGCTGCATGCTTAAGGCCAGGTGAAAGGAATGGTCATCTCTATGAGCCAATAATAGGGCTAAAAAGCCTTCTCAGGTGCATAAGGAGATGTCCACACAATTGTGGTCTGCAAACCACTGAAAACAGCCTGCATGTTCATGCGTAGGAGACTGAGAGAACAATGAATAAAAGAACGGGTGCTGCATGTGAGAATATGGGAAAAAATATCAAAAATATAATGTTGGACCCAGATATTGCCAAATGATATTGTACAGTTTAATACTTACTATTTATGTAATGATTGAAAACAAATCAACATTTATATATTATTTATGGCTACAAACAAGTAGTGAAATACAATAAAAGGCAACTATAATAAAAGGAATGTCAAATGTAAGACCAGTGGTTCTGTGGTTAAGCATCAACCCATAAACAAAGAGGTCTTCTGTTCAATTCCTGGTCAGGTCACAGGCCAAGCTGTGGGCTCAATCCCCATTAGGGGTTTTGCAGAAGGCAGTTGATTGATGTCTCTCTCTTATGGATGTTTCTATCTTTCTATCTCTCTCCATTCCTCTCTAAAATTCAATAGAAACAAATTTTTAAAAAATAAATTAAAGAAATTTTTTTGAAAGAGTGGTAACCTCTGGGATGGGAGGGAAAATGAGATCTGGGAGGGGTTCACAAAGAATGCCTATGGTTTCTTAATTTTTAAAAAAGTAGATAGTGGCATGTACATATAAAAATATTATTCATCATTTTGAATGGCTGAAATAATTTTGTAATGTCCAAATTTGTTTTTAAAAAATGAAAACGGGGAGCATCAGTTCTAATCAGTTGGGCCAGCAGTTTGAATTCTGAGTAATTACTAACCAGATTTTCCCAGGGCTGATAAGCCTGAAATTTTGGTCTTCTCCCATCTCACCTCATCATGTGCATTGTGGCCACTTCATTGTCCCCCGAGTATTAGCACCAGTGGGGAAACAAAAGAAAATATAGACCCTCTAATTTCCTGCTTGCTTTAATGAGTGGGAGTAGGAATTATGCACTAAGGGAAATATTAATATTTTGAGATTGTTTTGTTCATTGATGACTGTGCCAATAGCCAAGGTTAACGGAGACAAACTTGAATTCTGGATAAATCCACAAGAATCATATCAAACCATAGGGGAAGGGATAAAATGCCACTGTGCAACCTGCCCCAGGGGCGAGATTTTGATGGTCCTGTTTTGAAATCGGTGTTTGCTTTGCATCAACAGCATGGCCGGACCCCGCTGCATCTCGCTGCCCATAAAGGTCACCTTGCTGTGGTCCAGATCTTGCTGAAGGCTGGCTGCGACCTCGATGTTCAGGACGATGTGAGTAGAAGCTACCATTCTATCGGGGTGGGTTTTCAGAGGAGCTTGTCTGCCTAGAGATCCACAGAACAGCACGTACCAGCTGTGAGGAGGGAGGGGAGGACACGCTCTTGAGCATCTTCTATCAACGTCTTGGTCCCCATGGTGGGAAGAGCTTACTCTTGACCTATTCTGGGACCCATTCTCAATGGCAAATTAGAGTTTGGGAAGGTGTGCTAACTTCCCATCATGGTTCATTTCCTATCAAGCATCATTCAAGTACAGAGCTTCAAAGGGCGTTTTGTCTGTGTCCTGTCTCAGATTGAAGGAGCCCCACATGCACACACACACACACTCACACACACACACACACACACACACACACACACACACGTGAGTATTGACCAAGCTTACCATTGGAGGAAAGGTGGGCTTAAAAACTTATTTTATTCCTTTTCTCACCTTGATTTCTCTGCATCAGTGTACATTTAGTTTAAATCAACCTATTCAAAGAAAACAAACTGATCTCTAAGAAAAAGGAGGCCTCCAGATAGAGCTCTCTCTAGTGCTGACCATCATTGAGACTCAGCCTCTGAGTCTCTTCACTCAGATTATCTGTAGAGGCTCCAACTGGCTCCTTTGGGGTCACGTATCCATTTCTGAGCCAATCAACAGTGGTGGGGTAGGGTCACGTAGTACCTGGGGTGCCCTATCGGGCCTTTGGGAAAGATGGCTTCTCTAAGAAGGGGATCTAGAAAAGATTATGTAAATTGTTCTCCAGTTAACTATTAGGAAAAAGTCCTATGATAATGTGACTGGAAACTGTTTCTAGTTCTGTTTCCAGCTCTAGTTTTTGCAGTGGGACGCTAAGGAATAAGCCCTTTTGTAAGGAACACAGCATCTTGGAGAGTCTGCGCTCATAACATCTTCCAGAATCACCTTTAATAACTGCAGTTACAGAGTCTGAGCACCGTTGAGATCCTCAGGCATGCCCGGGTGTACATTACCAAAGGCTTCTAGTTTCCTTTGGGCCTCTGTGGAATGTTCTAAAATTTGGCAAACAGAAATAACTAAGTGTGTCGTTGCTTTATGATGGGCAGAAGGCTGTGCAATGTCAGATTTTCATAAATATCTGGTTATATTTGGAATCTGTTGAGTCATCAAGAACATTATTTTCAAAAGATACTGATTTAGTTTTAAGCTGTTGATATCCACCTTGGGCCATAATGCTTTTTAAAAAATATTTTCCCATACTGTAGCCATCACTGCATTCATGATTCCATCACCTCCTTAGGTGACAGCAAAAGTACCAGGAGAGAGAAGGGATTCTGACACAGAAAAGGCAGGCCTTGGAGTTGCTGGTGCACACATCTTAGGGTGATTAAAGCCCTTGCTTGTCACGGTGGCAAGGCTGCCATGCCAGGCTGCTGACCTAACCCAACCCAGCACTCTTGTCTGAGGTCTAATGCAGCAAAAGCCATGCTAATCCCCTAGGACTTCTGCTATTTATATATCAGACAAGATAAGAACTCCAACAGGCCGGAGTTCTCACCAGGTAACCAAGGGGAGCCGTGTCAACATAGCTCTGTTAGCCGAAGGAAAAGCCAGTGCTGCTTTTAATAGGAACACCCTTTCTCTTTTTTGGAATTAGTATTTTTTTTTCCATCTTTTACACTTAAACAGGACAATCCATACATTGCTTCTCTCAGATAACTTAAAAATCAATATGAAACAAAATAAGAGCACAACAGTAAAACAGTGTAAAAACGGGAGGGTGAAGAAGGTGGAATGGACCTTCATTAGTTCTGAAGCAATGCATTTGCCAGATGTGGTTCATATCTGTCTTCTGTGTATCTGCCGTGCTTGTTGATGACCAGTCTTGAAACTTATGCAAGAATTTTAGGAGGAAAGCTCTTCTTTATGGGTGCTCTTTAAAGAAGCTGGAAAAGTCATTTTTGAAAAAAAATCATTTCAGAAGTTGCCTGTTACCCAAGATATTGTCTTGGATGGTGGATAGAAATAGAGAATGTTAATGTTATGAAGCATTTACCCCTAACTTCATATTCTGCAGATACTGTGCTTTATTCATGGTAAAGACTGAGCATTAGTTGAAGAATGTCCTCCAGTGGCCTGGAGTGGGATTACTATGAATTTGAACCTGTGGAAACCAGTTCTTTAGAATATGCAACCGCAGGAGCAAATCCCCTCTTGCCTCTCGTCAATCCTGTCAACTCTCATTGGAGCTCTAACGCCATCTCTGATTGGTCAATGAGCAGCCACACAGCCCCCGCCCCAGAGATAGTCCAGGACCCTGTGGCCACGGTAAAAGGCATGAAGGAAGAGAAAAATAAGAGAAACCAGAGAAGAAAGGCTAGGAAGAACCCTAGAAGATCAGAGAGAGAAAAAGAGGTCAGCAGCTTGCTTTGTGCGCCTCGCCTGTCTTGAGCTTCCTTGCCACATGTCTGCCTGTGTCACCTGGGAGGGGTTCCCCCTGAAGAGGGGCATGTTCCACCCTTGCATGACTGGGGTTTCTTCCATGAGCTTCGCTTTAGGATCTGCTCGCTCTTTCTCACCCTGTAGGAGAGAATACTAAAAGCATATCAGAACAAAGATTTTTTTAGACCTCAGAGCTTCCAAACCTCTTAAAAATCTCCAAGTAATGAACACTGATGTCGGGAAAATTGAGAACTGGCAGCTCATGTACTTTACAAACAGGTCAACGTGTTCCAAATGAAAGTGCCGAATTGCAGGTTTCCAGCTGCAGCACTTTCCCTTCTGTTTCTTTGCAGTTAATCATCCAACAGCTACTCTGTGGGCGCCTAGGGAGGTCATGGCACTGCACTGAAGCACTTAGCTTAATGATGCCGTAAAGGGCAGCCCAACCCCACTGAGGTACCTGATCTTTTAAAGACCTGTCCGAAGGTTAATTGGCCTCACAAGTTGGAAACAGGTAGGGGTGAGTGCAGAGAGCCTCAACCATTTGGATTCTCACCCAACCATGCTACCTGAATTATCTTGTTTATCCTAAGTGAGGCGCTGACCTGCACGGAGTCTTGGTTTCTTTTATCAATAAAATGAAGGAATGAGATGTCATGACATTTGGAGTATAGTAGAGGTCAATAAGTATTCACAGAATAAATAAAGAGTAAATGCTGTTGATAGTGCTATACTTTTTCCAGGTTTTTTTTTTTTTTTTTTTTTAGTTTCCTCAACGTTTCAGAATTTCATGTTTAAATCATATAGAAATAAGGGCTATGTCACACTTGCTTCTTGGGTATGTTAATAAGTGTCTATGGAGGACACATTTTGTTCTGTTCTGTGTCCTATTTTGAAGAGGAAATATTTCAACAGTAAATTTTCGCTTTATAGAAGGAAAGTGGATTTGCAGGTAATTGACTCTGTTCCAATTTGTTCTTAAGTTTAGTTGTTTGTGTTGTGCTCTGGGGAAGAGTCTCTCAGAGCATTCACTTCTCATCTTGGCAATTTAAGGGTGGCTGGGTTTATACCAGAGAAGTGTCTCCCTCAGTCCCCCAGAACCACCCCATCTAGTGCGAGCAAAACTTATGGTGCAGCTGAAGGACGGCCTCTTCTGGTGGGGAATGGTTGACTTTGGCTTTCACCAGTGTTTATGGACCCGGAAGGCAAGGACAAAGGCTCTGAAGGAGGGCTCTGTCTGAGGGGAGTAAAGTTGAGGTGGGGGCTGTGGCCTGGAGACAGGCATTGCCACTTAAAAGTCTCCACAGAGAAAGAGGAGATGCAGGAAACAGCTGTGCCAGGTGGTTGAGGACAATTTGTGTTCTCACTGCAGCCTCATACTGTTGCTAGATCTCTTTAGTCTTTTTTTTTTTTTAATGTATTTTTATTGATTTCAGAGAGGAAGGGAAAGGATGAGAGAGAACCATCAGTGATGACAGAGAATCATTGATAGGCTGCTTCCTGCAAGCCCCACAATGTGGATCGAGCCCACAACCTGGGCATGTGCCCTGACTGGGAATGGAACCATGATCTCCTTGATTGTAGGAAGATGCTCAACCACTGAGCCATGCTGGCCAGGCAGATCTCTTTGAGTCTTGATAATCCATCTAGAAATTGATTTTTAAGGGCTGAATTAAAAGTTAGATTTTAGCTTCTTGAATTGAGCTAGACTTCCACAAAGGAAAGCAATCTCGAGGGATATACACAGAAAGTTCATGTTAAAAGAAAGTAATAAATAATGGTACATTCTGGCTCCAAAGCTGCCTCAATTCATGATTTCATGGCAGCTTATGAAACACGATAAAACATTGGCCGAAAGCAATGCATAAGGTAGACGGTGCCCTAATCAGCAGAGGCCCTTTGTGAGGCCACTTGTGTGGCAGGAAAGGCTGATGCCACCTGGAGCGGTGTCCAGGGCTTACAGCTCACACTTTACGCACAGGGTGGGTGGAGTGGTTAAGTTTTGTCCTGTGAAAGGTGGTTCTGATGGGTCCAAGGAGTGTTCGTTAAAGAGCCTGCAGTTTGTGGGAATATTAAAAGGCCTCTGACCATGACCAGTCTGGCCAAGTCAGTATTTCCACTGAAAGAGGGAGCTTCATCCTCACCTTTCTGACTGAGAACAGAGTGCCAGAGCAGATGAGTATTAACAGATTGCACTGGAGGTCCCTTTGGTGCAAATCCATCACCGTTCTGGTAGGGAAATGGGCAGTTTTAGAAATTCTTATAGAAACTTAAAAAAGACTAAGACATGGGCAGTTTTCCCTATGACCACTTGTCTGAGCATATGTCATCTGGGAACACTTCTTACAACGTTTGAAGTGGATGTGAAACGGCTTGTCGAACCTGCAGCTGCTGAGCCCCTGCATGTCCCAAAGACAGCGTCCCCTCTGAGCAAGGGGCCTGGGAAGGTGGGGAGAACCAAGTCTACGTGTAATTTATCATGGGAATAATAGTGTGAGGTGCTGAGGGCAGGGACCTGCGGACAGCGGGGGAAGCCCTGGTAACCGGGCTCCATGTTCCTGGCTGACACTGCGGAAATCTCCCCCAGGTTCTACGAATGAACACTGAGAAAGGGTTCTGCCGCACAGTCCGTTACTGATACATCGTTACAGCCCAGACTTTTAACCAGTAGCTGGTTTTCCTGGCACTAAAAGTTAAATGTTGAGTACAAAAAGTTGGGAGGCATTAAAAAGTAGTAAGAAGAAAATAAAAGTCACTTCTCATGGATTTCTAAGGGGGAGGGGATTTTTAATCTTAAGAAAGTGAATTTGAATTCTAAATGGCAGTAAGTGCTTTTTTATTGTGATAAGATGTACATAACATAAAATTGACCGTTTTAACCATACAGCTCAGTGGCATTAAGTACATTTACCATGTTGTGCATCCAACACGATCATCCATCTCCAGAACATGTTTTCCAATTAAGTGCTTTTAAAGTGTATTGTTTCTATATTCCAGGGAGTTTAGCAAGTAGACCCAGAATTTCATTAGGGTTATTGACAGGTAGCAGTGCACTCCTCTTTGAAAAATCTTCCGGTTTTCTGTTTAATAATTGTCTCCCTTTCCTCTCTTGGGCTAAGGGCCAGGGATGCCCCCAGGGTATGTAATTGCCCCTCTGGTTCTCCTCTAGAAAACTTGATTTATGCAAAACTCTTACTACCAGATCGCAGAACCCAAGGGAAGGGAAGCATCAGCCACCCCTCCTTTTACCAGTGAAGGAACATTTCTCCTTGATCACTCACCTCTCTTGTGAACCTGGACCCAGATTGGACTCCATTCGTCTCCACTTGACTTGCTGAGTGCTTGTCAGAGCTCAGATGTGCTCACAGGTCACTTCAGAACTTTCCCTTAGGATAGTCCTGACTGTCTTTCCTCCAAGAGCATACTTTCCTTTTCCCAGCTGCAATTAGAAAGAGTCAAGTTCCCTTTGGCGCCCTGATAGAGAAAGGGAAGGTCTGCAATTTCAGGGATCGGATCACAGAGAAGGGGGTCCAATGCAGCGTACAGCAGTGGGGGTGTTATCATGAGAGATCAGAAGAGGCTGGTAGAGATGTGCAGCGACGGCTTGGCATCCCTGGAATCCTGCGATGACACACCATAAACCCCGCCATTGCTCCAAGTCAGTCAGCAAATACACACCCACCGTCAAATCACGAGGGCTGCCAACTGACATGGCAGAATGGTGATTTCTCTGAGAGCGGGGAGCTAGAGGACTCAGTAGGGAGTAAAACTCCCAGCATTGCTGCCCTCGTTGCATAGCACACGCAGCCATGCTCTCAGACCCACTCTTCACCGGTGTGACGGCTGCAGCCCAGCTGAACACTGGCACACCCTGGCGGCAGGGGAGGGCTTGGCCTTCATTCTGAGGTTCGCTCTGCAGCCAAAGGCTGTTCTGCGGTTGGCTTAATGTTCCCACTGAATAAAATTGCTCCGCCTGCTGTGTTGTCTACTAACCAGACTGCAAAGCCCACCTTGCCCTTGGTGGTAACCAGTTTGCTTTGTGTGGGAGGTGCCCGGTGTTGGAGAGAGGGGAGGGGGTGGCTGGGAGAGCTGACCCCTGTGCCTGCCTCCATGTCATCCTGCAGGGGGATCAGACCGCCTTGCACCGTGCGGCCGTGGTGGGGAACACTGAGGTCATCTCGGCGCTCACCCAGGAGGGCTGTGCCCTGGACCGACAAGACAAGGTGAAGTGGGGCGTGCCAGCCTGAGGGCCCACAGGCAAGATGTATCATTCCTGGGTCTCATCGCTCATGATTTAATGTGATGAAACCAGACCAAATGTACTTAGAATATCTGCTATTCTAGTAAATTTAAAAAAAAAAAATTTTAATTTGTCAGTATTTTAAAAAAAATTTTTAAATTGATTTTTAGGGAGAGAGGAAGGGAGAGGGGGAGAGAGAGAAACATCAATGTGAGAGCAAAACATCAATTGGCTGCCACCCCACACCAGGGATCAAGGCAGCAACCGGGCCTGTGTCCTGACCAGGAACCAGACCAACAACCTTTTGGTGCTCGGGACGATGCCCAACCAACTGAGCAACATTGGCCAAGGCTAATTTTTTTTTTTTTTTTAATCTTTCCCTTGTTCTATGCCAGCAGTGGCAACCACATAACCATAAATGGTACCCCCCCCCCCCAAAACACACACACACACACACACACACACACACACACACACACAAACCTCTAGAAGTGATGGCATGTGGAGGCCTAAATGGGATGCAGATGAGGAACCCCCATGGAGAGGCCTGGGGGGGGGGGGTGCCCTGAAAACTCACTCTGATGCACTGACTTTACTGAGGCGAATGAGGCCGTGGTAACATTCCCTCTCTCCCTCTGTGTGTTCCTCAGGATGGGAACACGGCCCTGCACGAAGCATCCTGGCATGGGTTCAGCCAGTCAGTCAAGCTGCTCGTTAAAGCAGGAGCCAACGTGCTTGCCAAGAACAAGGTGAGGCTCTGCAGGTGCTAGAACTCATTCACAGGTGAGGCTGGCTCTGGCTCCTCCTCCAGAGCAGAGCGCGCTCAGGAGCACGGAGCCAGGAGCCGGAGCCTGCCGGGAAGTGGAAGCCTGAAGCCCCTGGGGAGCAGAGTCTGCCTGGTGAGTGAGAGGACCCCTGGGGCCTTTGGCCTCCTTTGAGCCCCCGTGGCTCTCACTGCTTTGCCACCGGTTTATTTGCCTGTGGTTGTCCTCATGGAGGCAGAAAAGGACCACAGCTTGCTCCATCCTCTTTTCCTCTGCCCCCTCTCCCGTCACTCTCCAAGTCTCCCCGTTTTCACTCCATCCCTCCTTCTGTGCTCATAGCTGATGTGTCCCTGGATTTCAGAGGCCTCCCAGCAGCCTCATCAGCTGACCTCATCCCTTCTGCCTGCCGCCTGGCATCCCTGGGGGAAAGCCCCGCGGCCGGACGCTGTCTCGGGCCTCCCCCAGGGTGGCCTCCGCTCACGTCTGGAGCCTCTTCCTGTGCCTTTCCCGCATGTGCCTCCTGTGTGCTCAGCCTGGCTCACTGTCCCCTCTGGTGGCCCATGCCCCATCAGGGTAGCCTGCTCCTCGTTTCTGCCTGTCTTTCCCCGCCTGGCCTGTTTTACTTAGCATAAAGTCCTCTAGTTTATCCACGTTGTCACAAACGCCAGGATTTTTCTTTTTAAAGACAAAATCACATTCCATTGCATAAGAAGTGTGCTTCTTACTCTGTGAGCTCAGCAGCCCTGGCTTTTTTTTTTTTGGGGGGGGGGGGTTAACTGTGCTTTAGAGTGGGAAAAATGTCTGTCAGTATGTCTGCCTCGGTCCTGTTTTTAAATAGTAGGTTTTGCGGTATAATTCATACACAGTAAAGTTCATCTTTCTTAGGTATACTGTCCTGTGAATTTGGATAAATGTATACAATTGTGTAACCACCACCACCATTAAGAATCGCCCCCAAAAAGTTCCCTTGTGCCCTTTAGTGACGGTCCCCCACTCACCCACCACCTCCCAGGCTCTGGCTACCACCAATTTGCTTGCCTTTCTCAGAAGGTGATCTAAATGGAATCATGAGACATAGCCTTTGTGTCTGGCTTTTTTCACTTAGTGTAATGTTTTCAAGACTCTACATGGGTGATTAGTTCATTCGTTTTGATTGCTGAGTAACATTCCATTACACGAATGTACCATATTTTGTTTTTGCTTACCCATGGTTTTTCATTTTCTTGAACCAAATGCTTTTCAGCATAATTGGTATCTTCTTACTGGCAAAATAAATGTTGGCATGATATATTTCTAGCACCATCAGATTCTTTTATTTCACTCATTTGTTCAACACATTTAATGACTCTCAGGAAGCCAGTGACGTTGAGACAAGCTACGTGGGCGATGGGAATCATGGCAAGCCAAGCACTGAGCCCCTTTGCGTGAAATGGTGTATTTGAAATGCGGGCAGAGCCTTTGTGTGTGAGACCTAAGCCTGCAATGTTTCTCTTTCTGGCTGCACTTTAAACTCCTGGGAAACCTTAAACAAAACAAAAAAAGGGGGGGGGGGAGGGACAACCACAAAAATTTTTTTAAAAATGAATCTAGCCTGATGGCGGCTTGGGTGACCAGCTGTCCCCATTTGCCCTGGCCTAAGGCGTTTCCCAGAATGCTTGGCGCTCAGTGCTAACACCTGAGCAGCCAGGCTCCGCCCCCAGGCCGAGCAAACCAGAGTCCCTCGCAGCTGCAGCTGGGCAGCACTTTGCAGGCTGCCCAGGTGATTCCTATGGGCAGAAAGCCACTGCGCTCACTCACCAAACCCTCAGGCTTTCACGCCTCCAGTTTCCTGGAGGCACCGTGAGGAAGAAAGTCCTACCTGGCCGGTTAGAGGGAAGGTTAGGAGAAGGGAGGTAAGTGAACTGGAAGCAGACAGTTCTCTATTTTTTAAATTTATTTTTAATAACTCCTTTCTCTTTTCCAAAAGTAAGGAAATAACATTCTTGAGTATGGGCAGACAGTGCACTGTGGTCCAGAAAGAGTGAAGTAGGTGAGGGAAGAGCCATCCACAGGCAAGGTAATAGCTTAGAGCTCACTCAGCTGCAGTCCCGACCCGGCTTGTAAGCTCAGCAGGACAAACACTGTCTTTCACCTGCTGAGAGCTCCAAGGCTCACTCAGACCGACCCCAAAGTCCTTCTCACGCTGCCGGCTTACTTGGTTCCTTTTCTAGGGGGGTAACAGCAGCTTTACAGGCCCTTCCCCCACAGTCTCACAGACCTCTGCTTGTGAATTCTCTCTACAAGGTTGCTGTGGGCATTATTCGTGCCTGGCTGTCCTTGTGATGTGACATGTTGAAGGGAGAGGGTCCCTATCTGTGTGCTAAGTGACAAGTGCATTTGTGGGGATCTTTTTCTTAGTTCGAATTTTGTTTCAAGAAAAATATGAGAATGGACGATTTGAAAAAAGGCTACAGTATAATCTTAGGTTCCTTTATCCTACATGCACATAGGAGGTGGCCTGTTTTGCCCTCTCTGACTTCACTGATAGTGTTGTAGCCACAGCTTTTATCCGTGTTGCAGTCTTCTCTAAAAGGGGCATACCAGAGGCATGTGCACAGCCTTTTGCCATTAAGCAAATCCCCTCCCTGGCACTCGAGTCCATCCTCACAGCCTCAGCGTCCCAGGGTCATGCTGCATTTTACAGGTAAGGAGTTCAAGGCTGAGAGGAGCAGAGCCTTGACCGGTGCCTGCCAACCTGTGCGTGGCAGAGCCAGGCCGTGGAACCAGGTGGAACCAGAAACCAGGGAGTTGACTCCCTGCCTGTTTAGATTCCTAATTAAATGCTCTTGCCACTGAAGCCCCTGCTGGGTCTGCCCGTGAGGAAGCAGTGGATGTGAGCTTTGACTTTGCTTCTGCATTGCCCCTCTGTAAGGTCTGCCCCATGCGGGGTTGTGGAGCGCCGAGTTGCTAACGTGTCCTCCCTTCTCTTGCCTCTCTCCAAGGCGGGGAACACGGCCCTGCACCTGGCCTGCCAGAACAGCCACGCCCAGAGCACGCGTGTCCTCCTGCTGGGCGGGTCCCGCGCCGACCTCAAAAATCACGTGGGTGAACAACACCGGCTTCTGTCAGACGCTCTCGTGTCCTCTTAGAAAATAACCCTGAGCGCCTACCTGAGTGTTAACATCTAGCAAATGAAAACAAAAAGCATCCGGGGACTATCTATAAAGTATTTATCTGCTTGGTAATTTCCTTAAAGGGTCATTTAGGAGCGTGAGAGGAGGAATCAAGAGACTTGGGAACAGTGCTTCCCCCTCCCACCCCCCATCCTTTTCATCTCACTCCTCAACCTCGATTTGTTTTATCATTTCCATAGTGTGTGCTGGTGAATGGATCTAGGAAACCTCTACGTATCTTAAGAAGGTCTCTGCCCACAGTGTGTATTGGTAGCAAATGCTGAAAGATGTGTGCAGAGCTGGTGGTCAGGAGTCTGAGAGGACGCCGACCTGAGAGGTCACGTGGTGTCCCTCTCTCCACAAGGAGCGGCCTCTCCTTTCTGAGTCCCAGGCCCCGGCCCCGCGATGGGGAGCCTGACTGCGGCATCTCTTTAAGAAATGGCCTTAGCTGGGGCAGACTCCTCTAAGGCGATTCTCAGATGCCCTGCATTTCAGCTTTAGACTCGGCTCCTTCTTCATCTGGGGAGAAAGTTTCCCTGAATGGCCACCATCGCTAGACAGAACTGGGTCGGAGATGTCAGGGGAAGGCCTGGGGTAGACATGTCAGGTCACGGCTTTGTCTCCAGTTTTGTTGTCTTTGGGGGCAGTTTGGCCTGTGACCACTAAGAAAAGCCCTGACCCCGAGTCTGTCTGACTCCTCTCTTTATGCCCTGTGTCAGCTCCCCAGACTGCTGCTCCAGGTGGGATATTGGGGTCCGACTAAAACAGAATGGCCCTTGAATGTTTTAGAACACGTGTGATCTTACAACGCAGCCACTTGCCCTGCTGCCCTGTTGTTAGGGCCATGACAGATCTATGAAGGGGAAGGCTCGTTCCCAGAGCAGTGCTCATGGTCTTCATCCGGGGCACTCCTGAGTCTGGGTTGCAGGAGAGGGTGGGGTCAGCGGATTCTTACCAGCAGCCGGGTGAGCAGAACCTGCCTTGGTTGTTGAGGAGGTCTCCCGGGGAGCATGCATCCAGGGTCAAACCAGAAAGCAGACAAGATCAGCGGGGCTGCAGGCAGCAGCGAGGGGCTGGGAGCCCCTGAGTGGAGCATCCGTCGGGGAAAGAGACACTCATCACGCAAGTCAGTGCCCTCTAAAGAACATATGCTAGTCTGCCAGCTTTTGAATGCTCTTCCCTTTTTACTTTGTCTTGTTTTGTAACCGCTCAGACTGTGCTCAGAGTGTGATTTCTGTCCGCAGGCAGGCGACACCTGTTTGCACGTTGCTGCGCGCTATAATCACTTGTCCATCATTAAGCTCCTCCTCAGTGCTTTCTGTTCTGTCCATGAACAGAACCAGGTCAGTGCATGTGCCCTCCCCATGGCTGTCCCGCCCCCTTCCCACAAGGCTAACGGACGCGTGCAGGAGCCCAGACTGGCACAGAGGCTGCTGGGAGCCTCTCCCTGCCTGGTGGCCCTGGTGTATCTGCCTCCTTACCCTCCCAGTGCACACCACCACATTTGCATATGAACATCTTCTGGAGATCCTGGTGGGGGTGGGGAGGGTTCTGTTTTTAATGTGATTTTACAAGGGAAACTGGCAAGAATGTGGCTTAGTCAACAAGCAAGGGAAAGGCATCTGTGCCTTGCTCTGCCACTTGATTGAGCGGATGGAGTTGCTGTTTCCTGTGAAATTGGGCACATGACCTATCTCTGTGCCATACAAGGGGGATTTTGAAATAAAGCTGTGATTATTGCAGTGTGCGCAGAAATGTGCTTGACTTTCAGTAGTTCTTTAGATTTTTTTAAAAAAACGTCCTGATATTTATTGATACCTGAGTGATGCATTGTTTGGCTTTTCTGAGTTTGGGTACATATATCTGAAATGTATTATAAAACACAGATGGCTATTCAGATTAAAAACACCCAGTTTTGGTGGTTTCTAACCCTGACTGCGCATAAGAATCAACAGGAATTAAAAATACCAATGCTGAATTCCATCCCAGCTTAAATGTCCAGAATATCTGGGAATGAGATTTTTAAAGAGCTCCTGGCCTGAGCGTGCAGATAGGATTGAGACCACTGACCTAGCTCAGTAGCCACGTCGTCATTCTACAGGGAATTCTGGTTCACCAGATTACCCCACCCAGCCCCCGCTAACCAGAGCTTCTTCAGCGTGGTGCATGTTTCCGTCACCTGGGAGCTTTAACAATCACTATGCCCACCCCTCCACCCCCTCCAGACCTTTCCCAGGATGTCTGGGGTGGGACCAGGCATCAGTAGTTTCTAAAGCTCCCCACCTGATTCCAGTGTGCAGCCAAGATTGGAAACCTCTGCCACACAGCTCCCCACTCTCCTACCCCCCTTCCCAGCACACAGCTCCCCACCCCCAGCACACAGCTCCCCACCCCCAGCACACAGCTCCTCACCCCCAGCACACACCTCCCCACCCCCAGCACACACCTCCCCACCCACAGCACACACCTCCCCACCCCCAGCACACAGCCCCCCACCCCCAGCACACAGCTCCCCACACACAGCTCCCCACCCCCAGCACACAGCTCCCCACCCCCAGCACACAGCTCCCCACCCCCAGCACACAGCTCCCCACCCCCAGCACACAGCCCCCCACCCCCAGCACACAGCCCCCCACCCCCAGCACACAGCTCCCCACCCCCAGCACACAGCTCCCCACCCCCAGCACACAGCCCCCCACCCCCAGCACACAGCCCCCCACCCCCAGCACACAGCTCCCCACCCCCAGCACACAGCCCAGTGACTCAGCAGTGAGACAGTCTCCCGGCATGCACCGGGGAGGAAGGCCACAGGGATGACTGGATCTTCATGCTGTCAGGAGACTTTCCCTGACCACCTGATGGTGGAGAATGAAGTATTCTACTTCTCCCACATTTAACTGGCTTATTTATATTATTCTGTCTGGAGTTAAAAAACAAAACAAACAAACAAAAAAAACCAGCATCTGCATTTGGAAATGACTCACCACGCTGCATTTGTCCAAATCCTCCTTTCATAATTGATTGTCTGAAAACATTTTCTTCTTTTGTAAAGAAAATATGAGCCTACCGGCTATGTGGTGAGAAGTTGGAAACAGCTGGTGTTCTGTGAACATGGGTTCTCGGCAAAGGACAGCGTGAGCCTGCAAGTGATTCCCAGCGGCCCCGCACGTCCTCACTCTGGCACTCAGCAACCAAGGGGTCTCTGCGCTCTCCCTGCGGGGCAGTGAGGCATGGCCCAGAGCTCCGGGGTGGCCGCCCGCCGGTCCCCAGCTGCCTGCCCTCCTGCCTCTGTGGAGCATCCAGGTCTGACCTTTCTCAACAGCTCAGCCCAGCATTACTTTGCCTGCGATGTCTGGCATCTCCAGTCAAAAAGGAATGTGATAACTGTGCCATGCTCATTTAGTTCCACCAACTTTAGAGAGAAGCACATTAACACTTGAGCACAGGGCCCCCTTCTCAGGCAAATCTTAGGTTGATTTTGAAAAGCCACCCGCAGGGCATGGGATGAAGAGCTGGAGGGTGGTGGGCCGTGACCAGATGGGGCTCAGCAGACTTTCTTCTGATTGGCTGCAGGCTGGAGACACAGCCCTTCACGTGGCCGCTTCCCTGAATCACAAGAAGGTGGTGAAAATCTTACTGGAAGCTGGAGCAGACGTGACCGTTGTTAATAACGTAAGTCGAGTTGCCGCAGTGGTTTCTAAAGCCCTTCCCGCCCCTCCGCAGGGTGGGCATGTTGGTGCTCCCTCACCTCCTACAGGCTCCGAGGGCACACAGCCTCGCCGGCTTCGCTCTGGAAGGATGTAGGGTTCTAAGGGCCGTAACCCCTGGGGCCCTCGGGTGGACTTGGGAGACGCTGGAGCTTAGCTGCCCCACGAGCTGACGAGCCCTGGGGACTCATCTTTAGACTCCTGGCTGACGTGTGCACACCCTGGTGTGAAGAGGTCAGGGATGTCTAAGGGAAGAGACGTTAACTGTTTCCAGGCGCAGCCCTCAAGAACACGGCCCTATGGTCATCAGATTAACCATCCTTACAACTTCTAGCTCCTTTTTCTCCAGATTGCCTTATCTCGCTCCTCCTTTCTCTCTCAGTATCTCTCTCCCTCCGCTCTTCCTCTGCCACCCTCTTCTCCCTCTCTCCAGCTCAGGCGCCTGTTTTCCAGGCTGCTCTGTGGCCTGTGCCCTCTTGAGTCAGACTCGAGGGGCCAGAGCAGTTGTGTGAGTGTCTGGAAGTCAAGTGTGTGTGTGGAGGGAAGCAGGGGAAGGCTCCTGTGGGTAGTTTCCCCTTCCTCCTCACGGTTCTCGTGCCTGTGGGTGGTGCCTTATGGCACCTCTCCCGTGATGCCTAGAACACCTTCCCCATGCTTGGAATCCCACTGGTTTCAACTCTTGGTGTTTGGCTTACCCCCCTTCCCTCCCCGATCCTCCTTTATGGCCAGAGCTTCCTCATTCGTTTTCACAATCCAGTTCCTGAGACTCGGGCTGGTCTCTCGCCTGCCTGCCCAGGTGTCTTCTCTCCTGTTCTCCAGGGAAATGTCATTGCTTGGCTGGATTTTGTGATCCTTGGAGTTTCCTCAACTGAAATCTTCCACCTGGGCCCTGTCTGCTTTTCACCTTCCAGAAAGCATTCCGAGGCAGGCAGGGCCCCTGACCTTTGCCTCCTGGAGCACTTACTGCCCATTCGGTCAGCGCTGACCCTCTCCTGCTGTGGCTGCAGGTGGAACTCGGTTCCCTTGTTGGGAGGAGGCTCAGGAACAGGGCCACGTCTGTGTGTGTTTCGGTGCTGCTGTGACTGAGTGCAGGTTTTCTGTCCCAAATGGGCTATGTGTGTGCTGGGTTGGTGGCCAGTGCTCACTTGTCCACCCTGTACCCTTCCTCAGGCAGGCCAGACCCCGCTGGAAGCTGCCCGCGACCACAATAACCCAGAAGTTGCTCTTCTCCTCACTAAAGCTCCTCAGGTAGGACTGGCTGCATTTTCTGCTTATGGATTATGTGTGGCGACAGAGTCACTGGGAGCCGCTGATTGCAATGTTCTGAAGACAGTTCAAACTGGCTTACTCAGGGAACCCGTGGGCTTACTCACCAGGCAGTGGGAAGCTCGGGGACCCCAGTGGGCCTCCAGGATGATCAGCACCAGGACTTCGGCCCAGCAGGCTGTTCTTCGTGGATGGGCATGGTTTTGTCACCACCAGCTTCCTGGATTATAACCCCCCGGGGACTTGGCCAGGAAAAAGCTCCAGTTTAAAATATCGCCAAGAGCTTGGGGCAGGTGCCCCGAGCAAGTATGGCAGGGGCTTTTCTACCGTGTTTCCCCGAAAATAAGACCTAGCGCATGGAAAGAGAAGACATCCCCTGAAAATAAGACCTAACGCATGGAAAGATAAGACATCCCCTGAAAATAAGACCTAGCGCAACTTTGGGAGAAAAAATTAATATAAGACAGTGTCTTATTTTCGGGGAAACAGGGTAGTAAGAAGATGGCCACTTCCATTGGACCATGTGGTCCAGGGCTGTTTCTACAGAGACGTGGGAGGAGAGGCCCATTCTGAGCAGACAAAGCGGTAAATGGAGGCAGTTAAGTACGGAATCATTTTCTTTCCTTTTTATTGAAGAGTGGTATTTTGGGTAACCAGTCAATTAAAAAAAAAAAAAAAAGATGACATATCGTTTGAGTTGAGGTTGAAATGATCTAAGTGATAAAGACATCTTATAGTGATAATTTATAAGCTAGTCATAATTTCAGCACCCCGAAATAACGTTTGTTTCTTCCTATCACCTTGCACTGACACGTAATTTTACATAATTGTGCCTACAATGTATGCACTTTTTCTAGTGTGCCCTTTATTCTAACTGTGATGGGAAAATGCTCTGCAGTCATCACACTTACTCATCTTAATGGAGGCCCAGTATTGTTTTTTTATTGAGGTCTATATTTTGTTAAACCATTTCCTCAACTTAGGTTATTTCCCAATTGGAGCTATTCTGTGTTACCGTATAGTAAACACTGGTTTGCTCTCCGCCTCATTCTGACTACTGTGGCAAGAAGATAAGTGCCTGGGAGCCGAGGAGGACCTCGACTCCAGCCTGCTGCATCGTGGCTCAACCCCAGCCAGCCCAGGGTTCTGCATGGCCCTTGTTGCATTTAAGTTTTAAAAACAATAGAAGCAGTTTCTGGACGTGGATAATATTTTTGTTTTTCGCAACGTCGATCACCCTCTTGTGCATGGAACTGGTCCTTCTCAGTGGTCCCTGAAAGTGCATGGAGCCCCTGGCAGGTCAAGTCAGTGCTCCCTGGGAAAAGGCTCCATCCACTTCTGTCTAGTTATTTACAAAGAACTTGTCAGTGGAATCAGTTCATGAAGCCTGGATTGATTCCACTGACTAAGAAGCATGAGGTGCTTCATTAAGTATCAGAATTCATCACAATTATCTGCATTTCCGTGTTTGGCAATTTGGTGGGCAGCCAGCAAGTGCTCAGCCACCTGCAGCTCATCAAGTATTGTGGGTGGATGATCCCAGGCACATAGAGACTGGTGGGCCTATGACCCACCTGCTCTTCCAGAGCCCAAGGATCTTCATTCACAGGAAGCGTTAGCACAGACAGTTCTCCTTTAGTGTTTCCACTTAAAAATGACTCACATGCCCAGCCGGCATGGCTCAGTGGTTAAGTGTTGTCCTATGAACCAGGAGGTCACGGTTTGATTCATGGTCAGGGCACATGCCTGGGTTGTGGGCTCGATCCCCAGTGTGAGGCGTGCAGGAGGCAGCCAATCAATGTTTCTCTATCATCGTTGATATTTCTCCCTCTCCATCTCCCTCTCCTTTCCTCTCTGAAATCAATAAAAATATATTTTTCAAAAACAAACCAAAGAAAAAAAATGACTTAAGCAAGTTTTTCCACGCCCACATTGAATAGCAAATAGGATGACATTTTATGAAAGTTTATTTTATATAATTGTACATGCTAAACCCTATTCTCAACACAAAGAAGGAACTTTGGAATGTGCATAAAATTATATGCCTGCTGTTCTGTTACAGAAATAGCCTCACTGTTTGTTTTGTCTGAAATAAGAAATCCCTTTGCCTTGTTGCCTTAGTCGGCCGTGGATTTTGATGGTTCACAGCAGAACCAAGGATGTTTCTTTCCAAGGCTTTAGAGCAATATTCGCTGATTTCTGTGAATTGGGAAAGATCGATGATGTTTCATTTGGTGGTTATATGATTGTTCACTGGCTGGTAACATGGTCTATGGGAGGAATTTTTCTGGGGATTATTTTTAGCTAGGGTGACCTCTGAGTGTCACTTCTCATTTTTGATTGACATGGTTCAATAGTGCTTCTGAGAGTGAACTTCAGGCAGAACCTGGTACTGTATCCTGTTGTAAGTGTTCATAAATGAGTCACTTCCTTTTATCAGACTCGACTTTTAATAAGTCTAAACTTAGCTTTGGAAAAGGCTCGGGACAGTGGTTCTCTGACTTTTAGTTTAAGGACCCTTTTAAAATATTTTGAAGGTGACAAGGAGCTTTGTTTATGTGAATTTTATTCATCAGTAGTTACCATAATTCAAATTAAACTTGAGAAATAGTTAAGATGTTTATATTTACAAATTAGAAATCCATTTTGTTCCATAGGAATAGCATTATCTTGTGAAAAAAAAAATCTTTTAGAACAAAAATTGAGAAGAGCAGCCTTGTCTTACATTTGTGCAGGTCTCCTACTGTCCATCTTACTAGTAGAGGTAGCAGGGTTCACTGATTTCTGCCCGCTGTCTGTCGCATTCCCACGTATGCAGCCCCTGGTGAGTGCCCCCGTGCACTAAGGAGAGAGCGAGAATGAAAAGGGCCCACATCATCTTATCGGGTCTAGTAATAATTAATGTCGTTTTAAACATTCGTTTAAAATCTTGCTTGGCGTTGACTTGTATTGACATAACCTTCAAACACGTGGTATCTACAGAACGTGTGAAGTGCAATGAACAAGTTTTGCTTGAAAAAGTTTGTGTTTGGTTTGGTTTTTGTTGCAAAACTAGGGCTAAGAAGATGGCGGATGAAGAGCATATTCGGCACTGCATGCTTCACGAGTTCCAATTAGGAAGAAAAGCAAGTGAGGCTGCAAAAAACATCTGTAGTGCTCTTGGTCAAGATGCAGTTAGCGCCAGAAAATGCCAGCGTTGGTTTGAGAAATTTCGCGAGGGAAATTTTTCGTTAGATGACAAGAGTGGTCGAGGCCGTGTGTCCAATTTTGATCAAGAAGCTCTTCAGGCTCTTTTGGTGCAAAATCCTCAAATTACCCAACAAGAGCTTGCGACAACTTTAAATTGTTCACAAAAAACAATTTCCAATCAATTGCGTGCACTTGGCAAAGTCCAAAAGTTTGGAAAATGGGTTCCTCATGAGTTGACCGACAACAACCGTAATCAAAGAGTCACAATTTGCAGTTCGCTCCTCTCTCGTCAAAACCGTTTGCCGTTTTTAGAGCAAATTGTTACCGGAAATGAAAAATGGGTGCTGTATGTTAATTTGAAAAGGCGGCCTCAATGGTTGGACAAAAATGAGGCTCCGCAGCCCACGCCAAAACCTGACTTGCATGCGAAAAAGTGATGTTGTGTGTTTGGTGGAATTTTAAAGGAATTCTTCATTATGAACTTTTACCATCTAACCAAACCATTACAAGTGCAGTGTATAGTGCCCAATTGGAAAGGTTAGCCCAAGCTTTAAGAGAAAAAGAACCCGCGCTGATTAATCGGAAGGGCGTAATTCTTCACCACCATAACGCACGACCGCATACTGCAAGAATCACTGCTGAAAAACTGCGCCAGTTGGAATGGGAAGTTCTCCCTCAACCTGCATATTCTCCTGATATTGCCCCTTCCGATTACCATTTGTTTCGTTCTTTGCAAAACTTTCTTCTTGGAAAAAAATTTAATAAGAATGCCTCAAAAATGCATTGACCGAATTTTTTGCATCAAAATCACAAGAATTTTACAACAGAGGGATTAAAATGCTTTCTGAGCGTTGGGCACAAGTAGTAGAAAACAACGGCAACTATATTGTTGATTAAATTTTGTTGTATTGTTTAAAAAAATTCGATTTAAAAAAGGTATTAGAAAACGACATTAATTATTACTATACCTAATAATATTAGAGTCTTCATCTCAGGGACACTAAGCTTTCAGAACTGCTGGCTCCGGCAATGAAAAGAGGGATTAAAAATCAGGTTTATCTGCAGGCAGATACTGTCAGGGGTTTTCCCTTTATGTGATAACCACTGCCCATAAAGGTTCTTTTTGTTGTAAGGGTGTCACTTGGACATGATGAACAGGAGAAGAAAGTCTGAAACAGATGAAAAATACTTTGGGGAACATCAGAGAGCCCTTGTCTGCTTATATAAGACAACAATAACGTTGTTTATTGCAGAAAGACAGTGTGACCTTGGAAAGTGTTTCCACTTCCTGGATCTCCTTGGGGAAAGGAGGTGAACCCTGGAAGTGGGAGTAGGGGCTGGGGGAAGGGCGTGGAGCTGGGCCAGTGCCAGTCTCCACCAGCTCAAACACCTGTTCTCTGGTTACGCATCCTCTGGGCATGGAGGCAGCCAGCAGTGACTGAAGGTCCAAGGTGCGCCAGCCACCTCCTTGGTTAATCCCAGCAATTCTTCTGTGTTCACGTGTGAGAAGACAGAGCACAGGGGTGTCAGATAACTTGCCCAGGGACCCTACAGCTGCTGGGTACCATCCCTGTTGGACCCCATGTACCTTCCTGTGTCCATTCCAGCTCTCTAAGGGGCCGACCCAGTGCTTCCTTTTGGGGAAGAGTTTCCTGTCCCATGCTGGCTACCATGGTCATAGATACATCTCAATATTATTTCACCAAATTGTACGTGAGTTGGATATGGTTTGACCAGGAGACACTCTGATGGGTAGTTTGGGTCCAGTGCACCAAGCTAGTGAGTGAGGCTGTGCCGGTCTGGGACTGTCGCACGAACAGCTCCAGGGACGCCATGCATGTCCCAGTCTTTCATCTGCTCTCTGGAGGTTGGCCGTGCACAGCCTGCACACCGACGTGGTGTCTCTGGCCTGGCATACCAGTGCCTGCTATCGTCACAGACTGCAAGCTGCTTGAGGTCAGGAACAGTGTCCATCTCTGGGTCTGTGAAGTGCCAGCAGGAGGTACTGCAGGAGGTCTGAGGTGGTCAATGCCCACGCTGAGTCTCCCTGTTGGGCTGGAAGTTCCTTCAGGTCCGAGCACTGGGTCCGAGGAGAATCCTCTCTCCCCTGTCCTGCACCGGTTGTAACAATGCCTCTTGCCTCCTTCAGGTCTTGCGCTTCAGTCGTGGGCGAAGTCTGAGGAAAAAGAGAGAGAGGCTCAAGGAAGAGAGGAGAGCTCAGTCTGTGCCAAGAGATGAGGTGGCACAAAGCAAGGTGGGGGCAGCCCTCCCGCCCCTCCCCGGCTCCGCCCGCTCTCGGGGGTGGGAACTGCCTCCTCAGGTTCATCTGGTGGCTGCCATGCCCTGTGGTCTCTTCCTTTCGCGGGAGTCCCTTAGGCCAGTGCCAGTCTGTTCCCTTGGTGACATGCCCTCCTCTCCCCCCAGATTTCCCACTGTGTGCCTGCCTGTGTGCTGCTGTGTTTCCTAGCACCGTCATAGACTGGTCACCAGCCCATGTGCTTGTGGCCCTGCGTACCCTGTGGCCGGCACTGCCTCTCTGTCAGTGTGCCCATGGCCATGGAGAGCAATGCTTTTCGGGGTGTGGGGCCTCACGAGATCAGAAACGGGCTGGGGCCCAGCAATCTGTCTGAACAGTCCTCCCGGGGGCTCTGATGTGGTCACATTCTGAGAACCACTGGCGAAGGTTGCTTCCCCTCTGTCCGCGTAGGGAGTGGGCTGAGGCTGTGCAGATCAGAACCAGATGCTCTCTGGGCAGCAGGGACACACGTGGTGACGAGGGTCTGAGTTGGGCTCCCTGTGCCCACTTACCCCCGTGCCAGGTGCCCATGTGCAGCAAACAGCTTGCACTGCTACACACGGCAGCCCTGGACGGAACCACTTCCAGGAGGAAGACTAGGAGAGAGAGAGAGAGAGAAAAAGAGAGAGAGAAAGAGAGAGAGGGAGGGAGAGAGAGAGAGAGAGAGAGAGAGAGAGAGAGAGCGAGAGCGCGAGAGCGCGAGAGCGGGAGCTTGGGGCACATAACGTTTTATACCAAGTACTCATTCTTCTCCTATTTCAGCTGTAAATATTCATTTGTAAAAGTTCTCACGAGGACCAAAAACACTCCTCCCCCCTATTTCAGGGGGTTCTCTCTGCTATGATTTGAGGGTCCATGGGCAAAGAATGAGGGGAGGGGGGTGTTTTGTTGAGATATGAAGAAAAAAAACAAAAACAAAAACAAAAATAAAAAAACAAATCTCCAATGCTGAGGTTCCTGAAGTTCCCATTGAATTAGATCCGAGAGTGTTTCGTTTGACACCTGATAAACAAAGTAAAAGCCAAACGTTCAACGGCCTGGGAAAAGCTCACAGTCAGTTAAGACCACCAAGCAGTGCCCCGTGTCTGAAACTGGTCACCGGCAAAGGTTCCCATGGGTCCTGTGCTGGACGGAGTCTTGCAAACAGAATTTTACAACATTATTGAAAAAGGCCTGGGGGGCAAGGAGGACCGATTTCTGGGCTCTTTTTCTCTGCAGGGAAGTGTCTCGGCAGGAGACACCCCTAGCAGTGACCAGGCCGCACCCAGGAAAGAAGAGGCCAGAGAAGATTTCCTGTCGGCCTCCCCAGAGCCCCGAACCAAGGACGACAGGAGGAGGAAGTCAAGGCCCAAGGTCAGGAGGCAGGTGAAAGCCGCCCAGAGAGGGCTGGGAGCCGGTTGGCGGAGGGTCCTGGGACAGCCGCCTGCCCAGTGGCCCAAAGATGCCTTCCCTGGGCCGGCTGTTTTGGAGCCAGAGCGCAGAAGTGAAGTCTGGTTGGAGTCAGGCACAAGGTTAGCTTGCTGATGCGTTTCTTTGGAAGGTGGTGCTTGGCGTAGGTGAAGCAGGCGGGGTTCTCTGCCCAGAGCAAGTGAGACGGGAGCCGCGGGCCGGGGGTCTGTCTTGCGGTTGTCACGGTGTTGAAGGTGCCATCTCCTCTTCCCCTGCCACAGGTCTCAGCGTTTTCCGACCCCACCCCACCGGCAGACCAACAGCCTGGACACCAGAAGAACTTACATGCTCATAATCACCCGAAAAAGAGGCCCAGGCATCGATGCTCACCCCCACCGCCTCCCCACGAGTTCAGAGCGTACCAGCTCTACACGCTGTACCGGGGCAAGGATGGGAAAGTGATGCAGGTACCAGCCGAGCTCGCCAGATGTGGGACCACGGGCCTGCGGCAGGGCTGTCTGTCCATCATCACATCCTGGGGCTGATATCCACTGGAGGCATTGGCTAAAGTGTGCATGAGCTTTAAGAAGAAGGCAGGTGCTGAGACCGGTTTGGCTCAGTGGATAGAGAGAGCATCAGTCTGCGGACTGAAGGGTCCCAGGTTCAATTCCGGTCAAGGGCACGCACCTTAGTTGCGGGCACATCCCCAGTAGGAGGTGTGCAGGAGGCAGCTGATCGATGTTTCTCTCTCATTGATGTTTCTAACTCTCTATCTCTCTCCCTTCCTCTCTGTAAAAAAAAAACAATAAGATATATTTTTAAAAAGAAGGAGGAGGAGGAGGAGGAGGCTGGTGACTCACCACACCTAGACAGGGAGAGACCCTCCTGTTGCTTAGGCCCAGGCAAGCGGGTGGTGACGGATTTTTCTGCAGGGTCCTGAGGTGCTTAGGTAATCTCGAGGCCCAGAGTGGATAAAAGCAGCCTGGAACTCTGTTACCCGCCCTGATTCTTCCTGGGTCTCCATCTCAGCACCCTCACCCTGCTGGCTGGCACGTGGTGGGCACTTAAAGCTTCAGTTTTTGAAGGATCCAAACGAGTAGGATCGATCCCTTTTCTGTGTCCCTCTTAGGCACCCATCAATGGCTGTCGATGTGAACCCCTGATCAACAAGCTGGAGAACCAGCTGGAGGCCACGGTGGAGGAGATCCGAGCAGAGCTGGGGTCGGTCCAGGACAAGATGAACACGAAGCTGGGACACATGGAGAGTAAGACGCAGCACCAGGTGAGCGAGCGCCCGGCCTCCTGGGGCACGGATTTCTGGTGGAAACGTGCTGGGAGACACTGGGCACGCCCTCCTGTTCCGCAGACTGCCCTCAGCATGGGGGTGGGCTGGCAGGAAGGGCCTGCCCGCGTGATTTTGCTGAAGTCTGTTTATTTACATCTTTAAAGAACATGTTCATGCTTCTGCTTATAAAAGTAATATATACCTATTACAGAGCATTTTTTAAATTATGAAAGTTGTCTATCAGCCCTATTAATAGTGATGAGAAAGCACTGTTAATATTCGGGTTTGTTTTCTTCCAGTCTTTTTATATGTCTGTGTGTTCCACACCTCTTTCCCATTACATACAAAGTTATCATGTCTCTAGCTTTTTCCTTTCCCCAAGTTTTTATTTTGAAAATGTTCAAACATAGAGAGAAGTTGAGATAATAGTATGTTATCGTATGTCCCCCCCACAGACTCAGTGCCGTGTTGCCACACTGGCTTTGGGTGCCTCTCATACACCTTCCTCTTGCTGAACTGACTGAGGTTTATTTGCAGACGGTCCTGCCACCTCACCTCTAAATATTTTGACTAAGAATGAATACTTTCACCTTCATAACACAACACCATCATCACATCTGAGAAAATGAGTAAAAATTGCATAATATCCAGTTCAGATTTTCTCAAGTCTCCCAAAATATTGTTTGATTTTTTTTTATAGCTGATTTGATTTTAAATTTTTATTTTTCAATTACAGTTTACGTTCCATATGACCTTGTATTTGTTTCAGGTATACAGCATAGTGGTTTTTATCTTAAATACCAGTCCAGGATCCAGTGAATCTTTTGTGCATTTGTGTTATCTCTGGGGGTCTCTTTTACTGTAGAACAGTTCCTGATTCTTTCAGTTCCATCAAACCCCCCCCCCCCCCAAATACTAACTTTTAAAGAGTCCAGGCCAATCTATAATAATAAAAGCATAATATGCTAATTAGGCAGGACAGCCAGACAACCTTCCAGATGTCATTCCAGACTAAGCCGCGGCAGTGTGGTTAGGGGCGATCAGGCAGGCAGGCGAGTAGTTAGGAGCCAGCAGTCCTGGGTTGCAAGAGGGATGTCTGACTGCTGGTCGAACAACCCCTGAGAGCTCCCAGATTGCGAGAGGGTGCAGGCAGGGCTGAGGGACACCCACCCCCTGCCCCATGCATGAATTTTGTGCACCGGGCCTCTAGTCCTATATAATATCTATACTAATAAAAGGGTAATATGCTAATTAGACCTGGGGACCGTACATCTTCCTACCATCCAACTTCCTTCTGGACAAAGTCATGGTGGGAGCAGAGGCAGAGGCAGAGGCAATCAGGCCAGCAGGGGAGGGCAGTTAGGGGCCAGGAGGCCAGCAGGGGAGGGCAGTTGGGGGTCATGAGGCTGGCAGGGGAGGGAAGTTTGGGGCCATGAGGCCAGCAGGAGAGGGGAGTTTGGGGCCATGAGGCCAGCAGGAGAGGAGAGTTTAGGGCCATCAGGCCATCAGGGGAGGGCAGTTAGGGGCCATCAGGTTGGCAAGGGAGCAGTTAGGCAGCAATTAAGCTGGGAGGCAGGCAAGTGGTTAGGAGCCAGTGGTCCCGGATTGCGAGAGGGATGTCCGACTGGCCCCATCCCACAGGGGTCCTGGATTGGAGAGGGTGCAGGCTGGGAGGAGGGACCCCCCCATGCACAAATTTCATGCACTGGGCCTCTAGTCCTATATAATAAAAGCCTAATATGCTAAGTGTCCAGTCGGCCAGTCAGCCATTCAACCAATTGAAGTGTAATATGCTAAAGATATGCTAAGGCTGCTCAACCGCTTGCTATGAGTGCATTGACCACCAGGAGGTAGACAGTTGACCGGTCAACCAGTCACTATGATGTGCACTGACCACCAGGGGGCAGACACTCCAACTGGTAGGTAGGCTTGCTGCTGGGTCCGGCCAATCAGGACTGATTGAGACAGGCTGGACCTGCCCTAGAGCCCTCCTGTGGTCCCTCCCTGACTCTGATCGTGCACCAGTGGGGTTCCTTGGCTTGGCCTGCACTCTCTCACAATCCAGGACCCCTTCGGGGATGTCAGAGAGCCAGTTACGGCCTGGTCCCACAGGCCAGGCTGAGGGACCCCACTGGTGCCTGAATTCATATAATTTACTAAGTGTTCCCCCGGTATTTCCAGCACGCCACCTAGTTATTACAGTACTATTGACTGTATTCCCTAGGCTGTACTTTATATCCCCGATACTATTCTGCTGTGAATTCCCATCTGTACTTCTCAATCCATTCACCTTTTCACCTCTCTCCCAACCCCCTCCCCTCTGGCAGCCATCCGCCTGTTCTCTATATCCATGAGCCTCTTTCAGTTTCACACGTTCACTTATTCTGTCCTTTAGATTCCACATATCAGTGAAGAGGATGAACTTTTTGAAGGTTTATTTGCTATTTGCCTTGAGTGGAAAGCCCATTGAAGAAATCTTTTCTTGGAGCCATAAGATACTGGTTAAAACTGTTTTGTGGATAAAAGCCCACTTCAGCTAGTGAAGACCCAAAGAGGAATGTAGCTGGGGAAGGCTGAGATGTCTTGAGCACCTCTCTTTGGTTCAAGGAAGGCGACAATTGGGGCACAGACTCTTAGTCCTGACTCCAGATCACAGGGGAAGGATGTGGCTCTGCATGAGCCAGGTGCCCTGCCTGGCCAGCCCCACGAGCAGGGGACAGAGCCGCGTGTCAGCACGTTCGCTTTGGCAGAGCCTCTGTGTGGGAGATAGTGAGGCGGGAGAACAGGCCAGTCGTGGAGAACGGGAGAACAGTTCACAGAGACCAACGAGGGCTGAATGGACAAAACCAAAGGTCCTCCCACGTCTGGCAGAACTGAGCCCAGGATGGGACGACTTGTCTGTGCTGCCCAGGCACTTCCTGGTGAGCCCTGGCGGGAGGGCCCCCTCACAGCCACTGCTCCCCCTTCTTTGGACCCTGTCAGAGCTGGGAAGGTTCAGCCCTCCTGGCCCCGAGGGCCCTGTGGGAAGTGTCAAGAGGAAGAGGGGACCCAGCGGGCATGTGACTGAGAGGTGGTAACAGGCATTTCTTCTCCGATCAGGCCCATGGAACCCCCTCCACAGCCTTCCTCATGCTCGCTTTGGCCGTGTTGAGTGAAGCACCAGGAGGATTTGTGCACTGGCTGGATAAATGCCCTGAGCATCCAGCTGCTTTCACTACCTCTCAGGCAGCCACTAACATTTAAAAGGGGGAGAAGAGCCCTCGCTGGTGGATAGAGCATCAGCCTGCAGACTGAAGGGTCCCAGGTTCGATTCCAGTTAAGGGCACTTGCCTGGGTGCGGGCTCCATTCCCATTAGGGTCACGCAAGAGGCAGCCGATCAATGATTCTCTTTCTCATCCTTGATGTTTCTATCTCTCCCTCTCCTGTCCTCTCTGAAATAAATAAAAAATATGTTTAAAAAAAAAAAAGGCAGAGAATAGCTCCATACTTTAAGAAATAGTGGTGTTTTTTTTTTTAATCATAAAAATTCCCTTTTACCTACAAGGTCTTTGTTGGCTCAAATTTTATAATTGCCGTATATTCATAGTCTCTTAAACTCCTTGGGGTCTTTAACAAGTAAGAAAAAAGAAACATTGGCCTACATGGAATCCTGATTAGGATTCTGAAAAGTGAGAGTTCCGTGAATACTGCATGAAAATGGGATAGAATGAGGGTGGAGGTTTGCTTGCCTTCTCTCTGGTCCCTGTCTGGTACCCCAGATCCCCTCCTCAGGGAATCTCAGCCATGCAGTCTTTGCCCGTTGAATCCTAGATGCGTGTTCTGGACAAGCTGATGGTTGAGCGACTCTCGGCCGAGAGGACAGAGTGCCTGAGCCGCCTGCAGCAGCACTCGGACACGGAGAAGCTTGAGGGCGAGAAACGCCAGGTGAAAACCAGTCCCCATCAGTCCTTCCCTGGTGATTTGCCACACTTCTCCTGGAATTAAAAGACAGAGACCTATCATTGAAAACTCAGAGGCTGGGGTCCCGTGACAGGGTTTGCTGCACATAGCACATCATTTGCATCCCTTTGCGATGATATCCATGGGGAAGGACCTGGCCGTTCAGTTCATGTTTGTTGCTGAATGTGCCGGCATTCGGTAGGCACTGAAAAGTTCCTACAACAGGCTGAGGGTGAATGTGACGGCTGCCCTGAACCACGTCTATGTGTAGTGTGTTCATTGGGCCGTTACTCTAGTGAACGAGATCTGGTTCCCGCCCTCAGGGAGTGTGTGGTCCACGTGCGACAACAAAAGTAAAATAAGCACTTGTGGTGTGTGAGAGCCCGTGCTCCTAAGCAGGCAGAACTGCTTAGCTGGGAAGACGTGGGAAGCTTTGGGTGTTTGGCTCTAAGTCACGTAGTGAAGATTTTTTTTTTAAACATCTTATTATATTGTTCTTGTCTTTCAACCTCTTTTTTTAAAAATATATATTTTATTGATTTTTTACAGAGGAAGAGAGAGGGATAGAGAGTTAGAAACATCGATGAGAGAGAATCATCAATCAGCTGCCTGTTGCACACCCCTTACTGGGGATGTGCCCGCAACCAAGGTACATGCCCTTGACTGGAATTGTACCCGGGACCTTTCAGTCTGCAGGCTGACGCTCTATGCACTGAGCGAAACCAGTTTCGGCACTTAGTGAAGTTTAGACACGGTCAGCTGGCTGTTGGGTGAATCCTGATCTATTGAGGACAAGCAAAGAGGCTGTGTGTGGCTGGTGGGAGGGTGAGTTATCCACAGTCTTTGGGCTTGTCAAGATGGTGTGCTCAGCTATCATAGTTTAAAAGTCCATTCTTGATGTTTTATTCGTTAACCATGGGTTAAACTCACCTGATTTAGCTGCTCGGCTAGCTCAGTCTGTAGAGCATGAGAGACTCTTAACTTCACCTGATCATTTTGTGGGTGTTTTTCAGATGTCCTTGGTGGATGAATTAAAAACCTGGTGCATGTTGAAGATTCAGAATCTGGAACTGAAGCTTTCCGGAGATTCTAGGGCCTCCCGAGCTAAATCCACGCCGTCTACTTGCGAGTCCTCCACAGGTAACCCTCCTGCAGGGAGAGAGCCACTCCACCCAGCGGTGATGAGAACCCCCAAACCTTGTTCTCTCCTGCGTGCCAAGGCGGTCCGTGTGAGAGGCTGTGGGAAACTGGATGGCAGGGCAAACCGTAGGCGCCAGGACCAGGTGTTCTCACTGCTGTACACGCAGGTCCTGTGCAGAGGGAAGCACTCTGATCTTAGTGGCCAGCACGCTGGAGTGAAGGAATAAAAGAATTGTTTTGATCATTGATAGCAAGTGCTTCAGGTACAGTGCCGACGGTGTGAGGGACCCCGTCCTGGGGGTGATGAATGGACATCCGTCTCCTCAGCCGGTGCCTGTACCTCTTCTCCCCTCTTCTCCTGTGTGATTGGCCGTTTACCTTTGTCCTACTCTGTGAGCCCTCGTTGAGTGCACATCCTATATTGCAGCTGCCTCAGGTGCTAGGCAAGGGATGCTTCCAGCAAATCACCTTTACAGTGATTACCCGTAGTGATAGCTTTGAGGACATTCCGAGACTTAGAAATTACCGCATTTTCCGGCGTATAAGACGACTTTTGAAACGGAAAAAAGTCAACCAAAAATCGGGGGCAAAAGACCAAAATTGCACAAAAATTACCCGCAGATCTTGACGGCAAAGTAAGTCTTTTCTTTGAAGTGGGGGGTAGTCTTATACAGCGAATATAGGCATAAACCTATGTTTTAACTGTAAAATTAGGGGGTCGTCTTATACGCCGGAAAATAAGGTAGGCTTCCATGGGGGATTTTGGGCATGTTGAGCGTCCTTTGTTACCACAGACCATCTCTGGCACTGTGGTTTTATCTTCTTTATGCTCATGACAACGGCAAAAATCCTTGGCAAATTTTTCATGCGAGGGCTAGTGACGGAGCTTGGCGTGGAGCTCTGAGAAGGGGGGATAGGACTGCCTTTCCTCATTGGAGCTTCGCTCAAGGGTCCAGTACCTGGGGCTGAGGTGTGGGAACGGATATACATTCTCATGGGTTAAATACCCAGGTATGTTTTGAGACACTTGGTGAGCTGTGCCATCCTTAGCCGTCAGGAAATGGTGCCCAGAGCCTTCCAGAGTGGGTTGAGACAGGCTAATGCAGTGGTTGGCAAACTGTGGCTTGCGAGCCACATGCGGCTCTTTGGCCCTTTGAGTGTGGCTCTTCCACAAAATACCATGGCCTGGGCAAGTCTATTTTGAAGAAGTGGCATTAGAAGAAGTTTAAGTTTAAAAAATTTGGCTCTCAAAAGAAATTTCAGTTGTTGTACTGTTGATATTTGGCTCTGTGGACTAATGGGTCTGCCGACCACTGGGCTAAAAGGAAGGCCAGCACATTTTTGGCTTAGATGCCACCAGCATGGCTAACAGTAGCCCTGACAGCCTTGACAAGCCAGGCGGTGATCAGGAGTGAAGGGGCAGGAAGGGCAGAGCAGAAGCTGCTCGCTGGCTGGTGAGTGGGAAGGCTGGTGGTCTGCAGGGTTCTCGGGCCTCTCCACGGCTGACCTACAGCCATGTGACTGTGACCTTTGCTCTGACTTGTGTTTTCCTTCCCAAACCAGCTGTGGATCCATCAGTGGTGACGGCAGGCCCAGTCGCAGCTTCCGACAGTTCCCCTCGGGTGGTCAGGCCCAAGGAGAAGGGACTCGGCTCCGCGGCTGCCCACAGGCTCCAGCAGGAGCTGTCCTCCTCGGACTGCACGGGCTCCCGACTGAGGAGCGTCAAGGTCCAGACTGCCTTGCTGCCCTTACAAGAGGCAGCCAGGTGTGCCCAGCAGGCCGGGCCCTGCGTCCACAGAGGCACCCAAACCAAGAAGTCTGGGAAAAGTGGGCAGACGAGGCACCGAGCCCAGCCACCAGCACCCAGCACCACCTGCGGGCAGCCACCGGCAGCCACAGGCAGCGAGCAGACTGCCGCTCACATCCGAGACGCCTCCCAAGCTCTGGAGATTACCCAGTACTTTTTTGAGGCTGTTGCTACCCAGATGGAGAAGTGGTATGAAAGGAAGATTGAAGAAGCACGAAGCCAAGCCAGTCAGAAAGCCCAGCAAGACAAGGCCACCCTGAAGGAACATATTAAAAGTTTAGAAGAGGAACTTGCTAAACTAAGGACGAAGGTGCAGAAGGAAAATTAGGGCCTGGGAAGTGGATCCACAAGAAAGGATCGCTGAGGATTTCTGGTGTAGCAGCTGCAGAGTAGCTGCGCCCAAGTGTCAGAGTACACATAAAAGACTTGCCTTTAAAAAAACCACCGGGTTCTCAGTTGTGCCAGACACACACGTTTCCTATGCCCTTTAGTTGTGAAGATATCGACAATTAAACTGAAACCAGGGAAAGCTTGCTTAGGTTCAGGTTTCATCACAAATTTAAAACCTCAGCCCAGGTTCATCTGGAGTTCAAAAGCTCAGATTAAGCGAGCCAGATGCTCAATGATGTGTAAGCCTAAATATAAATCAAAAGCAAGAAGAAAAAAAAAGTTAATCCCTTGTGGACTCCAATCAAGTCACCATTCATGTAAACGCACCTGCTGTGCCTAGACAGGAGTGTCTTTCCATAAGAGCTGTAACGGAGACGGGGAAACACCTCCCTAAAATGCAGAATTCTCTGAATGCTGACATTCTAACCAGCATAAATTCCAAATTTACCCAACAGAGTTTGAGGAGAAAGATTTTCATAATGTCACAAGATGCAGTATAAGCTTAAAATGTTTTTAAAAGTCAGAGTGTTTAAAAAATGAGTCGTTGGATAATAGCACTGGGAATGTTTGTTAATAATGAACAGAGTTGAGAAAGATTCAAACCATTTGATCACAGTTTCTATGTTTTCAGCCAAAATATAGAAATACTATATTTTCAGTTAACCCTTGTGATTTTAAAGCAGATTAATGGGGCAAGGGGAGTGTGGAGTCACATAATAATTACCTGAAACTTCGATAACCTAGAGTACCTTTCTGGATTTGAGTTTATGCGTCTGTATTTTATAAAGAAACAAGGCTATTTCTTGCAAGTATTTCATTTTTAATTGAGTTCTGTCGTTCAAAAACCCTAAAAGCTTTCGCACTGCTTCGCAGTGACTGAGCTGAGTTAGACTTCAGCAGCCCAGCCTCCCGGAGCCCTGAGGGTTGGCTCTGTTATATGGATAACCGGCACAGAACTGGCTCGGTGTGTTGCATCTTTCAACTTAATCACCTTCAGACATCTTGTCCCTTGGAATGTGGGATTATATTCATCTCCTCAAAATTCCATGTATGCATAGAAACCTCCGTTCTATTTCTATAAACACAGGAACCGAGTAACTGTTGTCTGTAATTTTGAATAAAAGGTTGCTTATTGAGCCAAAGAGAAAAGAATGAATTTCTTGACTTGGAAATACTCAGAAAGAATCAAAGTATGTTTTCAGGCCCATTGTGGGGTTTTTGCCTTCCACACTCACCGTTGTTTTTCATAGCGACAGTATGGATATAAACATTCCTCATAAATGGAGACGCATGTCGGCATTACCGAACCTGGGTAGGGAATTACTGTGGTGCTCTCAAGCTTGTTTTCATGCTCCTGAGCTTGTCTTGTTCCTCACTAGCTGTGTAGTTGGACAGTCTTCCCAGAGACCTCTGGATTGCTACTTGGGGAGGCACTTCTTTTCGCGTTCCTGGTGCAGAATCACAGCGCTGGATGGTCAGATGGCGCGTTCAGACCACGGCGTGCTCTGGTGGGAAGTGTTCTGATTATGTCCCTCCTGCCCACCAGGAGCAGGCAGCAGCTTATTGTAGCTTTCCATCCAAGACGCAGTTAGGGACGAGACGAGGGAGGAATGAGAAATGAGTACACAGATCTTGTTTCTCAAAGTGGGAAAACCTGTATGAGAGGCTGGGAGGTGGAGCAGGGCCATCGGCCTCCAAGCCCAGGGATAGAGGGCAACCTCTCGAGACCAAAGCAGTGGCTTTTATCGCACCTGCGTTTGGTCTCTCTCGTTCCTTTTTGTCAGAAAACGCAGCTGTGGGTCCGATGGTGGCTTTTCTTCTTCTTCCCTTGTGCTATCTACTCAAATGAGCAAATGCCACAATAGTACTTTTCCAAAGAAGCAGAACTATTAACTATTTATAGCTGGTCATGTAGGTCGTGTTTCAAGCTGAGGCTGGAACTTTCAGTAGCTGTGGGGAAAGTGATGCAAAATGCATCAAAGTTATCACAGTATTGCAATGTTGTTTTTTGTTGTTGCTAGTGCGTTATTGCATTTGAGTACAGTAATATTAGAATGAATATCAGTTCTAATCTTACTTTTGACTTTGGGAGCCCAAAATAAAGGAAGTGAACCTTTCCTGTTATACCCGCTTTTTTTCAGTCAAGCATTGATACGTGAGAGGTATGTTGTCTTCTGTTTAACATTATCACCTTGAATTTGTGTCGCTTCCAGGCATTAGACTTGGTTCTCAACACTATGGATACGAGATTCCTTATTTAAAACATGAAAGGGTGAATATTTATTTTAACCCGCATTTTCATTTGTGTAGCTAACCGAATTTTATGGTTCCTGAAAGAGTGCCTTCACGCAACCACACTTCACCCTGTTTCCATAAAAGTGTAGTTTAATACATCTGCTTTAGAGATCAGGTGAACTGCGTGAAAAAAAATATTTTTAAAAAGCCTGTCGTAATATGGAAAGATTTCTCAGTGCAAGCTTAAACAAATGTTTTATTTAAACGGTTGACCTTTTGGAAAATACTGAACAAAGAAGAAGGATAACATTACTTGTCATTTTATGCAGACAAAGATAACATTTTTTTTTTTAACTAACAAATTGTACCTAAAAGCTAAATATAATTCATCTTGTGATATAAAAGCCAATCAATTAAGACTTAAAAGACAAGTCAGTTTTAAAAAGCTAATGAACTTTTTAGAATACATCTTATGAATAAGAAAAAGCATTAAAATGTATTTTGTTGTAACTTTAAAGGGAAATATGCTTTTTCTACATAGTAAGTCAAATATTATTATTATAAATGTGAATATATTAATTTAAATTAATTACACAGAAGCAAGATACAGTACAGCAAAGCACTTTTTTAATACAAAATGGGTAAAGAGATTCACTCTTCTCAGAAAGCAATTTAATTCTAGTATAATTTCTAAGCTGCCTGACTCAAAGAAGGAAGTAGCTCAGGGTGATTTCTAGTTTGGCACCGAGCGACAATTTGCTTTTTATTCTCTTTGGATCTTGTTCTACGTAACCCTAATTTTGTTTTCAAAGTTGATGTGAGTAGCTTCCTTTTGCTATTTTTTTTTTTACAAGCATTTTCCTTCCTTCATCAAAGAGAGAGAATTAGGTAAGTATGGGTCTCAGCCTCTCAGCTCTCTGGGTCTTTGGCATGACATGTACTGGGGAATATTCTGCTGTCCTCAAACTTTCAAGTCCTGTGTCTCTGCAGGCACCTTCAATAGCATTGCCAAGAGTTTATCATTTCCAACCTGACGGCACACTTAAAAGGGGGCAGTGACTTCAGGGCAGTCAATATGCTAAATAAGAAATAGCCTTAGCCACTTCTCCTATGCTAGAAAGCTTTTGTATTAAAATTTTAAAATAAAGATTTATTCTTCAAATACATAAAATGAACATTCAAACTTCTTAAAATTAAACTTTAGGAACAAGACTTGCACATTCAAACAGGAATGTAGTTTACAGGGAACATACCCAGGAAGGTAACTTGTCTTTATCAGAATACTGATTAAGATGGTGAAAAAAACGTATTTCACCAGCAGTTGTTCTGGCCAACATCTTTCTTAATGACCATCATTTCATATGTGAGGAGAAATTGCTAAATAAGTCTTAGGCTAAACAACAGACTTGGCCTATAATTCAGAGGGAATATTCAAAGCATGTAAGTGAACTAATAAAACTAAACTGTTCTTTATAAATTGAAGTAAAAGCTTGTCAGTTATAATTTTAGCTTCTATAAGGTAAGAGTTAAGTTTTGTGTCTTACCCATTTTAAAAACCAAACTACAGTTTGTTTTTTTGGGAAGTCTCTGGTATTTGCATCTTACAAATTCAAACCACAAATGCTCTATTTTCCATATATACCACTGCTAGGAAGAACAGCAAGTCACTGACTTCCTCACATCTTGAAAGGATGGTTTTTAGCTTTGAGATTTTAGGTTTTCTAGAGACAGCCTATACTTGAGTATGTATGTCAGTCATGTTACTCAAAGAACATTTTTACCGAGTTCTCTGTTCAGAAACTGTTCACAAATGGTTTTTTCATCAGATGGCTTTGCAGGAAGTAGGCTGACTAATGCACATCTTTATAAAATATAAAAATTGTCTCATGCAGGCATTTTGAATGAGATTACCCTGTGACAAAGTATACAGGAATATTTTGTCTTATGAGCTGAGGCTGTGGGACGTGGAGGTGGACCCTGGCTGTAGTCATGGACATAGGCCACCATCGGCCACCATTTGTCATTCTGTGTAATCTTTTCTATATCTTTCAGGTGCTGGTCAGATCCTTGGATTAATTTTTTAGATCTGTTCTGCAGATGAACAGAGGACTTCCGGCTGCGGGACTGCCGGTCCCAGCCTCTTGCCACAGACTCTTTGACTACATTAACTGTTATACATTTGGTCTCTTTCAAAAGTGTTCCAAAGTCCACGGCTTTCTCTGATGTATTCTTTAAGCTCTGATTTTTCTGACACTGGAGAACCTACGTCACTGAAGATCTTCCCTAACCATTTATTGTGCTACTTCAACATGGATGTTAAGGTAATTGCATTCGTTTCATCATCTTTTGGTGTTCAAGGTGTTTATTAAGGTTCTCTTTCTCCTCTCCAACAAAGACTAGATTCCCAGTGGTGGTCTTTTCCAGTATTAAATCATGACACATCTGAAGAATATACCTCAACCACCCTGAGGGATAATACGGGAGGGGTTTTCAATAAAGTTCCAGGTTATCTCTTGAGGTCAGTATACCCCCAATCCTACTTATCATACTGTTTTTCAAAACAGCTTTATTGACTTATACAATGTTATAAGCCAATTATATTTTAATTTTTAAAAATAACAGCTTTATTGAGGTATAATTCACATATAATACATATAAAATATACGTATTAATGGATTTTAGTATATTCAGAGTTATGCAACTAAAACCTAACTTTATAATACTTTCATCACCCCAAAAAGAAACCCCATATCCAGTTACTCTCCATTATATCCAAAGCCCTATCAACTACTGATCTACTTATCCCACACATTTCCTATAAACAGAATTCTATAACGTGATCTTTTGTGATTGGCCTCTTTTACTTAGTGTTTTCAAGGTTCATCTGTGTGTAGCACGTATCAGTACTTCACTCCATTTTATTGCTGAATGTTTTATTGTATAGATAAACTACATTTTATTTACTCATTTATCAGTTGGTGGGCATTTGGATTGTTTTTGGCTATTATGAAATAATGCTATGAACATTTGTGTACAATGTTTTGAGGACATGCGTTTTTAGTTCTGTTGGTTGTAAACCTAGGAGTAAACTTGCTGAATCAAGTTCAACCTTTTGAACAACTGACAGTCTGTTTTCTCAAAGTAGCTGCTCTATTTTATGTTCCCACCAGCAATATATGAGGGTTGTAATTTCTCCACATCTCTCCCATTAGTAGTTATTTCCCTTTTTGATTACAGCCATTCTAGTGCATGTGGTGGAAGTATAGTATCTCATATGGTTTTGATTACATTTCCTTGATGAATAATGGTGATGAGTATCTTTTTTATGTGCTAATTGACCATTTCTTGTACTGGTTTTTGCTTCTTATAAATCTGCTGACAAATCCAGAAACATTTTCAAAATGCAGGATATGTTTTCAGTGCTAAGGCAATTGTTCCGATGCGGCTTTTCTTTGCCCTCTGTGACGTGTTCTGATGTTTTGCTGGAGTGTTGTGTACACACAGACAGTTTGACTTGACTTTGGGCTGCCTGTCGTTGAGCCTAAGCTCAAAAAACACATGGAGACTTTGAAAATCTTTCAGGATAATGCTATACTTAAGATTTTGCTAGAGCAAGTGTTCTTTCTAACTCCTTGAGCTGCATATTGCCTTGTGTAATCATCATCCGGATTGTAACCTGTAAGAGAAAGCGAGATCTGGTCACTGTTTTACCTGGTTTATCCAGGTGCAGCTGTATTATTCTGTTTGTTCAAGTTAAGAACCAGTGCTGAGAATTCAAATTGCTGCATATTAGGGAAGCCAAAATCTAACAGTCAGGAGTGCACAGTGAATGACAGTCATACTTCCCAGACCTTCCTGCCGTAATATTGACAATATTTTCCTTTGTGTGTGTTGGGAGATAAGGAGTGTTAAGAGAAAAGTCTGGTGATGCTAGTGTAGATACTTACAGTAAAGATTGTAAAATTTTAAATATCGATAGTTAAGAAAGTGGAAAATCAGTAACATTAGAGCAATGATCAAGATATCTCATCTCAGTGACTTTTATATTCCAAGATGTCTACCAAACGTTTTTTAAAAATTCACCGAACAAGACAAAAAAGGGCTGGCAACTGTCATTACTATGATCTTGTTCTTACCTCCTCGGTGGCACTTTTGTTTCTTTTGAATTCTTCCCTGGCCCAGTCCTTCAGGTATTTGCGATCAGAATTGTTTGGAACTTGCTGAATGGCTTGCAAAATCCTTCTGTAGAGAAGGAGAACTTGCTGCCTTCTCAAGAACTGTGCAGGGGAGGAGAAGTGGCCATTACAACCGCACAGTGTACAGCCCAGGGGCTCCACTGTAGCAAAACAAACTGTAACCAGATCACTTCCCTTTGGCCCTTCATTTTGAAAAGACAAAGAGAAATCCTTTTATTTTTCTCTTAAGAAAACAAGTTTATTTGGGCTGTTTGCTCTGTCAACCATAAGAGCCCTTAAAATGGAGAGCTGAATGTTGGGCAGAAAAACTGCAACCACAACAAAAGCACTTTTTCTAAATGCCCGCTCTTGTGAAAATCCCCCGGTAACCTCATCCGCTCTTTCTGCAGATCAATATCATTGGCAGGGCCTCAGGGCTCCAGATCAAGAGCCTGCCCAGCCTTCTCTGTCCTACCAGACTGGTTTCTGCCTACACGCCCCACACCAGCCCTCCCCAGGCCCCGCCCCTCCAGCCCTCCCCAGGCCCCGCCCCCTCCAGCCCTCCCCAGGCCCCGTCCCTCCAGCCCTCCCCAGGCCCCGCCCCTCCAGCCCTTCCCAGGCCCCGCCCCTCCAACCCTCCCCAGGCCCCGCCCCCTCCAGCCCTCCCAGGCCCCGCCCCCTCCAGCCCTCCCCAGGCCCCGCCCCTCCAGCCCTCCCCAGGCCCCGCCCCTCCAGCCCTTCCCAGGCCCCGCCCCTCCAGCCTTCCCCAAGCCCCGCCCCCTCCCAGCCTGCCTGGGGGTCACCGGGCCCAGTAGCTCCCCAGACGCGCCCCGTAGGTTGGATGCAGGGAGAGACGGAGAACTGGGCTTAGACCCGGGGACGCTGTCCTCGAAGGCCCTGAGAATAGCCGGTACCTGTTTTAGCGTTAGTGTCGCTGGAGGTAAGCGGGAAGTAGCCATGTCCTCCACACCGCGGGTAGGTTAGAGTCACAGTGCGCAGGAGCGGAAGTGGAGGGAGGGCCGAGGGGGCGGGGCGAGTTCGGTTTCCTGGGAGACGCCTGTAGCTGGGAGTCAGCTTGCAGCCTGGGGAGTCAGTTTGTTGTCTTAGCCCAGTGGTCGGCAAACTCATTATCAACAGAGCCAAATATCAACAGTATAACGATGGAAATTTCTTTCGAGAGCCAATTTTTTTTTTAAACTTAAACAACTTCTAATGCCACTTCTTCAAAATAGACTCGCCCAGGCTGTGGTATTTTGTGGAAGAGCCACACTCCAGGGGCCAAAGAGCCGCATGTGACTTGCTAGCCACAGTTTGTCCCCTAGGGTCTTAGCCCGAGTCTCATGGGTTAAATGGGATGGCAGTTTCTGTCATGGACGGTTGAGAATGAAGTGAGTGGAAAGGCATTTAGCACATGGTTATGAGTTTCATTAAATGGAAGTTCAGTTTTTTAGAGGTGAGGGGGGAAATTATTCTGGTGTACTCCTTTTGAACTTTTTGAATGTGTACAATTAGGAATACTAGAAGCTTACATGTTAATTTATTTTAAAATTTGTGCCCTCTTCCTTTGTCTTTTTCTCATCCTGCCCTTTTTAATTGCAATCATTTTCCTGGCAGGTGGCAGTCTTCACCATCCTCGTTAGTTACCAGACTTTCAATGGCTGCCCCATTGCAGCTTTAAGAACCTTGTATCACTAATAACAAGGAAATGCACATCCTGTCTTCATCTCCTCATAATTATCTTGTCCTCCCCACAACACACACAAAAGTATTTAGATTATAATACTATAAGGGGGTTAGTGAATCTTTGCTGTATTTATTTTCTAAATAGGGTGTTCCAAATTAAAATACAAAAAATAGGATCTTTCAATGATCTGTTTACTTGATGAACATTTACAAATATGTTCAATTACCTGTTGCCTTGCTTTTTGGTGCTTCCTTTTCCAAATTGTGCTCTGGCTGCCAAACCTCCCATTGAAGTGAGATGATAGCATCTCCCTCAGAGCCCTTGTGTGTGTAATGCACTGAGAACAGGGTGTTGCACATATAGGCACGCTAATGGTGAGGGTTTTTTTTTTTAACATTACCAGGCTTACCCCATGACCACTTTTTCAAAATTTGTGTACTTATTAGCAATAGCAATTCATTGATTCCCCCCCCCCTTTTAATTAATGTTTGCCCAGCTGGCAGGAGGTCATGGTTTGATTCCTGGTCAGGGCACATGCCTGGATTGTAGGTTCCATCCCCAGTGTGGGGCGTGCAGGAGCTGATAAATGATTCTCTCATCACTGATGTTTCCTTCTCTCCTCTCCCTTTCTCTCTGAAAATCAATAAAAATACACTTAAATGTTAGTGAAGTTAAATATCCCTGACCACTTTTATTTTTTTAATATATATTTAATTGATTTTTCTCAGAGAGGGAGAGAGATAAAGCCAGAAACGTCGATGAGAGAGAAACACCAACCAGCTGCCTCTTGCACACCCCCTACCGGGGATGTGCCCACAACCAACGTACACACCCCTGACAGGAATCGAACCTGGGACCTTTCAGTCCGCAGACCGACGCTCTACCACTGAGCCAAACCGGTCTCGGCTCCCTGACCACTTTTAGTTACATTTCTTTTTTGAATTGTATGACTTTGGTCCATTAATGCTGATTTAGACTTTTTTTTATATATATATAATTAATTGATTTGTTTAACTTATTGTTTAAAGTAAGGAGTTTTATTCTAATTTTATGTGGGCTGTTTGTCTATTTTTTTGTTCCTTTTAAAAAAAAATTTGGTCCTTTATGTAGCTTTAACTCTCTATACAATAATGTGTATTTTTTGAGGCTTTTCAATTTTTAATTTTTTCATGTCAATGTTTAAAATATTTACTCCAACTAGAATTTATTTTGATTCATGGCATGATGTGGATGTTAAGTTCTTTTTCAACTGCTCTTTTGATACTTTTGATACCATTTAATAGTTTATTCCTCTTCCTGGACTTTGTGAGGCCTATATGGTAAATTCTCTTAGAATTTGAATAATCCAGGATTATTTCACCTGTGACTAGTTTTTAATTTTTGTTGAGTTGTCTATTATCTGGCAAGAAGACTCCCCTATAGTTCCTTGCCCAAATCTTAATCTTCTGTAGAAAACCTTTAGAAATATTTTGTATTTCTAGACCCCCACCCATGCATGAATTCATGCACTGGGCTTCTAGTAAATTAAAAAATGTGTGAGAACAGACATTTTTACCCCATTTCTTCTTCCCATCCAGACATTTGTTTGTTAGGCACTGGCAATGCTGTCATGAGCCATGTATGCTCCCTGTCCGCAGCCCCACACTTTGGGCAGGAAGACATGTAAGTCTAATACAGATGTCAAGGTTCATAATATGGGGCTCATTCTTCCTGGAGGGTTTTTCAGAGCCATGTGTTTGTCAGAAAGCAAAGCAGGTAAGAGAATTCCAGAAAAGAATGTGTGGAACAGGGCAGATTCTAGAATCCCTGTTGTTTGCTGTGATAGATGGAATAGTGTGGTAGGGATTCAGAGAGAGCAAGGCAGCAGAGTCAGGGCACCCTGATAATGTCCTCTTCACAGCGGAGACTTCTGGAGGAACTTCTGAAAGATCTCCTTGGATATTATGAGTAGGATGAAGTGAAGTGGTTACTACAGGATACTATTTAGTACTGGCTACAGTAAAAGAATTCCCGCTACAGTGCCATCAGAGAGTCAGATAAGATAAACACCTAGAAGTTAGAGCAGACAAGACTAGGGTTTGGATGAAGAAAGAAAAGTAAGGCAGATGTAAAGACTGAGTAGCAGTGTGTCCTCGGAACCTTCTAAGTGATGTGTGCTTTGTACTCTGGGCCAGGGTCTGCCTGCCCCCCTGCCCCAATCCCTGATAGGTCTCCTGTAACTGCTCCCATGCTTCCTAACCCTTTCTCCATCACAGCACAAGCTGAAAAGGGCACTCTTGGGTAGCTGCTTACTGGAATGCCTACTGTCCCAGACCCAACCAGCTGCTCCAGGGCTGAGGGAGTCACTATCTTAGCAAACCAGCTGCAGTGCTCTGGTTTAGATGGTCCTATCAATTAAAGGTAGAGGGAGACTACTGTATCACTGTCATAATGTCGTTTTCTCCCCTACCAGATCCAATCCTACCCCATAAACGGCTTTGACATGAAATCTGAATGAAGAGATGTGTCATTTTGGAACAGAATCTTTACGAGCCATTGTTTCCACCAACTCGCCATTTCTCCATCGCCACGAGGCCCGCAACTCACCCTCTGTGGACATGGAAACAAGTAAGAAATGAACCTGACTATAGGAAAAGCCACTGATGTTGTGGGGCCATGCCAGTCTAAGGTAGTGACAGCTGACTGGTCCAGCAGATAAGACCATTCCCTTTGTACTTCTCTGTTGTTTCCATTAAGAACGGTCACAAATTACATCACCACTGATATATTTTTTAATAGTTTTCAGAATATAAGCTGCATAGCTTTTTAGAATAAAAAATAAATGATATAACATCAGGTTCAGGTACATGCTTTGGGACTCTTGGTTAAACAAACAACAAACAATCTGTGTCTTTGTTGACCACCTCAAAAAGAGTGGCAAACTTCACAGTGTAACTTGATAACAGACATGGAGATAACAGACATGGAGATAGACGATTATATCATGGCATGTTGTCTACAAAACAACATTCTGACGGTCAGAACTTAAGTAGAACAGTTTCAAGTATTCAAGCACTGCTTTCTGGCCAAGTAAAAACCGTTGATGTATTTTGACTGGGGGAAAAAAATAGATGTAGCTGCTTAGTTCTTCTGGATACAGCATATCTTTTCCAGAATAAAACTGGCTCAGTCCAGCTTGAAAGCAGTGTAAGGAATGATTCTTCCCCTTAACTGATAAGAAAAGGAACTAACTAAATAAATTACTACAACAGCAGGGACTATGGCACTGAGAGAATGGAATACACAAGGGGATAATCATCTTCCCATCATTGCATAGTCTCCCGAAGCAGCAAATGTGAAGGACACTGAAAAAGCCACTTCATTTTTACACAGCCCACGGATCAGCTCCGCTTACCGGAGCCCAGGGCGGCTTTGTGAGCACACATACACCTCCCGAAGAGGAGGCAGTTCTTTTCCCGGGAAGCACTGCAAGGAAACACACTCAGCCTCTGAGGACTGCAGCTGTCTCAGCCACTTGACAGCTTTTGGGTCTACACTTATGGGCTTAGCAAAGCCAAACCTTAGAGTGGGGTCAAAAGCACAGCTCCCGTCAGGCCTTTAGCCAAAGGACTGGCACAGCTCCGGGCTCCTGGCAGCATCTCCTCAAGGCAGGTGTCCAGGGTCCCTTCGAGGGAAAGCAGACAGCTGGGCCCACGGTGTGGACGGGCTGGCCTCCTCTCAGGCCACAGCTTCCAAGATGGGCTGGCAGGTCAGTCTCTCAGGTACGAGACCAGATGCCTGCTGCTCCTTCGCTGCCCCACCTGTTATAAGAACAGTAGCCTAGGCCAAGCAAGGAACCCAAGTTTTCTCTGAAATCATGTCAAAATGTACAGTGCAATACATTTTTATAAATCAGACCTAAGATAAAACTTAGAGCTGCAAATTCAGAAACTGTGTCCGGAAAGAAGCACCTGGGCAAGAAGTAGCTCTTGACCGAGGTTTAAAGCCTCAGCTTTGGTCTACAGGTGGTCAGAGGCTGTCACTAACTCAAACCACTGCCTGAGAGCATCGCTGAGCGTCTCGGGGAGTGCATTCACGTCGCGAAGAATTATGTAGAAGGGGAATGGGAACTCCTCCATGTAGGATCGGATTTCAGGCAGCTCCCCGGGTCCTTTAAATATTGGCACTTTAATGTCCAAGATAGAATCCTGCCAACAGAAGACATTTTGAAATAAATCAGTGTCCTTCGCTAGCTCTTCCAGGCTCTCTCTCACCAACATTTTTTTAGGTCTCCCATATGTAATTCCTGCCTGTGAGAGTAGCTTTCATTACTAAGTAAAACAAAACTTTCAGAACTCCTTAAGGAGGAAAGTCTTTCTGAGCACCCCTTCTAGAACAGGCACTGAAAGGGGGATAAGAAAACCCAATTTCCCTGTGACAAGTGTGTTCCATTCTCAACTTGAGTTATTCACATTAGATCTTCAACTTGCTGTCTAGGCTTAACCTGGCCTGCAGAGACCATGCTTCCCTGGAACAGAACTGGCTGTGGACTAACATCTTTCACTTGGCGGCTGATCTTCCTGTTGGGAGGAGGGCACTGCAGAGGTATGAGTAACTGTCAGAAACTGGTATGGGTAATTAAGGGGTGCTCTCTGGAGTCAGCCAGAATGCTGCCTTTCCTACTCATCACCTATAATCAGTGATTCTGTCCTTCACTAAAATGGGAATAATCCCCATCTCACTGGGTTATTGCAAAGTTAAATGAGAAAATTATAAACGCCTAGAGGAGGGCCTGACAGAACACTGTGTTAGGAATTCTGAGTGTGATGGTGCAACCCAAGCCATATTTCAGATAGAACAGGCTGAAGAACACCTCAACGTTATCCCCAGAAAAGTGGCTTTTCGTAGCTGCTCACCCGGGAACTGGGATTATCCAACACCACAAAAATGACAAAGATGTTCGCATTCCGGGCAGCCTGGACTGCCGCCAGGACTCTGTCTTTGCCCTCGAGGAAGAGGCCGCGCCCATCAGAGACCACCAGGAGGAGCTGTGCAGTGTCTATAGTAGAACACAACGAAATCCATCTTTAACAAGAAATCCATCTTTAACAATAATTCAAAACTACCTAAAGTAAGACAAATCAGTATAGGCTTTCTCTGTATTATTGACATCAAACAGCTCTAGATCCGATACATTCTGGGCATAAGTAAAAGGGACCTCTATTTAGGTGTTACTTCAGATGCCTGCGTCAGGGACGGCATAACATACAAAGCTGCTGGGAATAAAACAGTTTCCCAGTAGTGTTTCAGGGGATGTCACATTTAGGTCAACTTCTCTGGAGAATCCTCTCTAATAAAAGGGTAATATGCAAATTGACCATTACTCCAACACACAAGATGACCTGCAGAGGAGTGCAGTTGGGGAAAGGACCAGGCTGGCAGGCAGAAGCAGTTAGGGGCAAGCAGGTGAGTGGTTAGGAGCCAGCAGTCCTGGATTGTGGGAGGGAAGTCAGGCATCCCTTGAGGGGTCCGAGATTGGAGGCATTGCAGGCTGGGCTGAGGGACACACCCCTCCTGTGCATAAATTTCATGCACCGGGCCTCTAATTAAAATATAAAAATGCAGTACCGAGGAGGATATTAGAAGAAAGTGTCTGTTAAAAATCTGGATCCATCTCTCAAAAAAATTTTTTTAAATATATTTTATTGATTTTTTTACAGAGAGGAAGGGAGAGAGATAGCTAGAAATGTCGATGAGAGAGAAACATCGACCAGCTGCCTCCTGCACACCCCCTATTGGGGGTGTGCCCACAACCAATGTACATGCTCTTGACCGGAATCAAACCTGGGACCTTTCAGTCCACAGACCGACACTCTACCGCTGAGCCAAACCGGTTTCGGCTGTCTCTCAAATTTTTTCTGATTCCCTTTAAAAACTCAGGGGGGGGGCATTAAAAAATAAATGGTGAATTAAAATGTTTAAAAATATTCAGTGTATAATGTTATCAGCTAAAGATTATAGTGTCTGAGGGTGGGCTGTCTTTCTTTGTCAAAGACCTTTACCAAGTCTTGAGATGTATGAAAAAGACTTGCTTCCAACAGTTCTCCATGATACTATCATAACAGAGATTTCTGTGAAGAACTAGATAAAGAACTGGTGTGTTTCAAGGCCCAAATCAATCATGGCTGGGTTAGCTGGTTTCTGAATTATGTCCTCCTCTGTGTGAATATTCTGTAATATTTAATAACTTGCTCTTTCATAACTCTCAACCCAATCTATCAAGTAAGTGTATATAGTTCAGTAGTATCTAATTCCTTCATTTATTATAAGCCTCCTGAGTGTGGGTTTAATAAAAATTTCTAAATAAAGGAGTAAAAAAAAATTCCAGATTGGCTAATACCTCTCCTGTTTCTTGCTTTCCCTATAGAGCATCCACATTAAAAGATGGTGATGGGTGCAGTGAGATAGAGCAGGCAACTTGCAAATACAGATAACAGAAAACCATCTTGTCAACAAAGGTAAGGGAATGCAGCTCACCTGGACTGATGTTCTGTGAGAGCTGCCGAGCGGCTGCAAACATGTTGGCTACCGACTCTAGAAACTGAAACAGACAATTAAACTCTCTTCACATTTTACAGGCAACCTAACTATCCCTTCAGTCACCTGAAGTCAAGGACCACTGCTTGGTATTCACCCTTGAAATATGGCATACACCCCACTAGTGTTCTACATGACACCTCAAAGGAAAAGAAATACTTTTACTGGAGGATAAGAAGTGAATTAACTCCCCAAACAAACAAAACAGCTGTCTTTAAACACAAAATGTCCACATCAGAATTACTGTCTCATGCTGTTTTGAGAACCTGTCATCATGAGCAAGTCATGTGGCTTTATTTTACATCATTTCTTTTCTAAGTTAACCGGGGAGAGAGATTGGCCCTGACCCTGAAAAGGGAAATGGTTTATTTTTCAAAAATATTCCAAACCTCTCAAAAAAAATAAGGAGCCAGAAAATTGAAGATACAAAGTCAAAAATGACCTTTGAGAAACTGAGGAAAAAGAGGATACTCTGTTAATGGGTGCCAGGAAGTTTCTATCCCGGCAGGACACAGGCTGGGGTTTACGACTGTTCTGTGTTGTAAATTTTGCCTGTCCTTAGTCCACACTGGGAGGAAGGTGTTCTGAAAATCATGCCTCCACTAAACGAGAATTTCTGCAGAGACATTTGATGTCATAAGCATACCTGAGCAATCTTGGTTTTTTTTTGTTGGAATTTGCAGAGCCGTAGAATCTGGGACCCCGAGTGATCACTGAACTGTTCGTGGAATGGGTGTAATAGCTTTACGGACTCTCCAAAACTTGGGGGAAAAGCCAAATATAATGAAGATTATTTTTTGTCACGTGAACAAAATAACCCTAGAAGACTAGTTTTCCAATGTGATTAAGAGGCACTCTTACCTGCACACTGCAATCTGACCCACTTCCAGAAGAGTTAGAGCATTTCCAATCACAGCCAAAGATTCAAATGCAAGCTGTGAAATAGTTAAGGGTTTGAAGGAATCAGAATATCAAACTTTTTTCTTTCTTTTTTTGTATAGCCCATTAATACATTGGGCTATTTACAACCAACCCAGAAGCTTGGTGTCCTTGGACCCTGGCTAATACCACAAATGCTGAAACCCATTATACTGGTAGAAAAGGTTTGCTCTAGACATCATTCCACAAAGTGATCTTGAGATATTTGGTCCATAAATTTTAAAAACTTACTTTTATGGTGACACAAAAAGTAATTAAAAAATTTTAATTATGTATATATGACTGCATTAGTTTTAAATTTAAATTCATATATAAAGATTATGATGATACATATGGCAACTAACATCTAAATACCTATCAAGTGCTACACATTAAACCAAGTATTCTACATCCATTTAATTTAGTTTTCCTAACAACTCTGATGAACTGCCAAAGTCACACAGTAGTAGAGAGTCACGTGGTAGTGGGGAGCTGAACCCAGGGTCAGAAGTTAAACTTTTCCAGCAGAGCCTACATGTACATTTTAGGTTGCTTGTTGGCTTGTGTTGTGTAACAGCAAAAAACAACACTCTTCATTGTGCATATTACTTTCTATATAATTAAGTAATTCTATTCAGGCTCCTAAGCCTTGTTGGTACTGATAGAACTCTAACCCTAGATAATTTCAGACTTAATAGAAAGGTGTGATGAATACATTTTAAAAAGATATGTTGTGCATGGTTAAAAGAATGGCAGTACATTACATTTTGTGGAAAATACACATTGTCAGATTTACTTATTCTGCAGTTAGACAATACATAGCATGGCTATAAAACAATTTTAAAAACATACAACAGTAGGCACCAAAATATTTGAGATATCTTGAAATTGTCCTTTTGAACTCTTTAAATTAACCTGGTGTTTCCTCCAGGTCATATCTAAAGCATTTGATGCCCCAGGCACAGGGTTTGATTTAGATAACTTCTCTTTCTTACCTGTTTGGTATGGTTGTCTACCATGCTAGAGGAGTCATCGATAGCCAAACAAATCTGATACTGGCGTTTACTGGGCTTGGTCCTTCGGAGCCAAATCTTGTCTTTTCGGAATTGACTAGCAATGTATGGGATGACCTTCCGCATGTTCAATCGCTTCCCAGTTCGATAGTCTCCTCTATTAAATTTACCCAAATGGGACAAAGATTAAAAATTGCTCATCCTTTGAAAACTTTAAAAATACATCATCCCCAGTTATACAAAATAACCAGTGACCTGGCATAGTGAAGTGTTACTGCAATTGAGGTTTAAGGGCCAGGATCTCCTTGATCAGCAGCCAGAAAAACTGGCTATGTATGTGACACAATAAAAATTAGATCCAAAAAAATTAAGAGACTTTTTTAAATTAAGTTTGCATTGAATATTAAGTCTTGGATTCTCTTTTCTGTTCTACAGCTATAATCTTGGATCCATCTTTGAAAAGATCTAGGTGAGTAACATGCAACAAGCGAATAACCCGACATACAGCAGCAATATAAGCAGTACACACAAAGGCTCAGCAATTTCCCATCAGTTAATCATGAATCAAAGGAACTGGGTTTGTGCCAAACTTCACCGAATCCTGTGGTAGACAACAGACTAGGGAACACTATGCTGGAGCCTGTGCAGCAGAAATGGCAATCCGAAGCCGTAAGTGGTTAAGTGCTGCGCTCAATGGAAAAGGCGATACTGCCATCATTTCAGGGCTGTTCAAGTGCACCCGAGGGAGACGACTTACTTCAGCTTGGCTGCCTGGGTGGGCTCTAGTATGAGACGAAGCTGTTCACACAGCTGTTGTGAAAGAGGTGCCGTTAAGATCAGGTAGCTGTGCCACATTTCAGCTGCAGCCTTTTCCTGTGACAACAGAAGAACATGTACGTTACCTTCACAATGTCAGAGCTGACAGGTCATTACAACCAGGTGAAGCTTTGACACTAAGAAACATTTCAAAATTTTTCTTAGCTGCTATCTAATTTACTTGATTAAAAATGTCTCCCTTCACACAAAAACCACAATTCACAGTTCAAATTGTAAAATATTGAAATACATGACCAAATCAGTGCCTTCTTCACATCATCTGCAGAGTATAACCTGTATCCTTCATGTGGAGAGGGAGCTGTGAATGGGTAATTTTGGTCTCAACAGATCCAGCCCCTTAATTGTGGGCTCTCAGGGTCATGTTTTAAAAGCAAAAGTGACACATTAAACAGTGTGCTTATTTCCTGGAAACAAAGCTCCACGTTTTTTTGTTTTGCCAACATGTGGTGGGGATGATGATGAGACATAAAATCAAATAAAATATGTATGTATACAGTAAATTCAGAATGCAAAGAAATTAAAAGTGAAACTTCTGATTGATCTACACTTCCGTAATACACCACCTACTAATGCTCCAGGTGGCTTGAGAATGATATAGTATCCTTTTGCCCCGTTTTCACCATTGAAACAACCATTACAGAGTAAACAACAGAAGTTAAAAAAATTAATCACATCATTTCTGTTTTAATTTAAACTAAAGGTCTAGTGGCAAAGCAGGCAAGGGACAAACTTGAGAGCTTTAGGATTATAATTATACTCCATGTACTCAGTCCCTTTTACAAAGGTTCTGGAGCTAAGGATCTATTAGGTTTATGTATCTTAACAAAAGTCAAGATATTGTATGAAAAGGCCAGTGACTTACTTCTTCTGGGTTTCCAGGTTCATGTGGCTGCCACCTTTCCAGCTGTCTCTCCAGCTCCTGTCTTAGCTCATCAACATCTTTTAAAAAGGACTAAGAAGAAGAAAAACCACAAATGAGAGGCAGCCCAGGTTGGAATCACAAACGCAGTCAGGCTGCCTTCTTCTCTGCAGTATGAATCCCACCCTCCACTGGGGATCGAGCCTGCAACCGGGGCATGTGCCCTTGTCTGGAATCGAACCCAGGACCCTTCAGTCCACAGGATGATGCTGTATCCACTAAGCCAAACCAGCCAGGGCAACACACAGGCAAATTTAATGGCATAGTAAGGAGATGCCAGACAACAATCCTTCTGCTTCCCATTTGTTGAGACAAGATGGATAAAGGAAATGTTAACTTTTATCAATTGAATCCAGAAAAACAAAACCAAATGCCCAAGAAGATATCAATAATGAAATAATTATTTGATTAATCACGACTGCCATTAAGTCAAATAATTAGGGAAAGCAACTTGGTTACTCTGTTCTTCCTAAATGCAGGCATTAAATCAAAGATCCTGTTACTTAACCAACACAAACTGTTAACCCTCCTGTCAGCTCCTTACACAGGATGGTGGACATGAGAAAAGATGTGACAGCTGGAGGCCCAAGGACCAGATCCACAGTCACCCCAGGTCAGGGCACAAATCACCTGCTGTGACCCTGGGATTAACCATTAGAACAGTGTTTTATCTGCTTAGAGAACACTTGTCATACCAACAGTGATCCTAAGAAATCTGGTAAGGATATGATACCCCAAAACAAACAGGTATTCCATAAAGTTTTAAAGACAATGATTGAAAAGGAATTTATAATTACATGTCAACTTAGTGAAGTAGTGACTTCTGAAAGATTATTTACCCCCACCCTAATCACCCTACCCCTACTTGTGAAAGTTTTAGTACCTGGAAAATCGTGTCCACGAGGAACTGATGGGCCGTATGAATGGTTGAATCTCGGCTTCTCTCAGGTTTCTCATTCTCTGCCTCCTTGGGGGATCTGTCTGTCCTAGGGTCTTGGTCTTCCTCTGCTTTAAAAGTTTTGGTCTCCATCTCATCAACGCCTATTTTCATAAAAAGACAGAGTTACTTATCATACGTATTAACATAAAGGCAGCTTTCATGGTTGTCTTTCAATCCTAACAATTACTCAGACTTCACTCATTCACTCCCCAGCATGTCTCCACTTAATGGTTCCACATGTTCTTTCACTCTGTAATGGTCATTACCAATTCTTATTCCCCTAACTTCTCCTTCTCCCCACCTTGATATTGAAGGCAGCTGTTCTGGGGAGGTGGAAATAGGGGAGATGATAGTTCACATTGACAAGCCCTGAAAAACTGTGATTCTTTAAACTGTGTGCATGTAGAGCTTTGATAAAAATAAAAACTAAAATAAATCATTGTTCCATTTTATAGATGAAGAAACTGAGGCTAATAATTTGCCTTAAATGTGAAGTGAGAGGCAAAGTCTAGATTTGAATCTGCGAGTCGATCACAGAGTTGTGCCTTCCCACCATCATATAATGGCCAGTCAATCCAGGGTAGCAACACCTCTAAGAGGGCAGGAAGGAGGAAGAAAAAGTTTTCTAATTTGGCAAGTTCTTTTGAATTTGCATTTGTTCCATTACTGACAGTTAATTTTTACACTGCTTATAGTATTACATTTCTTGGTATTTTAAAAAAAATCTATTTTTATTGATTTCAGAGAGAAAGGGAGAGATAAAAACATTAATGATGAGAGAGAATCACTGATTGGCTGCCTTCTGTATGCCACCCCCCCAATCAAGCCCACAACCTGTTATGTGTCCTTGATCAGAATCAAACCTGGGACCCTTCAGTCTGCAGGCCAGCACTTTATCCACTGAGCCAAGCAGCTAGGACTTGGTATTTTTTTTTTTTTTTTAATACATTTTATTGATATTTTACAGAGAGGAGGAAGGGAGAGAGATAGAGAGCTAGAAACGTCGATGAGAGAGAGACATCGACCAGCTGCTTCTTGCACACCCCCTTACCGGGGATGTGCCCGCAACCAATGTATATGCCCTTGACCGGAATCGAACCTTGGACCTTTCAGTCTGCAGACCGACGCTCTACCACTGAGCCAAACCGGTTTCAGCTAGGGCTTGATATTTTTAATGTATTTTTTATTTTAGAGAGGAGGGGAGAGAGAAATAGAAACATCAATGATGGGAGAGAATTACTGATCGGCTGCCTCTTGCACACCCCACACTGGGGATGATCAAGCCCACAACTTGGGCTTGTGCCCTTGACCAGAATCAAACCTGGGACCCTTCAATCCGCAGGCTGACACTTTATCCACTGAGCCAAACTGGCAAGGGTTGAGAGTTATTTTTTACTGGGTTGAATATATTTTAAAAGATAAAGACCTTGTAATAGCCATTGGTCAACTATGAAATTGAACTGTATGTAAGGAGGTTTGTTACTTTCTCACATATATTGTCCCCATTCTATATTTAGAACATTTTTACTGTATATTTTCATGTAATAGAAAACCTTTCTCTAATAGTCAAGAATATACCTTCTTGTCACAATTGGATAAGTGCTCTATTCTGTTCTGCATGTTTTAAAAAGGTGGATGGGATTTTGTCTGAAAGACAAGTTTCAGTGGTCTCCTTGAAAGAGTGTCTTGCAACACCACTCTTCCACTTTTCCACTATGAAATACGATAGAGTGACATGATGTGGAAGTAAAATACAGGGCAAGAGAAGCAACTTCTCTAAGTCAGAGAGCTTAGGAGGGACCTGTTTTCTGTAAGACTCACCGGAGCCTGCTGTGGTCCCTGACTTGATCTCCTCTGGCTTCAGCTGCTCCGTGTCCACTGCTTTGAGCTCCTCCTGCTCCTCCACGTCCATGAAGATGTCCTCTCTTTCTTCCTCCTCCTGCTCCTTGCTGGAATCTTTTGCAGATTGTTGCTGCTCCATGCTGGCTACATCTGTTAAAACAGTGTACACACACATAGAAAGCCTGTCTTTGCAGAACAAAATAATCATGAGTGGGTGTGGGTTCTGTCATTAATGCTGGTTCTGCCACTGATGGACTATGGGCCTTAGACACAGTGCTGGGCTTGTTTGTGCCCAAGATGTCCTACTAACCTAATTATGTAACTTCTGTTCTCTCCATCCCACCTCCTCAAGCCTATCATGTAACTACACATGTGACCACAGAAGTAGGATGTTTAGCTGAACCAGAACAAACAGGCTGGATACATGGCACATGATTCAGAGCAGCTAATGGCATCATCTTCCATTACTAAGTGATGGTAACACTTAGCACAAAAACACGAACATGGGAATCCTGCATCCTGATCTTGGACAAGTTCTTAAACTTCTTTGGCTTCAGTGTTCTCATCTATAAACTTGAGATATCCCCACTCCCGAGATGGCTAGAGGAATCCATGACCATGCTCAGTATCTGGCACAGTAAAAGCTCAATACATGGTAGCTGTGACCATTATTTTTTATTTTCCTAAGGGGTAGGGACAGAAGAGGAGAAAAGTAATCTATTGCAGAGGAATTGCTTCTGTACTATCCTCATTGGTAGATATTATCAATAGAACTTCACATATTAGGAATAAAACTGTGGAAAGTCATCAAGAACTAGAGAGACTGACAAATGACTACTCCCTTTTCATGTAAAAAAAAACACACGTATTTCAAGTTTATGGCTTTTGCCACTGCAGGGAGTAGCCTCAAGGTGATTATGAAGAAATCTCTAGGACTCTGAAAGCCCTAGATCAGTGCTGGGTTTGGATACAACAGTTATCCAAGGTATTTTAAAAACTTACACTAGACCCAGAAACACTGAGTATATGCCCTTGGCTACAGACACCTTTAAACAAAAAGCAAAAGCCATTCCTCTCCCCCCTAAAGATAAATTTATAGTAACAGCTGGCAGCACACAGTCACACAGCATAAGCGCTCAAGAAAGCTCAGTGACCAAAGAAACCTTCCCTGCACCTACCATAGGTCTGCGCATCGTAAGGGTCGCTCCCTTGTTTAATGTGCTCAAATTCAGCCGCGTCCTCTGCCTGGTCCTGGGGCTGGGCCGGGGTGGGCTCCTCTGTGTGACTGTCCATATCCACAGTCCTCAGCCTCTTGTGCACGTGCTCATTGTGATCACCCATGGAGCGTTCATTGTTGGCCTGTCCAGGTTTCCTCTTAAAACTCTGGGAAATAGGAAATTCATCAGAGCCTTATCTAATAGTAAAAGACTAAAAATAACCACAGTGCCCGTCCCTGGGGGGCTGGTTAAGTAAATTAGGTACAGCCATACAAAAGTGGAATTCACCATAGCTGTTATAAAGAATGGGTAGTTCTTTACATACACATATCCACATATGCAGAGATCATTAAGAAGACAAAACTGGTAGTACCCACTTCCTTGGGTGACTTGAGAACAAGAATAGGATGTATATAAAGATTTTGTATGTGCATAAATTACACCCCATTAAAAAAACATCTTTTAAACTCCAAAGACTATGGACATTGAAAAGAGTAATACTGGCTGGCGCTGGGCAGCAGCACTAGGATCTTAGGCTCTGTAACAGGAATGGGGTGGTGGTGTGTGTGTCCATGACGCTGCACAGGTCCACTGGGAAAGCCCCAAAGTTGTGGCCTACTCACCATGGCTGCCATAGAGTCTGGTCGAACAGGGACAGCAAAGGTAAAGAATGTGGTTTTTTTTTTTTTTTTTTTTTTAAATCACCATGTTTAGAGTATTTTTTTTATTTTACATGCAGCCTTTAGTTTAGCGGAAGAGTGATAGACACCTGGGTGTTTTTCCTGGTCTGTTTCTGGGAGGCCAACCGGGCGATGACATTGGATTCGTGGCCTTCTGCCTGGTTTGCGTCCGCAGCTCCACTCCCGTGTTCCTATGAAAGCCAAGCCATAATGAATGAGGATGGAGGAAGCTGCCAAGCACCTGGCTACTGTGCTGCATTGTGCACAACTTCTCTCACCATTATTCTCATCTCAGAGAGAAACTGTCACACCTGCCTGCCTGCTCTGAAGCTCATCTATGACTACAGCCTGGCCTGTGGGCAGAAACAGGAGCATCTAGACCTGGACCCGTTACCAACACTCCGGGTGATCTCACTCTGCCGGCTGACAGTTCTTAGTTTATAGGAGTGTAATGGCTCACTCTGAAGGCTGGACAGATCTGATTGGAAACCAGGCTTCATCAGCAACCAGCTTTATACACTCGAGACTATCATTTAACTTCCCTGAAGGCTATTTAACTCAAGTGTTAAATGGGGAAAATAACAATATCAGCTACCTTAAAGGGCTATTTTAAGAACTTGCTGAAGAAATGAAATGCTTAGCACCTTATGGGTGCTTGATGGGGTAGAGGTGTAAGTATATAAGCAGTGTAATTACTGGGGAGAAAATGGGCTGAGAGAGGCTCCAGGAACTGGTAGAGTCACTGCTGCATTAGCAGGTCGTTTGACCCCGAGCGCTCATAGCATGCCAGCGGCCCCAGCTGTGGCCACATACAGAGCACGTCACCCAGGTCAAAACATCAATTGCTGCCCTGCCAGTGTGGCTTAATGGTTGATCATCAACTCATGAACTAGGAGGTCGGGGCATATCAAGGATCAACCAATGAATGCATAAATTAAGTGGACAACAAATCATTGTTTCTTCTTTCTCTCTCAAAAAAAATCAAATATAATAAAAGCCTAATATACTAAGTGTCCAGTCGTCTGGTCGGACGTTCAACCAATGCTAAGGCCCCTCAACCACTTACTATGATGTGCACTGACCACCAGGTGACAGACATTCAGAACTGTAGGTTAGCTTGCTGCTAGGGTCTGGTCTGTTGAAACTGAGTGAGACGATCCAGACATACCCTAGAGCCCACCCCAGCTGGCCAACTACCTGTGTCCCTCCCTGGCCCCGATCGGGTACCAGTGGGGTCCCTTGGCCTGGCCTTGCCCTCTCGAAATCCAGGACCCCTCAGGAGATGTTGGAGAGCCAGTTTCAGTCCAATCCCACAGACCAGGCCAAGGGACCCCACTAGTGCAAGAATTTGTGCACCGGCCTGCCAGGGCCCCTCACCTCCTTCCCAGCCTCCTTCTCAGGTGCGGCCCCGGCCAGCTCCATCGCCTGCTCGCTCTGCATGTTCTCCACCCCCGTCTGCCCGCAGGAGGAGTGCTCCTTCCTCTCCGTAGCCTCTGGCACCTGCTCCTCTGTGTCAGGGTCCTCCCCTTCTTCTTTTTCTTCCTGCAGGGAAATCAAATACAGTATTAAGTGCCTTAGGGAAGGGACATGAAGTAGGGAACCCCTGCAGCAAGCAAACACCTCACTCCTCACTGAGGGGTCTGCAGGGAGGGCATCAACCAGGGAGGGTCTTAAACAGAAAATGAAAGCAGCACCACCTGGTGAAGGAGTATCCTAAAGCAGCAGTTGCCAACTGTGGTCCACGGAACACTGGTGGTCCATGAGGTCCGAAAGGTTGGCAACTGCTATCCTAAAGGACATTCCAGTGGGAGTAAGAATTTCTCCTCATTATTTCTAATCCAAGGCAAACCAGACCACCCTAATACCTGAGGCTGGAGACCTTGGTCAACAGAGACGCCATTCTCCGCACAGTTCTCACTGGCTTCAGTGCCGTTCTTGTCCTCCGGAGACGCCTCCTCCTCCTCTGAGCTTTCCTCAGAAGGCTGGTCCGCATCTTTGTTTTGGTCACCAGCTCCTGTGTCCATCTCTTCCATCCCCTCCTCCCTCTTGTCATCTTCACCGGAGCCTTCCTCAGGTTCCTGCTGACCCTGATCTTCATTCTGATTGGCCTCAGACTCTTCATTTATTTCCTCAGCTTCATGACCTGCTTCTTCAGTGTCCATTGCTTTTTCCTTAATTTCCAAAGGATTCTCTTCTGGGTACACAAAACAAAAAAAAAGACAATTTTTAAAAAACCAGTAATATAATTTTTTTAAGTTGGGATGGTTACCTAAGTGTTTTGTTACTTGAAACAGGAGTTGGCAAACGATGGCCTGTGGGCCTACTGTGGCTCTCTACATGTTTTGTAAATCAAGTTCTACCTGAATACAGCCACATCCAGTCACTTACGTGTTTACCCATCTATTCTGTATTGCTTAGGGCTGCTCTCACACTACAATATCAGAACCAAGTATTTGTGACCTGTAAATCTAATATATTTACTATCTAATATGTTGTCTACCCCTAATCTAAACCATACTTATATATTACATACAATTGATCAGATGGTGCATTTTTTAAAATAAGTAAGTCACTAAGAAATTATAAAAACCCACTACAACAGGAACATTTTAGATCACAAACATGAAATGAGAATCTATTTTTTAATTATTACTGGAAATAATTTATGGACATAATTTTTTGTCATACACAGAAAATACAAAATTCAAATGGAAACAATTTTATTTGAAAAAGTTTTATTTAAAGAGGTTTTATATAGTATGGATACTTACGAAATCAGTTCCTTTGTCAGCAAATAATTAAAATAACTACCCCTTAGTTTATATATGCAGTAGCTTAAAATGAGCCTGAGTGTCTTTCTAGATCAAATGTCTTACTACACTCTCAGTGGATTTTAACTTTCTTAGTTTTATGCTTGCTTGATTGTTGAATTTAAAGTTGAAGTCAGATTTCAAAATTCTAAATTAATGAAATACCCTCAGAAGCAATAATTTATATATCGATACTATGTTTAAAATACTATGTTTAAAAACAGAGATTCACAAAGAATGTTTTGAGCATGAGGAAAGTTAACCCTGTGGCTAGCAAACTGTGGCTTGCAGCCATATGCGGCTCTTTGGCCCCTTGAGTGTGGCTCTTCCACAAAATACCATGGACTGGGCGAGTCTATTCTGAAGAAGTGGCATTAGAAGAAGTTTTAGTTTAAAAAAATTTGGCTCTCAAAAGAAATTTCAATCATTGTACTGTGTGATATTTGGCTCTGTTGACTAATGAGTTTGCCGACCACTGCCTTAACCAAGTGGTTCGGAAGTTGCAAGTTCGCAACTTTATTTTTAATTCTCAAATACTTTAAACATGGAGAATGCATTTTACATTTATGAGAACCATATATACTCACCTCCTAGATTTAACAGATATTAACACATTACCACATTTGTGTCAAACTTCTGTCGCTTCTTTTTAAGAAACAAAGGGTTTTGGATACAACAATCTGGATTCTGGAGGCCTTGGTCCTCCCTCCTTCCTTAGATGTCATCTAACCCACAGCTGTTGTGGTTATTCCTGCCCATGTTTCTATACATTTGATGTATCCGTAATCATATATGAAACTGTTTCCTGAATTAAATTTTTAGATAAATAGTACCTTATTCTTTTGTACCTTTCTACTCATTTCCCAATATGGTAGTATTTTTTTTTAAGTTTAATAACTTTTTAACTGACTCATCAGGAAGCAGAGTGAGGCTAGCTCACATCTTTCTGTCTGTTCCCCACCAGGATGGAGGCCACGATCACAGCAGCACTCTCCCACAGTGCTTCAATACCGAGGACACGCCCTAGGGGAGTCACCAGGTGGAACAATGACAAGGCACAAGATTACAGTCATATGCCCGCTCTGTGATCGATTTCCCTTGGGTTATTCAATTACATTACCCATTATAATGACTTCATATTTTAGGCTTAACACACAACATACGCATAGCAACTAATAACTGAAACAATCATTTCTTTAAACAGCTGGTGCTGGGCTGCATGAAAAGCCTAGATATACCCAAATCACAGTGTTTCCATCACTCATGGGATGGGTACATAGTGATGGCACTGGGGAGATGGAGCACCACCCAGACACAACAGGATGGAGTCTGGCCGGTGTAGCTCAGTGGTTAAGTGTTGATCTATGAACCAAAAGATTATGGTTCAATTCCTGATCTGTGTACATGCTGAGGTTGCAGGCTTGATCCCCAGGAGGGAGTGTGCAGCTGATCGATGAGTCTCTCTTATCATTGATGCTTCTCTGTCTCTCTCCCTCTCCCTACCTCTCTAAAATCAATTAAAAAAAAAATACTTAAAAAAAAATAAAAATACAGGATGGAAATGACAGGAGAGAGAGAACTGCTGGTCCACTCAGATGAGAAACACTATAAATAACAATTTTTGCAAGATGGAATTGAGCTGACCAAACATGATTTATGACTTGGCCATGACATTGACCTGAAGAGAAATCAGTTATTGCTCATTTTCAGTGAATTCCCATTGGTTGCTTTAGATTTTAAAGACACACCTTCTCCTTCTTCATGGTCTGTGTCCTCACCACTGTTCTTGTCTTCACTATCTAGATTCAAATCCTCTGGAAGGTCCAAGGCCTCAGGCTCTGGCAGCGTTTCCTGGTTGCCATGGTAAGGGTCCACCTCGTTCTCATCATATTCCCTCTTTGGACAGTGGAGAGAACAGATAAAATAACAAAAACTTAAAACTGCTTTTCTTTTGTTATGAAGTAGTATTCACATATTAATATAATTAGCTCTAAGTAGTTATGCTGAGAGAATACAATGTCTTTGCCCTAACATTAGCAGCACACATTACAATTTTTCTGATATTTTTAGAATTTTCATTTGGAAATTTCAAACTTCACTTTCCTCTTTTTAAAAATCTTTATTGTTTGCTGAAAGTATTACAGATGTCCCCTTCCCTATTGATCCCTTTTAGCCCTTCAAAACACTACTGTCTGTGTCCATGGATTATACATACATGTCAAACTTCACTTTCTGTGCTGCTTCTCCACTGATAAGAGGTAAGAAGTACTGTTACTTGCTCTCAAAGTAGAAATTGAGGTTTATGAGAATTAAGGGTTGTAGGTTTTAGCTCCCAAACGAATGAAATCCACCTCATTGATAACCAATAGCTAGATATCTCAAGCCCTGTTAAGAGGCTCTCTAACACATTCATTTATGAAACAATAAGAACACAGTGGATAAATAAGAGAAAAAGGCCTTAAGACGGCACGTGTGTGTGGTGCAGTGGCTCTGGCCTAGAGGGAGGAGAGCCGATCTGTTTTGAATCCTCATTACCTCATCTATTTGTTCATTAATTTTGTCTTGGCCTTGTCCATCATCATCAGCTTCTGCTTCTTCCTTCTTATCATGCTGGTTTTTATCTCTGTTTGACTTCCCAGAATCCAAGTTGTCATCTTTAGCAACAAGTCCACAATCTTCCTAAATGTCACAGGCAGAAAACACAAAGAATCATCACTCTTGATCTAAAAAACTGCTGGGCCTATCCTCTGTAGTATCCAGATGACAGGGCATCGTCCATGACCTGGAGAGAACAGTCTGGGTCTGCCCAGACAGCAGTAATAGCAGGTGTGTGAACAGCATGCTGGGTCAGGCTGAGCTGCTACAGTGTCACACCCAGCCTGAGAGTTCTTTTATTGTTGTTGTTTGTTAATTCCCACCCAAGGATATCTTTTCTATTGATTTTTTAGAGAGAGTGGAAGGGAGAGAGGTTTTGTAGGGGGGGGGGGAGGGAAAGAAGAGAGAGGATGGCAAAAGGGGTAGAGAGGGGAGCGGAAGAGAACCATCAATGTGAGAGAAACGCATCAATTGATTGTCTCCTGAATGTGCCCCAACCTGGGTAGAGATCAAACCTACAACCAGGTACATGACCTTGACCAGAAATCAAACCCAAGACCCTTTAGTGTGCAGGCTGACGCTGTAACCACTAATACGCACTGTCCAGGACAAGCATGGGGGTTCTAAACAGGAAGCTGGAGAAGTTCCATGGCCAGCAGCAGAGTAAGAGCATGTAAATGGAGTTTCCTTAACTTCCCTTCTTCATAACACATGGGATAGCTTAGGTCAAACTACTCTTTTGGCTCTGAATCAATGAGTAAAATATATAGGAGAGATAAAAGAAAAGATAGAAGAAAGAGAAGCAAAACAAAGGAAAGGAAAAGCAGTAAATGAGAGAGAGTGGTGGCTGGGAAAACGATCTCCCTTCAACCTGGGGGCTATGGGATGGGGAAATTTTTGCATTACCTCATCCATTCCTGGTCCTGTTTCTTCCGTTTTATTGTCTTCTTCTTCCTCATCTTCCTCTTCATCATCATCACCCCAAAGCCTCTCATCTAGTTTGTCAGCTTCCTCACCATTCAGATCGCCCATCTGTTTATCCAAGTCTCCGCCCTCACTGTCTGATTTCTCATCCTCCTCTTCTGAAAGGGAAGGCACTGAGCTTAATTAGGCCAACCTGGTCCTGTGTGTGTAGGGGAGGCCTGAACCTACTGCCTGCTTCTATGGAGCACTCTACTGGCAGAAGCCTTTAGATCTGCTGCAGTAGTCCTACTGTGTTTCGGAAACTAAAGAAAGAAGGAAGTCTGTAGTGTGTCATGTTAACAGACTATTAGAAGGATGGTAGAATAGCTGTTAGAATGTTTAATACTGGTACTGGGGGAACATTCATTAGGGGGCTCAGCAACCATACTTTTTAAATTTCTTATCTGTAAAATGGTAAGAGTTGGCCTATTACATTTCCAAAGTCCCTTCCCTATCCCCACTATACTATACATCTATGGTTTTATCCAACACCTAAAATCATGTGCATAGCTTAATCAGAATTTTCTTGCCACTATCTTTGCTTAAGTTCCACTATGTCAACGGTTATAACCTTACTAGAAGCTTGGTGCATGGATTCATGCACTGGTGGGGATCGGGCCAAAACTGGTAGTCCAATGCCACCTACTGCTCCTGCTCATCCCGGCCTTGTTGTACCTGCTGTGGGCTCACACCCAGTCAGTCCCATTTGGGAGAGGCTCACTGTGGCAGTGCTTGCCAGCCAGCCGTGAGCCCTGAATCTGGTACTCGTGGGTCAACTAAGCAGTGCTCCCGCTGTGGGAGCACACTGACCACCAGGGGGCAGCCTCTGCATTGAGCATCTTCCCCCTAGTGGTTAGTGTGCCTCATAGTGACCAGTCATTCGGTCATGCTTTTATATTTATAAATGCTGCTTAGGCAAGTGTACACACTTCTACTCTGAGGTCACCTTGCATTTCTGCTAGATATTTGCTTAGAAAAAGACACTGTATCTCAAATTCATTTCGACAGAAACTTAGGGCAATAGTTGAACTATGGAACAAACATATAACAGATGATGATGTGCTATAAGAAACTACCATGTTTCCCCAAAAATAAGACATCCTCTGAAAATAAGACCCAGCGCAACTTTGGGAGAAAAAAATTAATATAAGACACTGTCTTATTTTCGGGGAAACAGGATATATTCTCAAGTAATTTTTAATGACAAGGGGAATGTTCATAATACGTTAATAAAAGCCTAGGTGCCCCTCGTGTACAACATCGTCACAAGAACGCTACCACAGGATGGCCACGTGCACAGTGGAGGTGGGACCCAGTGGCTGCTTCTGCACAGTGAGGCCTGGGGGTCCTGCGGCTCTGCACATAAGACATGGGTCCTGACAGAGGAGGACAGTTTTGGGCAATTGGGCCGGCAGGGGAGAGCAGGTGGGGGCGATTGGGCTGGCATGGAAGGGCAATTGGGGGCGATCAGGTTGGCAGGGGAGCAGTTAGGGTGCAATCAGGCTGGCAGGCAGAAGCAGTGAGGGGCAATCAGGCAGGCAGGTGAGCAGTTAGGAGCCAGTGGTCCAAGATTGTGAGGTCCACCAGGGATCAGTCCTAAACTGGCAGTCATACATCCCGAGGGGTCCCCCCCACAACCATGCACAAATTTCTGCACTGGGCCTTTAGTATCTATACTAATAAAAGGATAATATGCAAATTAGGATGCCCTCACAGTAATGACCGTACAACAGGCTGTGCGGGATGACAAGGCTGGCAGGGGGATTGAGGGATGACCAAAGGACTGAACAGCAGGCTGCGTGGGGTGGGCAGTGAGGGGCAATCAGGACGGCAGAAGGGGTAACCAGGCTGGCAGAAGCAGGGGACAGTTAGGAGTGATCAGGCAGGCAGGCGAGCAGTTCAGAGCTAGTGGTCCCAGATTGTGAGAGGGATGTCTAACTGGCAGTCAGACATCCCCTGAGGGGTTCCGATTTGGAGAGGGTGCAGGCTGGGTTGAGGGGACTGATCCCCCCCCCCCCACATGCACTAATTTCGTGCACTGGGCCTCTAGAGTGTGTGTGTGTGTGTGTGTGTGTGTGTGTGTATATATATATATATATATATATATATATATATATACACACACACACTACATATAAGGCTAATGTGCTAAGTGTCTCTCCATCCCTCAACTGGTGGGTATGCGAAGCACTGACCAACAGTGACTTGGCAGCAGTTCTTGGTGACACATCCCAAACCAGAGAGAAGGGTGCCCGATACCTCATAGGACCACGTGATTCCACCTTCAGCCATGGGTTATGTTGTTGCTGGGGCACTGTTGGCCCCAAATCTGGTTTATTGCACACTTGCATTTGCACTCCACACCCTGTACAACAGCAACTTTGCAGAGTGCCCTCATGAATCCAGGACCCCTCAGGAGATGTTGATAGACCTGGTTTCAGCCCGATCCCTCCAGGCCAGGCCAAGGGACCCCCATCTACCGGAGGAACCTTGTTCACTCTGTAGATGCTGGGGAGGGACTGAGGAAAGTTGGCTCAAGGGCGTGACCAGCTTGTCTCTCCCAGTCCTGCCCCATTGGCCATCTTCTAATTAATTTCTTTTCAATGTGCATGAATCCATGCACAGGGTCACTAGTGTGTGTGTGTGTGTTTGAGTATTTGGATGATTTGAAGGGTAGGCCTAAGGGGTATGTATCTAGATATTTCATTCCTGCATTTTTGTTTCAAATAGTCTACAATAAATATCTACTATTTTTGTATTTATGGTGGAAAAAGTTAGTTTTAAAAACTATCCTGAACAATTTACTTTTGAGCTAAGGGCCCCACTAAGATTGCCTCCTTTCGCTCCTGACTTCTCCTTTCACACACTGCATTTAGCAACGAAGCAGCAGGAGCACCAGCCAATGTCTCAGGTTCCTAAGAGGAGAAGAATCAAAACTGCCTATGGACCTCCACCTGGGTGGAGATGGTGATGGTGCATGCTAAGTGCTAATGTCCTCATTTGTAGTTATGCAGAATAACCAACTTGGCCCAAAAGATTCTAATAAAACAACAGGCTCCTTTTGGGGAACATGTAACTTTCTGTTTTAAAAAATTATTTTTCAAAAGCAAGAATGCAGTGAGATAAGTCTCAAACCTTGTTCTTCAAGCTCCCCATCATGCATCTTCCCATCAAAGTTTTCTGACATCTCAATGGCGTTATCCTCGCCCTTAATGTCTGATTTTGAGTCAGGATCCTCTTTATCCTTTTCTTGACCCTTCTGAAATGTATCTTCTGCCTGCATCAAAAAGCATACAGGAAATACATACAAATGTAAGTTAACTAATGTTTATTCAGTTTTAAATAGAATATAAATATGTATGTAAATGCTAAGGTTAATGGCAGAAAGTTATTTCTGGAAAGAGAAAAAGAACACAGATAACCACACAATAATTTCTCATTTGCTATGAGGTTTCTATAATTAACCCTTGACTGGAATCGAACCTGGGACCCTTCAGTCTGTAGACCGATGCTGTATCCACTGAGCCAAACCAGTTTCAGCTATTGGATTTTTTACAGAGAGAAATGGAGAGGGATACAGAGTTAGAAACATCGGTCAGGTGCCTTCTGCACAGCCCCCATCGGGGATGTGCCCACAACCAAGGCACATGCCCTGGAACCAAACCCGGGACCCTTCAGTAGGCAGGCCGGCGCTCTATCCACTGAGCCAAACTGGTTTTGGCTTGTTGTGGTTTTAAGTGAAAATTTTTTTTTAAAGAATCCAGACATTTAAAAACAATATGTGAAAAGGGCTTCTGTCCCGAGTGGCACATGAAGAGCAGCCTGATTGCTCTACATGCAGAATCAGGATCAAGAGATTTCGGAAGCATAGTTTTTTGGTACTTGGGCAGCTGGTGATCGTTGGTCCTGGTGCCCGCAAAATAATAAATAAAATGAAAATTAAAAAAAAAAAATGTATTCTCTGTAGTATAAAAAATATCACCAATCTTACTGCCCATATCTCTATATATAAAAGGCTAATATGCAAAGTGTCCCCATAGGAGTTCGACCAGGAGTTCTATTGCTCACTATGTGTGGTGACCACCAGGGCGTGGTGCAGAACAAAGGCAGGCCCCTGTCAACAGCTGGCAGCCAGGAAAGGGAAGCCCCAGCTGGCAGCTGGAAGGCCCCGATCAGCCCTGATTGCTGGGCAGGACTCAGGACCCTACCTGTGCACCAATTTCATGCACCAGGTGCCTCTAGTCTTTAATATTGTGTCACTGATCTCTCACAGACAATAACACACTATGAATGCAACTTTGTTCACTTCTCCTTAACCTATTTATTCCTGAATACTGTATGTGATACTTGGAGTGAAAGATTCATGACTGTCATCTCTCTCATTGTGAATGAATTTTTAAAGTCCTTTTTTTAAAATACAAAAGTAATAAAATCTTATTAAAAGAATTCTAAGCACTACGTAGAGTTAAGTTTCCCATGGCACCATCATCTTCCAAAACTTCCAAAGAAATTACCATCAATAACATTCTGGTGCATCTTTTTATTCATGAATACATCATAAATATTAATACAAGTGTTATGTATCAATACCTGCCTGCTGACATCTTTTTAAATAAAAAAAGGATTAATACTTTACAAACTGGAGATTTGTTTTTTAATTTAAAAAATGTTTTTTAGATATATTTCCATATAAATCTAACTCATTACAGTACTGCTCTGCATATTATCTTTGATCCTTATTAGCATTTCTATAAAAAATAGAATTCCTAAGTCAAAGAAGATAACACAATTTAAAATTTATTATATACTGCCAATTTTTTTTTAATCCTGACTCATAGTTTTTGCTTTGTTTTGTTTTTTTGCATTGGGTTGTATTTTTTCTATTAAGCTTACTCTTTTTTTACTCTAAATTTCTTACTTTTAGAAAAGTACTATATGCTAAGTTAGACTTGAGAAATAAAAAAGCCAAAAGCCAACCTTTTTATTCTTAAATGGACTACTACCAAAAATACTTTAGAAAAATCAACAGCAACAATTTCCCAATTTAAAACTTTTAAATCACCTCTCTCTCAAATCATAGCCATAAGCAGTGACTGAGTTACAAAGTTCCTTTCTGTGATCTTTATACATTTTATTTACACCCACTCACCACACCCGAGTATTCTTAAAGGTCCACAGATTTCAGTTTGAAAACCATTGACATTTATGCCAGTAATTTAACTATTAAAAAGAAAGGGGAAGAAGAGCGGTCTTCTGTAAACTCGGTATGCTTCAGGCATGGGAAACGTACCTGTTCTTCATTTTCTATCTTGTCACTCACATCCTTCATGCCTTCACCTTCTCCAATTCCACCTCCTTCATAGTCATGGAACTCAGTTGCCCCCTCACCTGCTGAATCTTCCATAAATTCTTTGGGAAGGCAAAATCCCTTGAACATAAAAGAGTGAACAGTTAGGCAATACAGAAGGGGATTTTCAGTCCTACCACACACACAAAAATTAAAACAAATGCTTAATTCTTTCCTAGCTCAGTATTTTAAATTTGATAGAAATACAGTAGGCCTTTGATGTTCTTTTCATCCTTGGTGATAACAGTTACTACCCTGTTTCCCCGAAAATAAGACAGTTTTATATTAATTTTTTCTCCCAAAGTTGCGCTAGGTCTTATTTTCAGGGGATGTCTTATCTTTCCATGCGCTAGGTCTTATTTTCGGAGGATGTCTTATTTTTGGGGAAACACGGTATGTAGTTTCAAAGCCTGACATCAGATTTAATATATGAAGTTCTGACTTTGAAGAGGCCTCTAGTGTGTGGTTAATTTGTCATTTTGCCAAGACAGAAATCTGAATGATGTATATTAGGGAAAGTATTATATTTAGGAGCAAGTCAGAGAGTAGACTTCTCAATGTCTAAATCCCAAAGGGGTTTTGTTTCTCTTCTTATTTTCTTCTGAAATTATTAAGCCTAAGAAGAGAGGGAGAAGACATGTACCCCTGGAGGTACAACTTAAAGCAGATGCTACAAGAGGGAGGTTTCATTTTTACTTGAAAAATGGAAATTGTGTGCTAGCTGGTTTAGCTTAGTGGATAGAGCATTGGCCTGTGAACCGAAGGGTCCCAGGTTCCTAGGGTCCCAAGGGCATGTATCTCAGTTGCAGGCTCCTCCTTGGCCCAGGCCCTGGCTGGGGTTCATGCAGGAAGCAACTAATAAATGTGTTTCTCGCACATTGATATTTCTCTCTTTCCCTCTCTCTAAAAATTAATGAATAAATATCCTTACTGAAAATTAATTTTTTTTTAATGGAAATTTTGGGCAATGTTCCTTAAATAAAATTTTAATATATTAAAAAATATGACTTCCCCAGCTTTTAAAGCAAACCTGTCCCTCTTGGGGAACATGGCACCCCTGGCTGCCACCTGGCACCTGGAACAGTGTGGGAGTCTAGACCAATGGTTCTCAACCTTTCTAATGCCGCGACCCTTTAATACAGTTCCTCATGTTGTGGTGACCCCCAACCAAAAAATTATTTTCGTTGCTACTTCATAACTGCAATTTTGCTACTGTTATGAATCGTAATGTAAATATTTGTGTTTTCCCATGGTCTTAGGCTCTACAGCAGCGGTTCTCAACAGAATGACATACCGTGTCTCTTTTTGCCCCGTCGAATCCCCCACCCATACCCCAGGCCTTTAGCACCCTATTATCTGTGTCCATGGGTTATGCATATACACATACAAGCTCTTTGGTCCAACCTACTTCAAGTTCCCTCAGCACTACTCAGAAAGGATACAAATAAATTCAATATGGACATAAAAATAAATAAAGGAAAGGCAAACTCACTTTCAGGGTATGTATTCTTAGAAAGTCAATTGAAAATACATTTTTGTTAACTTACCTAATTTTCCCATTGAGCTACATTATTTTTTTTTAAACTATATTCAGATGCAGGCAGAATAAGACCACACAGGAAAGATTCAGATATCCTGCAGGGCACTCCACTACAGTAGCTGCAGCTGGAACAGCCGCTGGGCTCCCAACACCTTGCTTATATCAGAACCACTTCCTTCTCCACAACACACCCCAACGAATACATAAGTCAGAAGGCCAAAATCATTCTAGAACCTATTAGAACAGTACAATGTTCAAGTAGACAAAACACAGCTAACCCAAATACCAGGGCACCCTCACCACACATTGTCCTGCTACTGTAATTTGCATGTGTGTCACCCACCACCAAGAAATGATGGGATGTATAAGACTGGCTCAGTGCTCATCAGACAGAGGGGGCAAATCAGAGATGTATCCATTTATTTATTACTCAACAAATATACATATTTATCCTCTAGAAACAATGCATGTGCTTGTCTTCCATTCTTGGACCCCTTTCAGTACTCCAGATACTCAGAATTAGGAACTCTCAACTGTTTATAGGAAACCTAGACCCTAGCTTCAGTTTGTAAATTCTTATCTCCCTCAAATGAATCTCATCTGTACTGTACTTAGATTTGGAGAAAATCTTGGAATACTAAAGAAATAAAAACAAAACAAAAATGTACACATTCAATTGAAATTATCACAAAAATGCTAAGTGTATAGCCAGTTCTCATTTTACAAATGAGGAAAGTGAGGTTTAGAGAGGTCAAATGAGTAACTCGAGAAATCATAATCAGGTTACCACACCATGCTCAGTCTGTTAGATTTGGCTGTCTCCTGCTGGGTGCAGGGGCTAAATGAATGAATGCATGAATGAGAGATTTCCCAATTAAAAAAAAATGCTCTAGCTAAATTCAAAGCCCCATTACCATTTCATCATAAATACATATAAATGATTTAAAGAAAACCTAGCCTTACAGATTCATCTATCCTAGAAATCTAGCTTGGAGCTAATTAAAGAAGACTTCAAACTGGGGACAAGGAGAGAAGGGTGTGAAAAGCTGCAGCCATTAGACAGCCTCTGGAGTCTAGGGAGCTCATCAGTGAAGGGTCTGTAGATTCCAAGACTACAGTCGAAATAGGCTTATTAAAAGGGTGCCAGGCAAAGCCTTACATTAATAATCCACAGGGAGAGCAAATTTGAAGGTCTGAAATAAAAGCCCGTCCAACCAAACACTAATGGGCACAGAATGTTCCAGCTGCCCACGGTGCTCCACATGAGCAGTCCTTACCTTCTGAGCAAGCTCCGAGAAGATCTGGGTGAGCACAGAGAGAAGCTTTGCAGTGCTACGATGAGTTGCCAAAGACATGGTCAGGAAGAAGAGGACGAGGTCCGAGTACCTGGAGAGCATGGGCAGCAGGCGCACCAACCAGCAGCAGGATTGGCTGAAGAACTGGGGGCAAAGCAGATCAGAAGGCCTGGTCACACTGCTAAAGGGGTACTGGGTTTTCCTTGAGGTGATAAAAATGTTCTGGAACTATATAATAACATTGATTGTAAACACACTGTGAATTCAAGGCACTAAATGTTACTACTGGTAGGGGTTATGTACTTTTAACATGCACAAACACCTGCTCACTGAGATTTCTTCCTTGTTCACACAACGTACACTTTAAATTCTCAGTCACTTCAGTCTCATTTAATTAACAAAGTTTTTTTTTTTTTTTTTTAATAAAATGTTTATGAACAAATTTCATTGGGAATCAAAGTTGGCACTGGAGCCAACGATACAGAATGACATACAGTGTCCTACAAAGTAAGTTGCCTCTCAGGAGTTAATGGATTTGACAGCTGGCTTAGTGGGAAAGGATGGTATTTGCAGAGTGTGGCCACTAAATTTCAGTTAATGGCAGCAAACTGAACATCGAATACTCAGGAAAACGTGGTTAGGATACAAAGTACCAAGATAACGAATATTCTGGATTGCTAGCATTTTTGTACTTAGGCATCTTACAACTGTAACTCTTAGCTAACAACCCTAAGCTTTTCAGTTTATCAATGGTGTTTACATCTAAAAAGAAAGCAAATTCCTAGTGATTTTGCCACAGAGGCCTGCTTTAGGACCATCCACATAGCGAGGCGAAAACCCCTCTCTGCTTTTGCTCAGCCTACTCCCAATAGCAAGAAGCTTATAAAGAACATTTGGTTACCATGTGCTTTGCTGCTGTGCCGTCCTCACCACACGATTTCAGTCTCTCCAATAGTTCAGAGACAACAGAAATTATTTTTTGCACATGCAAAGTGCTCACATCATCCCACAAGTCTTCCTCTAAGAGTTTTGTTAGATGTCCTGATTGCAGTCTCTCAAAACCTGCTGAAAAGAACGACATGATGAATAACTGAAGATAAACCCTTTCATCCCCATTCATCCAGTCATTTAATTTCAATATCTGTCTTTAAATATTCAGTCACAAAAATAAATCATCAAATTGAAAATTTAAATCAAATATGAAACTAACGTTTGCCTTATTTCAGACATACCATCCTCTTCCTGTGGCCTTGTCTGGTCAGTGTTTTCGTCTGTCTTTTTACTATTTCTTTCTGCTAAGTTCTGGATGGCATAAAGGATGGACCGGATGGCTGTTTCCATTTTCTCTGCAAAATCTTCCACAAACCCTTCATCCAATATTTGGTTTCCTATTAAGTAAATGGTACAAATAAACAAAAAACCCAATCATTTGTGTCAGGAAACCATTGCCAATGCTTACTTGTTACTTTAACAAATGGTCACCTGTAAGCACCTACTATGGATCAGCCACTGTGCCAAGCTATGATGGATAAAAAGATGAATAAGACAAAGTCCCTGCCTAAGTAAAGCTACAAGGTTATAGTCTTATATTAAAACAATTTTGCTAAAAGAATGTAAAAAGTATGAAAGTAACAGTTTAGATGGTGTGTATAAACACTTAGTCAAATGCCACCATCAGCTTTCCGGTATAAGAGAGAACTGTCTGTAACAGCTGAGGGAGCCTGTGGTTTCTCCGTACACATGTGCTACAAAGAAAGTGACGTGACTGCAATCCAAAGACAAGGGATGAGTGTAGGAAAATAAGAACTGTGGATCAAACCACACCTGTCTGTCTTAGAGCCCTGGACAGATATGAAATAGTATGAAAGAGAATGTGTCTTTATTCTAGAATGAAATAGTATGTGTCTTTAGTATAATCTAGACTTTGTCTATAAGACATCATTCCTATGCTGGGCTTTTCCTCCCTTACTGAATAACAGTCCTTACCTCCTTGGCTGCCTGACGTGAGAAGATGTGTCTCCCAGGTAGTAAAGTCATCTGTGGCTTTACCAATTTCTCCTCTGACATATTTCAGGCTCTCAACTAATGCCATATGTTGGTCTGTTTGCTCAACCTCCATCCCTGGAAGAATGAACAAGGACTCTAGGCCTTGCAAATGAGCTGACACCTGGGACAGGCAACTCAGCCCAGAAGAGCAAACTTCAAAATCTTTCCTGCAACAACAGAAATGCCACAATGTTGAAAGGAAAGGGGTATGTGCCACCTCCCCCTGCCACACACACAATCCTTCCTCCAACAACTAAAATGGAAGCAGAGCTAAAGTCGCGGTATATAAAACTGCTACATATATGCCACAAAGCACTATGCATGTCTGCTGAAAAATTGAGAACTGAAGTCCAAGTTCTTGCATAATTTTACCCATCACTACACTCTGAGCATGTACCCAAGCACACAGAGGAGAGCAGAGGCATAAGCACACTCACCAAGAATGAAAGAGAGTCTCACAAGACTGCTGCTTAATTCTGTCAATGTCAGTTTTCACTGTTTGAACGGTCTTCAGCATCTCTGTTAATTTCAAAGTTGACTGTTGCCAAAGCTGGTCCTGTTTCCGCATCCGGCAACCAGAGGGCAGCTGACTGCCAGGTACAGGGGATGGATAGCTCAGATCTGATGGGCTGAGGTCCGGCACTGCACTGGAAAGCTGCCCCATGGTGAGCTCTGGTCCTTCCGGGCAGAGGATAGAAGGCTGATCCTGTGCCTGGGCATCACCTTGGCTTGGAGCTGACCCTGCGCCGGGGCAGCACTGGAAGAGCCAGGAGAGCTGCTCAAGCAGGATATGGCTCTGCATGGCCAAGTGCTGCAGCCTCTCTGTCCACTGCTGCACGCCGTCCTGGGGGGGAAAGGCCACGGGGTAGAGCAGTGGCTCTGTCAGCCTGCCCTGAATCTCCTGCACACAGCTGAGGAGGTTTCTGCGCAGAGAAAGCCAAGGGAAAAACACAAGGCACCTTAGACTATGTCACCACATTGTTTTTTAACAGTAAATTCATTCATTTCTAAAGCAAGTATGGGCTTTTTCACTTTTTAAAAAAAAAGGGGAGGTGGAGGATCCCTCCAATAGGTAAGAAGTCTATTCAAATGCCTTCCAAAGCATCTAGACACATCCTTCAGTCTTTCACAAGCATAAAAACTTACTATCACCTGGCCTCTTACACCTCTCACATGCAAATCACACCAATGCAATGATTTCAACCACTTTTCTAAAAGAACAACCTAGTCAATGTAATATACTTTGCTCAATAAGCCCTTATGAGTGGGCAGCAAATACCTAAAATTGAAGTGATTAATCTGGAAATACTACCCCTCAACATTCATTAGATGATGACAGACTTCCCAACTGTCCTCACCTTTTAAATATCTATTTCCGTTGAGGAGTATCCATGTATTGATGAGCAAATTGAAACTTTGTGATCCAAAAAGCCCAACAAACTGAAGCAGACTCAGATCTGATTTGTGCCGAGACTGGGATGGCCTATCCAGCCGGGATAGACTGTCAGCCTCTGATGCCCTCTTCCTAGACCCAGTGCAGTTCAGCCATGGTGATATTCACTGTCTGGCTCAGCACTGAACTCATCTCCCAGACCCCTTCTCTTGAGAGGTACTCTCAGAACCAGGGGGCAGAGTCGCATCACCAAAAACCAGGAGAAACCCTACCTGTCTTTTCAGGTCTCAGATTTAATTTCACAACTGAGAGTAGCACATGCAGAAACCCTGAGCTTACCCCACGTAATTCTTGCTAACTCAAGCCACAAACCCAACTAATCCGCTGTTACCTGAGGAGGATCCACTGCTCAGTCAGTGTAGTCAGAGAGCGCCGCTGCCGGATAAGCATCTTCATCAAATGTGCCGAGAACCCTTTACACCGCTCGATGCTGCCCACGCCCACTTCCTGGCAGGGAGAGAAGGAAAGGTGCTGTGGGTGCTGCTGCCCAACTCTAGGGAAATAGTAGGTAACCTTTGGTGTGCTGCGCTCCGGAGGCGTGAGCCACATTGATCCTTTGAGCACTGCTTCTCAAACTATACTCCCACAGATCACTGACATCCAACTATACTCCCACAGATCACTGACATTCCACGAACAAAAGCTAGGTTTCACACCAAAATTGGGTATTAGTGGTCTTTTCTCAATTCATAAGGGAAAAAGATCTGAAGGTGGTATTCTGAATTTGAAGTTTATGTTTCATAATTTTTCTTATGCTAACAAAATTTATTACAAGATGCTCTCCAATTAGGCACAAAATTACACTGACTTGTATTGCAAGTTTAATGATGTTCTGCCCTGTGATGACAGAGCTGGAGCTCCCCTGGGCCCTGGCAATTCTGAAGGGCTACCACTCTAACCTTGGCAGGAGCTGCTAGGGCTGCACTAAGTCTGGTGTGTCGTGCAAGAGAACGATAAAAATACTTCTGGCACCCATCCCACGAGGTCGAGATTTCTGTAAGCAGCCTGAAAAAAAAAGAAAAAAATTAAAACATTATTTACTTAATTAAAATCACTTATCCCACCCCAGATCCTAACAATTAAGAAACTGATATATTTAACCATAACCAAAAGCTGAGAATATGAACAGTTTTATTTCTATAAGGCACTCATGAGTCCTTTATGTAAAGGATGTATCATGTACTTAGCACTAAAAGTATAATGGGAAGATAAATTATGATGACCATATGGTTTCCTTAATGGAAACTTTGTAATTATCTTGGCAGAGGAGGCTAGTTCATAAATCCCAATGCCTATAAAGGGCCAAGCAGATGTCACATGATTAAGGAGAGCCAAGCACAAAATGATACATGGCAATCACAGCTGACCTCCACGTGGGAGAACAGGGCTTGTTAGGGAATCGGAGAGCATGTGTTCTGTAAAAGGACAAGAGCCTCCTTCTGACCACATGGGAAAGCTAGCCCACATGGCCAAATTCTCCTAAAAAATGGAAAATCCAGAATTTTTACAGAAAATTTGTACTGTTTACAATGTTGTGTTGAACTAGAATTTAAAGCACAAGAAGGCTACTAAGCAAATTAAACACAAATGTACGCAATACTCAGTTCATGCAAATCAGCATTTGCAACAACCTCACCATAGTTAATAGAGGCAGCTCTGTCTCAAGGATTCTAGGTTCTCAAATTAAAAAATATATTATAATTTATGAAAGGTTTATATTTGTAAAAGAGCCAAAACTTGGCTATACTCTATTTTCACTTGCATATTCCAATGAAGTAAGGAGATCTCAGGAAAATCAAAGAACCAAAAAATAATGAAAGAGGCAAAGACAAGCAAAGAGAAAGGAAAAAGAAGGGAGAAAATTAACACTTGCTGAGTGCTCACCAGGATCCAGATCCTGAGCCAGGCATAGGTCTAAATGCTATCTTTAGAGCAATGCTAGGAGAGAGGTATTGCCATCCCCTTTGGCAAATGAGGACATGGAGGCTTGCATGACTGGCTCCATTTATTTTTATTTATTTTTTTTAAAGAATTTTATTTATTTATTTTTTAAAAATATATTTTATTGATTTTTCACAGAGAGGAGGAGAGAGGGATAGAGAGTTAGAAACATCGATGAGAGAGAATCAACGATCAGCTGCCTCTTGCACACCCCCTACTGGGGATGTGCCCGCAACCACGGTACATGCCCTTGACAGGAATCGAACCCGGGACCTTTCAGTCTGCAGGCCGACGCTCTACCGCTGAGCCAAACCGGTCCCGGCCTGGCTCCATTTATAACTAAACAAACAAACCTAGAATCTGCCTCCTGAGTGCTGTTGACTATAGACAATGCGCTCCGGAGATCCAACGGGCGAAGATGAAGCATCTCTTGAGGGTTTTTTGTACGGGCCCAGGCAAGACCTTTACGATATGACAAACCTAGGAAATAAGTCACATGTGTTTGAGTAAAGATGCTCAGGAGAGAGTGGATGTGCCCTGACCAGCTCCTGCCCTCGATGCCATTGTTACTCAAAGTCAAGTCCTCAGAACAGGAGACTATTGGAAAGCAGATGCCCAAGCCCTACCTCACACCCATCAAAACAGAATCTACTTGTGCACTTTAACAAGATTCCCCAAGTGACTTGTACAAGCACTGAAGTTTGAGAAGCACTGCTCTCTGATCTTCTGATCCTGGAAGGGTGGGTGCTGTACAACATATGGTGATGAAAATAAAGAACACGATTTCTGAGAAATCTCATTACAAAGCTGAAACTATTTGGAAATCACAAACAGTTCATCACACGATTTTGTATGTGTGAGACTGGAACTCTTAAAATGGCATTTTAAAACCTTGCTGGCCACCTTCTATTTCCCATTGTCTCCACTGTTACTAGAAAATTCCTTCAAATCATCAATCTCCCTAAAAGCTGGTGATTATACTCCATTGGGTTTCAAGTGAAAACCTTACCGGTTTTTGCAAGGTGCTTAAAAAGGTCTGCCAACGCTCGCTGCTTCTGCATGAGAATGTGTTTGGCTTCTGAACGCTGCTTCTCCTTCTCTGCGGAGGGCTCTACCTGTAAGCTCTGCAGCTCACTCACAGAGGAAATTACTTCACCTGGAGGGGAAACAGAAATATGGAAATCCCCAGCCTCATTAATGTGCTACAAGTACCCCAAGACCAAGGACATTTTGGGTGATGAGGTTCAGATGTTATTTATTTTTATATCCTGCATGACAACAGAAAAATAAAAACACATGGGATTTCATTTTTTTGACAACTAACACCTCAAAAGTAATTCTTTTTTTAGGGATTTTATAATCAAGCAAAAAGCACTTACTGAGCACCAACTGTGTGCAGTTATTGATAGTAGGAATTTAAATAATCTGAAGTGCATTTCCTGTAAATATGATACACACAGAACTCCTACTCTGTACCTGCTCCTCGGTAGACAACGTGTTCACCTGCACAACTCCAGAAGCACTTATTTGTAGCTGCTCAGAGAGGTCTGTCTCTTTCTAAAGGCCAGTCAGCTAAAGAGTGGACTTTCTGACAGGACTTGAACCCTGGCCCAACCAACTCCAAAGCCCAAGTTCTTTCTCCAGCACCATGCTGCCTTCCAGAATACCAAGAGGTACCTGCAACAGGCACCTGCCACAAAACAATGTTTGGGCTGACTGTATCCTCCCAGATGCATGTTGAAGTCCTAATCCCATAGTACACCAGAATGTGACTATTTTTGGAGACAGGGCCTGTAAAGAGGTAATTAAAGTAAAATGAGGTCAATGGGTGGTCCTAATCTAGTATAGGTGGTGCTCTTAGAAGAGACTAGAACACAGATATACACAGGGGTAAGACAGTATGAAGACACAGTGAGAAAACAGCCATGTATAAGCCAAGGTGAGAGGACTCAGAAAAAGCCAAACACTTCTTGGATTTTTAACCTCCAGAACTGTGAGAAAATAAACCTGTTGTTAAGCCGCCCAATATGTAGCACTTTGTTAACACAGCCCTAGCAGACTAACACAGGCAGTTTGAACTTCCAGATGAGGGCAAGTGCACCACATGCAATCCCTTGGCATCACATAGGAAGTGGAGGGGAGAATACTTTGCATCACACAGAGCGGGTGCCCTATCCAGAAGATGCACATGGGACCTGTATTCTATAGACCCTTATCATGAGGCTAAGGGAGAAAAGTCATCTTGAGCAATAATAATAGGCTATTATTCTAATAAGTTTTCAAAATAAGGAGCTCCCTGAAATTAAAACATAACCTAATTCAAGAAGGACCAGCCTCACTCTGACACCATACACACTGGGGGAAGTGGTAAAGGGCTGCCAAGCATCCAACTAGCCTACTAAATGCTGGATTACTCTCCCTAGACACTGATGTTATACTACTGAGCAAATCTTGGCTCTCAAGAGATGAAACTGCTATTCCACTCTGAAGTGAAGAAAGCAAGAGGGCTGTGGGTGAATCTTCCTTTTTCTTTAACTCAAGAGACAGAATATTGAGAGGCAGGGACAATTTCCAAACTCTGGGAAATCCATCTCTGTGACCCTCTACTCATGGCCACAACCAATAGGAGCTGATACAGACAAGGATGCTATAAAATGGCCTAACAGCTATAAAATGGCATAACAGCACTAGTTAGATTAGAGAACAAGAGGAAAATTGAAGGTTTGTGTCATTTCATTTGGCTCCTATTATCTGGGCTCAGCTGGTTTTTAGCCCATTTGTTTATTCAATTAACTCTCAATAGTATTCAAGATGTCAAAAAAGGGCATAGGTGACAGATTCCCAGCGCTGCTGGGTCACTGGGAAAAACAGAGAGAGCAAACCCAACCCTGGCCCCTGGCTACAGGCACCCACCGGTGAACTGATCGAGGCCGTCCACGAGGTGAGGGAGGCGGCTTTCCTTCATGAGCATCAGGCACATCTTCCTCATTCGTTTCGTGAGCTTCGGCAAGCGATACAGAAGCTCACCCTCCGAGGGGAAAGGAGCTCCCTGACACTGTTCTGGAACTGTGGCCTATGAGACAGAACATGGGTTGGTTTTCCTGCCAAGAACACAAGTAATAGCACTAACCTGCTCAGGCACTAAATATAAGTGCTGTACCTTCCACATACACACTTAGCTCAGCAAATATTAAACTCTCTTCTGAAGTCTCACAGGAACAAGTGTAGCATAACTGAAATTAAAATAGGCATGAACTGTGGATATTTAGAAAACTGTACTGCTGTTCCATGAGTCACAGCAGTAAAGGACCCCACCCCACCTCTGGCAACAACAGTGCCAGCCATAGGAGACTCTGGTTCTGATCTCTGGATGCAGCAGGATGAATATGCATGCTGCCTTTGAGTTGCTGTGCTGCCCAGCAAGGCTAAATTTATCTGCCAAATCCTATTTCTACATGGCCTGCCACTTCCAGTTCAAATATCAAGAACTCAGATAGCAGATAAAGAGGAAAGCTTTCATCCACAGGGGCTTATTTTCATTATTTTCCCTCCTAAGAATCCCTGAAGTCCCTGTTATCATTAATAGCATATCAAAGTTTTAGATCAGCATGACAGCCTGAGAAGGGGTGGTAGGGAAAGCAGTGAGATGACAATTAAAAAAAAAGAAAAAAAAAACACCTGGCAACCATCTTATCTGTAGAGTCATATCATGACTATATAGCCATATCATGACTATATAACCATATCATGACTATATAGCCATATCATGACTATATGCTGTAAAGCCATATCATGACTATATGCTCAATTTCTGAAGAACTCCATTGCTCCCTCTATGGATCCAGAGGGGGAAGTACAGTAAGAAGGCAAAAGTGATTCCTCTCTTGAGGCATGCTCTCCTCCCCAAATCCTGGATCTCCCTACAACCAAGGATAGAAAGCAGGAACACCCATCCTGTAACAGACCTATTCACTCAAAGTCTCTATGACTAATACATTTTCAAGAATTTTGCAAGCCATCACTTAACTATTGGTGCTTGAAATTGGCCACACTGAGAGTATTTACACCATGGTCATCAACAACCACTATCAACTAGCACATCGCTGCATACATTCACGCCTGGTGGGGCAGCTTCAATATTAGCACCCAAAGGCAGCTCCAATGGCATATTCCTACACTGATGCTTCGAATTTTTTGTCTAGGTAAATGAAATGTTCACAAGTAAGCACACTTATTTATCTTAGGCTAGCATTAAGATTTCAGCATCAGGATCCTGGCTTTTTGTCTTATTCTGTAGTGAAGTCAGACAGACATACAAATGTTAAATACATCCAAAGAGCAAGAATTTAAAGATATTTCCTCACCTAATTCTAAGAACACTCCTTATACAGAAAACAGAAATCCCATCTGACTGGCCTAGGAATTCCTCAAGCTAGTACCTGTGCAGTTGTTGGCCGGGCTAGCAGGGTCTCCCTCAGAGCCTTGTTCAGATTTTGAATGGGAGATGCTTCACTCGTGGCTGCTCCTGTTGGCTGTGGCAAAAAGTCAGGCTGTTCCTCCTTGTCACTCTCCACCAGAGATGACTGGCAGGGTTCACTGAGGACAGCTTCAAATTTCTTCATGAATTTAAAGAGGGTCCTGGCCCCAGGTAATAACAGGGATGAGGAGGGAAAAATAGATGGAAGTCAGGAAATATAAAAATAACATCATATTATGTACACATATAACTTACCTTTTGTATACAATGAGTTCCATTAGCTACTCACAATCATCTTATATTTTAAAAGAATAATTATGACAAGTATTGTCATCTCCCTTCTCTAAGAGAAAAAACTAAAGCCAGAAATTGTGGGATCACTTTACTCAAGGTAAAACAGCTGGTTGGGTGGCAGAATTCAACCTTTCATTGCACACAGGCTGTTTTACCTCAAGGCACACCAATCCAGCCTGCAGGTAGAACAGGCTTTGGGTGGCAGGGGATGGTGTTGAAAAGCCACACCAAAATAATCTTGTGTTTTATAATAATAATTTCAGGCAGCACTAAGTCAGGCCTTTATAGCAATGTAATCTTGCAGCCTATCATTCACAAAATCTGAGCTTTAGTCACTCTTAGTTTTAAAAGATGAATTACCTGTGTGTCTTTTCCACAGATTGTTTAATGGACCAGAAGCTGACATCATTCCACTTGGATATCTTAACAAATTCCTGTAAAACAAATGAAGCTCAGGGATGGTTTTATAAACCTAGTATCATTCTCATTCTGATTTTTAAGATCATCTGTTTGCCAAAGACCAGAACCCACTCCATCCAAACATAGGGCTGTATCAGTAAACAAAACACATCTAAAAAAGGAACCAGTGTTTGTCTCAAAGGAATGAAAAGGACTACTGCCACAATGAAAAGGTCACCTGATATGTACTCTGGTTCATATCAGGGTTGGTTCCACCACCATTAAAAGTATAAAAGAGAGAGGGTACTCATGCCTGGCCAATATAGCTCAAGAGGCCATGGGTTTGATTACGGGTAGGGTATATGCTTGGCTTGTGGGCTCAATCTCCAGCAGGGGGCATACAGGAGGCAGCAGATTGATACTGAGCAATGTTTCTATCTATCCCTTCCTCTCTAAAATAATTAAACCCTTAAAAAAAAAAGAAAAAAGAAAAAAAAAAGAGAGGGTTCTCCTTACCCTGTGGCACCTCACGGCACATGGACAGTGCTCCTCTGAGTTGGCAGATCAGCTGGGTAAGCACTAACAGACACCTGAGGCAATTCTCCTAAGGAGTCATAGATGGATTACTCCACTGGCCCCTCACAAACTGAGCTAGGTCACCATGGAACCAATGCCACAGAGTGTAAATCTTGCCATCCTACTGAACAGTTGCAATGCTCTCCTCCATTCCCCAGAGCCCCTGCCTCATTGTTAAACAGATGAAAGAACAGAACTAAATAAAAACAATTTGCTGATTTTGCTCTCCCAAGAGTGATCATGACAGTTGTTCATCTTACTTTAAGTTCTTTTTCTAGGGGGGAACGAAGTTCCACAATTTTGGCCTGGACCCGGTCAAAGAATTGCTTGTAATAATGGTACAAATTCCACAGAACACTGCAAAGTGAATCTGGAAGAAATAAAAGGGAAACAAAAACACCACACTTGCAACATGTGCTACTGGCTCCACCTGGGGGTGTCACATTTCAGAGATGTGCCTTCCTCATTACTCTTTAGGTCATAAGTTTACAATATGTTTCATAGGCTCAGCAGGGAGCCTAACTGAATTTAGCAGTTCCCATCAGAGAGGCAGCCTGTCAACAACTACCCTTTTTTTCATTTCAGCTTGTACTTCTTGTTGCACTATTTATTCAAGATGTACTCATTCTGCTAAATTTAATTTCAAACGCTTTATCTAAATCTTATTGTAAAGTCAGTAGAAACTGAGCCTGTTTTAAAAGGTGGCATATTAAGAGGCTCACCTTGACTGCTCATTCACATACACTCTATACTCATTTTACAGAGAGTGTTATCCAAGTTGCTGCAGTCAGGGGAAAGTAACTGACAGTAGGAGTTTTGTGTGCAGGTGCTTAATAAGTGGCATTGTTCTCATTACATCAAAGATCCTAACAATGGCCTGGATCAAGCAGAAGCTCAGCAGGACATAACCACTGTCTAGACAGAAAGGCGTGCTGCCTCAGCCTGCCAGTTTGAGCCTGAGCTCTGCACCTGGCAGGTTACCTCTGCCAGAGTTCAGCAGTCAGCGCTTCACTGATAACCAGCTTGTACTTTACTTTGAATGTTTATCTCTACATCTACTGTGTATCACATTAAAGTAAAAGATGACTAGAATTTTAAAACCTGGTATGCAATAAATACCTGTATCATGAAGAGAATTCAAAGTCTAACCCATTTTAACACTGCAGCATAAAAGTAAAGGGAAAAAAAGGTGTCTTCTTACCTTTTCCTTCAACTTGTGGCATCAGCAACACATGACAATGGAAAACCAGTAACATCTGAAGGCGTACATGGAATTCTCCCAGTGAGGATCCTTCAATAAATGCTTGTAATGTGCTGACCAGCAACATCAGGGTCATCTGTTTGTCATCTGTAGAGATTCATACAACTGCCTGCAACCATCACTCCCTATTCATAACATGCACGCAGTCTACTAGGGGACCCACTGAGGGATGGCAGTCAAGTAGAGATCACAATAACAAGGAAGCTTTGAAGTAAGGATTGCAGCTAAATTCCAAGCTGATTTACAAAGTTGCACTCAAGGTGTGTATTAAATGCACTCACAGCAAATTGTGAAACTGAATTATGAGATGCTCACTGTAAGTATGAAATGAAACACTTTTAAGCTCAAGCACATTAACTGCTACCAACCAAGAAAGCATCATTCATTTTGACTTGTTTCATGGACATAGAGCCTAAGGAAACCTTATCTTATGACTAACTCTCTACTTTCGGGAAAAAGTCATTTAACCCTCTCTGACTTTTGTCATTAAGAGAAGAACTACATGTCTTTCTTGGCTGACCGCTCAGAAATACCATGAGGTCAAATGACACTTCCTATGTGAAAGCAGTGGCAGGAGGGGACATAGGTGCAGGTAAATCCCACACTTTGCAGCACTCTGAGTTTAGCTTGAGCCCTCTGAATAAGCAGGCACTGTCTGACAGGTGTTACCTTCCTGTTCTTCTGTTTGTTCCTGCATGTGCTTCTCAAGCATCTGATAGATGGAGAACCAGTGCTTGGTGGATTTCTCAGTGTGGCGCTTCATGGTATTATCCAAACTCATAGACCAGCAGCTGAAACATGAGAGAAGAGGCCAAGGTCACATTTAAGGAAATCCATTTGAAATATCCAGAACCACAGAAGCAGCAGCTACATGAAGATGGAGAAGGCTCCAAGTTTGCTGCCTCAGGATGGTATGTTGTCACCTGGTCTCTACGAAGGTTGTTCTAATGCCCAGCTTTTAATGCTGTGATTAATGTCTGAAAGCATATTCTCTAACTGTTCTCTAGCTGTACTAATACAAACAAGAAGAAACGAACACTCATGTCCCTGCGACACAGTCAGGAAGTGAAGGGAAGTGACAAATGTATCACTTACTTCAGTTCTAGTTTACGCCAACGAATGATCATCTGACTGACCAAATCCAGGTGTTTCCGCAGAGAGAGCGCTCGACTTGCATTCTCCTCCCAATCCTACAGAAACAAAAGTAAGAGTTATTATGGCCATTAATTAATCTCCTCATCACCTCCTCAAGAACATCCTGGGCTTTTCCTGTGTAAACACCACTGGGTCCTTCAACAACTCGTATGCTGATTTACCAAGACCCATGAGTTTACATCCAGCTTCCAGTTCTTTCTGGTAACCTGACAGAACCCCAGCAGAGCCAAGATTAGAGGCAGACAAAAAGCACAGATTTGGAGACCTGGGCAGGAATTCCTGTTGTTAGTCCATGACACCTGCAAAGTTCAGGGCCCTAACCAGGGAAGCACCAGCTACCTCCCTGTGAGAGGACTGAGGGGGAAGAGTGTGTGAAGACACTAAGTCAATCTGAAGGCCCACCTAGAAGTCCTGCCCAGAAACCCTCAGTGTCCATGGACGCTGCATCCCACCGAGAACAGGTGAGGTAGGTAGGTCCCTTACATGCCTCACAGAGGTAATGGTTTCCCTTGCAATGCCAGAAAAAAACAACAACAAGGTTTATCCTTCTCCAACTCAGACCGTAAGTTTCTGTCCCTCTAACACTAATGGTGCCACACGATATTTTTTTTTCTTCAATTGATTACAAACTAAAATGAGGAGGAGAGGGGGAATCATTATACCTGTGCCTTTGCCAGAAGGATCTCTAACCCATTCAGGAACTTGGAGATGGGACTGGAAAGTGGGAAACTACGAATTCTGTCCATTACAACCATCAGCTGCAGGAAGAAAAAGAATTGGGGTTACTTCAGTGTAAATATCAATCATCCAAAGTCTCAGGGTACTGAAAAGAGACCTCCACAGAAGTTTCCTGCAGGGATGGCAAGAGGACACATCCTCCGTGCCATCTCCGCACCACCCACCCTACCTGCATAAGCGCCGGATGTTCGGGCCAATCCTGCAGCAGCCGAATGACAGCCTCTGAGAAACCCTGAAGCACAGGTTGACAAAGCCGTGCTTCTGGGACGTTGGGGTGCTGGTAGAAGTCGTAGGGTCCATCTGGCTTTACTATCAGGTCTGTCGTCGCCTCCCCAAAGAGAGTGTTATGGGAGAGGGTGCAGGCCAAAAGCTGGCTGCCCAAGAGTTGGTCAGTCAGTTCAACGCCTGTGAAGTTAACGTCATAGTAAAGTCAGTGGACTCAGTAATTTCAAAAGTTAAAAAGATGCTAGAAACATGCTAGAAAATAATGAACTAATGAAGCTGATACTTCACTGCCATTTGCAACCAAAGCAACATAGGCCTAGAGGACTGTGACCTACTACTACTGCTGCAGCTATAAAACTATGCTAAGTTCCTAGGTTATATCTGAAGAACTTGGATATGACCTAAGTGAATCAAGAGTCTGGCTTGATGGATTCAGAATCAGAGTTTCTGTAGCCGTTCTCAGTAGATATAAATGAAATTTAAGGCCTCCTTCCTATTTGCACAGAATAACTCACGAGGTCATGGAGAAAACTGCATCAAATCATATTCAGTGAGATTAATTTCTGAGTTCCCAGAAATACATGTTATCATTTGAAAAGCACTGAAGCTATTAGAAGAAATAATGTTGAAGAACAAGACCATTTAAACTAAGTCCACACCCTTATTTTGTTAATCCCTTAAACCCAAAGCATTCAAATGATGAAAATCCATCTTTATCAAAGAATTTTAAACCCTTTTTTTGAGTCAGCTTAAGTCTTTTAAACTAAGAAAATTATATTAATAATGAAAAAATATATCTAGTTTTTTTTAAAAAAAAAAAACCTCTACACTCTTCTCACCAGTCTTCAATCCCACCAGCAGTGCACGAGGGTTTCTTTTTCTCCACATCCTTGCCAGCACTTGACATTTGTTGATGATGGCCATTCTGACAGATGTGAGATGGTACCTCATTGTCATTTTGATTTGCATCTCTCAGATGATTAGTGACGTTGAGCATGTTTTCATATGTCTCTTGGCCTTCTTTATGTCCTCTTTTGAAAAGTACGTATTTAGGTCTGTTGCTCATTTTTATATTGGTATTTTTATCTTCCTTTTGTTAAATTGTACAAGTTTTCAGTAAATTTTGGAGATTAGGCCCTTATCAGATATAACATTGACAAATACGTTCTCCCATGGAGTAGGCTTTCTTGTTGATGCTTTCTTTTGCTGTGTAGAAACTTTTTATTTTGATGTAGTCCCATTGATTTATTTTCTCTCTAGTTTCCATTGCCCTAAGAGAGCTATATCAGTGAAGATACTGCTTCGGCATATGTCTGAGATTTTGCTGCCTGTGGATTCCTCTAATATTTTTATGGCTTACATTTAAGTTCTTTATCCATTTTGAGTTTATTTATGTGTATGGTGTAAGATGGTGGTCTAATTTTATTTTATTTTTTTTGCATGTATCTGTCCAATTTTCCCAACACCATTTATTGAAGAGACTGTCTTGAGACACAGTGATCCCACTTCTAGGAATATATCCCAAGAAACTAGAAACACCAATCAGAAAGGATATATGCACCCCTATGTTCATAGCAGTACCATTTACAATAGCTAAGATTTGGAAACAGCCTAAGTGCCCATCAGCAGATGAGTGGATTAGAAAACTATGGTACATCTACACAGTGGAATACTACACTGCTGTAAAAAGGAACTCCTACCATTTGCAACACATGGATGGATCTAGAGAGCATTATGCTAAGCGAAATAAGTCAGAGAAGGATAAATATCAGCCGAAACCGGTTTGGCTCAGTGGCAGAGCGTCGGTCTGTGGACTGAAAGGTCCCGGGTTCGATTCCGGTCAAGGGCATGTACCTTGGTTGCGGGCACATCCCTGGTAGGGGATGTGCAAGAGGCAGCTGGTCGATGTTTCTCTCTCATCGACGTTTCTAACTCTCTATCTCTCTCCCTTCCTCTCTGTAAAAAAATCAATAAAATATATTTTAAAAAAAGATAAATATCACATGATCTCCCTCATTCGTGGAATATAATGAACAACATAAACTGATGAACAGAAATAGATCTAGAGACAGAGAAGCATCGATCAGACCATTGAACCTCAGAGGGACGGTAAAGGAGGGTAGGGACGAAAAAGGAGAGATCAACCGAAGGACTTGTATACATGCATACTAGTATAAGCATAACCAATGGACATAGACACTAGGGGAGTGAGGGCACGAGCAGGGAGGTGAGGGTGGGGCCAATGAAGGCATAAGGACACATATGTAATACCTTAATCAATAAGAGAAAAACATTTTTTTTTAAATCTAGGAAAAACAGGGAGGTAATGGTTCCAGAAGTAGCAATGATATCTATTCATTTTGATTTCCCAAGAATATAACAAAGTAAACAGCCGTACCCATTAGGGGGTAGAAGTGTGTCACCAGAGATGCCCCGGTCTGATAGCAGGACAGAAACAGGCTGAGGTAGTGCTTTGCCTCATGCGATGGCAGAGTCTGTTGGTACCAGAGGGACCGAGCAAAGCTGAGGCACAGCTGCTGGTGAATCAGCATCACAGCCTGCATGGAGCTTGGGGAGAAGACGGTGGGGTCTGTGGCTGCTGCTGCTTCTTGCCCATCTGATGTTCCCTTCTCCTCTAGTGTTGGTTCTATTAAAATATCTGCGAAGTCCTGTAAATAACATTAAAGCCATCGAACTTTAAGAAAATATCAAATTCAGTTCTCATCAGATTAAAAGGAAAGGAAAAGATGGAGTGTGATCAAGAAAATGAGGTAGTGTCGAAACCGGTTTGGCTCAATGGATAGAGCATCGGCTTGGGGACTGAAGGGTCCTGGGTTCGATTCCGGTCCAGGGCATGTACCTTGGTTGCAGGCATATCCCCAGTAGGAGGTGTGCAAGAGAGAGCTGATCGATGACTCTCTCTCATCAATGTTTCTAACTCTCTATCTCTCTCCCTTCCTCTCTGTACAAAATGAATAAAATATATTAAAAATAAATAAATAAATAAATAAATAAATAAATAAATAAATAAATAAAAACGAGGTAGTGACTTATATGCAACTAGAGGGCTGGTGCACAAAATTCATGCACAGGTAGGGTCTCTAGGCCTGGCCAATCAGGCTTTCTGGCTGCAAGCTGGAGTCTCCCTTCTCCAGCTGCTGGCCAGGGCCTTCCTTTGTTCCATGTTGCCCCTGGTGGTTAGCACATGTCAGAGCAAGCAATTAAACTCCTGGTTTCCAGATCTCACTCCTGAGGGGACACTTTGCATGTTAGCCTTTCATAAACATAGATAAGATCTAGTAAAAAGACTGCAAAATCATTGGAATGAAGTGTGTGTGTGTGTGTGTGTGTGTGTGTGTGTGTGTGTGTTATCAAAGGAATTCATTTCAGAACAAATTCTGACCTGATGCAGTGGGAACTGTCTTCTGAACTCCTGCTCCTCCTCCTCCTCCTCGCTCAGTGCTGTCTGGGAACTCCTGCTCCTGTATCTGTACAGGCTATTCTCCTGCTCAGCCTTCTCTTGGGCAAGGCGTTCCTGCTCATCCCACTCATTGATGATTTCCTGAAAAATCACACATTCAGAAGGAAGCTTACTTGCTTTTGCTGAATCATGTACAATGAAAAAGCACAAGATTTACTACCTCTTAATTTCTCATGAAAACAGAATATCATGGTGAAAAAAACACACAAATAAATGCCAACATCCAATATAATTTTCAGGGAACAGAGAGCAAAAGGCCTTTGTTTTCAAACCATGTCTACAGCAAACCATTTCCTAAATTCCTCCTTGCTACATACAGGTATAAAAACTTGCTGCAGGAAAGCTATGGGAACTTCCAGTCAGGGTTAATAGAGCTTTGCACTAAAGGACAGGCGCTGGGAGGGGGGAGGGGGGGGGGTTGGGGGGTAATTCACCACCAATCAGGCAAAACTGGGCTATGCCTTATCAGACATTTCTAAATCCCCTATTACCTATAAGATTTTAAGTCCTTAAATTGGCAAAGTATAAAATAAAGAAACCATAGAGTACTGATAAAGATTGAGGAACTAAGCATCCACTATTCAGTAAGATAATTTGTATTAAAAGCCCACTTAATCTTTGTCCCAGCAATTCTGCTGTCTAGAATTTGTATGCAAAGACCAGGTTATAAGACCATTTATAGTGTTGTTGGGTTTTCCCCAAAAAATAGCAGGAAGAAATAGAAATATAAATCTTCAATTTAGGAAATTATTTAAATGACTTATACCCACAAATGGAAAAACTAGGCAGCAGCTGAGTATGATGCAGGTAAAGAATACCTTAATTATGGGGAAAATAATCACAAAATGCTATTAGGTGTTTTAAAGCAAGTCATAAAATAGAATGGACTTTATTATTAGTTTGTAGTACTCTAGTGATTAAGGAACTGATCGCAGGGATCATGAAGGGGATGGAATTGTTTTCAACCAGAGTATATTTTATCAGTTAAATATTGGATACCTATGTTAAGATTTTTATTTTTAAAAAGGTTCTATTACTAAACAAAAAACTGTAAACCACTGGGACAAATGACTTAGAATAAAACTAGAATGTCGCCGGGATCGGTTTGGCTCAATGGATAGAGCATCAGCCTGCGGACTGAAAGGTCCCGGGTTCGATTCCGGTCAAGGGCATGTACCTTGGTTGCGGGCACATCCCCGGTAGGGGGTGTGCAAGAGGCAGCTGGTCGATGTTTCTCTCTCTCTCGACGTTTCTGGCTCTCTGTCCCTCTCAATTCCTCTCTGTGTAAAATCAATAAAATAAAAAAAAAAAAACACACAAAAAAAACCAAAAACTAGAATGTCATAAACATACATATGCATAAATACAAGCCTAGAATGAGATATACCAACATGTTAACAGAGTGTGGTAAATTCTAATAATTTTTTGCTAATATTTATACTATTTTAACAGTCTAAAATGAGAACAAGTTACTTTTGTTGGTAAGGGAAAAAATAGATGTTATTTTATTCATAGTAATAAAAATTGTATGACAAAAACTACCATAAAGTCAAAAGCAAACCAACAAACTCTTTGCAGTGTGTAACACAAATAGAGGGCTAATATCACTATTTTTTAAAATCTCTTAAAAACTGAGGAACAGAGGTCTCCACGCCCCACTGTTAAATAGGAAAAGAAAGAAACAACAGTAGAACCCCCTCAGGAGTCAGTCTCTATGTACACTGACACTGCTAATGTCCTGCAGGCGCCCCCCCTTTGTGCTTCCAGCTCCCCTTGAGGAGGAGAGGTCGGGGCAGGCTCCCACTGGGGCAGGCTTACCTGGCACACGTGTCTGAAGAGCTGCAGGGCCCTCTGGTCCAGCTCTCCCTTGCACAGCACATGGGAGCGCAGGTAAAGAAGGGCATTCAGCAATAGCTGTTCTCGGGTAGGGCAGGGTTGCTGGCTCTTGCCTTCCAGCTCTTTTCCTCCCGAGCACTTGAGGGACAACTTCCCAAGGCCTCGCAGAACCTCCTCTGACTTGACTGAGCACAAAGCATCTGCATGAGCATAGTAAGTGGGGAAGGTGGGGCTCACCGATGGGAAAGCCAACAGGGATGTGACCAGAGTGTCCAGCCTATCTGCACAGACCACGCTGCTGTGGAGTGAGCAGTGGACCTCGGATGCTACCAGCCTCATGCCATGTTGCATCTGCAAGATGGATGCCTGCAGTGGGGTCACAGTGTCTGGATACAGAGCATACTCCTCGGCCAGCCGCCTCCTGAACTGGTGGTGCGACTGCTGCCAGGAGGCTTCTTCCTTCAGAAGGTTCTGGGCCACCTGGGCAGACCGAAGTCCATCCATCTGCAGCACCTGCAGGAGCCGTGTGAGCAGATCCTGAACGGCCGGGGCCTTGGCGATGCTGGAGATGTAGTGGTGGATCTCCTGCACCAGGGACTCATACGCAGGCAGCTGGGGTCTGAAGGCCTGCTTCTTCGACAGGCTGCATATTAAATTCTCCAGCTGATCAATTCTTTGGTAAAGCAACCTAAAGGCAAAATAATATAAAAATAAGAACGAGAAATCTAGACTGAGCTGGAAGGAAAATAGAATGAAGACATTTCCGCTACTAAGGAATAATATGATATTAACAATTATAATAAAAATGAATTATACTACAGTTATACTACATGCCACACATCATGTTAACTCAGCAATTTAGATGCATATCTCATCACAACTCACTGAAGAGATACAATTATCCTTCTTTTGCAGATATGGATACTGAAGCTTAAAGATATTAAGTGGCCTACTCAAAGTCCAAAGTCAAAGGCAGATGCAGTTCTGAGAGGAACTCAGAACCCACTTTATCGTATAGTATTTCCTAAGGCAACAGATCCACACAATGGACCTCATCACACCCAACTTCTTCCATGTTGAGAATAAGTTCTGGTTTCAACCCTCTTGGCCCACCTTTCACAGAGCATAACTTTTCCTGACTATAACCATGGCTTTGGGATCTAATTGCTAATGTGGTTCAGAGACATATATCATCACCTCTGCTAACACTGTGATTACATTACAAAGGCCAACCTCAAAATGCTTTTTTTTTTTTTTTTTTAAAGGAGAGACTATAATCTACAACACAAATAACCACTCTGCTATTACCTGATATGAGGATGAGAGTAATTGATAATGACTTCATCTTCCAGGTCTCTTCCAGTCTGTAGCTGGGACGAGAGGTTTCGGGTCTTCCACTCGCACTGCAGCTGGTATAACTAATTGAAAGGGAGAAGTTGGTCTGCTATGCCCCGCTAAGACCTTGCCCAAGAGGACAATGCCCTGGGGGAGGGTAGAGCACTGGACAAAGAGAACCTGGGCTCCTGAATGACCCGAGGGCTGGCTCAGGTAGGTCCTCAAGTGATTAGGTAAAAGAAACAATCTTATTTTCAACACTGAACTTCTGGGACCCCATTATAGCCTTCACCCCAATTAACATACTTTTCCTTCAAAATACAGAACTAGTATCTCACTATCTTCATGCAGGCAGTTCCTGGTTTGGTTCAAATAGAAAGGGTACCCATAAGATCTGAACGTACTTGATTCTGGACTTCTCAATACCAAACAAAAGTTCAAAACCCATAGAATACTATACTCTGTCTAAAGTACTTTCCAAAGCAAACATCCAAAACTTAGTTCTAGGACAGGGCGTCTGGACAGTGAGGGCTACCAGCACTTCTCTGGCAGCGCCTCAGATGTGCTGCTGTCGTGCCCTCTGCCCACTGCAGCCTACTACCAGGCACAACAGCACGTTAGGAAGGACCCCTCTCCCAGGGCCTGAGCCCACTCAGAGGAACTCCCACAGGGAAAAAGCAGTCGATCCTGGGAAGTCACAGGGCATTTTATGCAAAATCACCCCTTTAATGGTTTGCACCCAAACGGGAATAAGAGGGTTAATCCAGCCTGTAAGGATGGAGCCCATGCCCCAATTCTTGTTCCATACCTCTTCTTTGGCATATCTGAGCTTGTATTCCCTCTTCACTGCGGGGTCGAAGCGTGCCTGGGGAAGCCATGTCTGAATCTGGAGCAGGCCGAGGCTCACCCAGAGGCTCCCACGCCGGGCTGGCTCAGGTAGATCCCGCTTACCCTCCCCTTCCCCGAACAAGAGGCGTAGGGAGGTAAGCAAGAGGCACAATAGGTCTTTGGGCAGCACCTCCTGCCCGGCCATGTCCCCAAGAGTCTGGCCCACGTGCTGAAAAGCCTGGCTGTCCCCACGCAGCAGCTGCTCGCAGTTGTGCATGTACTCCTGCCGTAGGGTTTCGGGGAGCAGCTCAGCCAGGCCTGCCAGGTGCCGGCACAGCACCAGTCCCTGGAGCCGGGAATCCGTGCGTCTGAGGGGATGAGGAAGCACTTCAGTGTTTGCGTTACATCAAACAGCATTTCTTTCTCACTCTATGACATGAAAGACTACACTCCAATACTAGGTGAGTTTTCATTTTCATGTAATCTAGTTTCCTAAGCATTTCTCTCTTGATCATGACATGCTTAAAATTGACTGAGCAGCTGGCCAGTTCACAGTAGCCTGTGATGGGCTGAAAATCTGCTGATCCAGCCAGAAAACACCCTGGCCTTCACCTACCTGAACTGGCTACCAGAGAAGCAATTTCTGACTGAGGTCCTCCTGTATGCTCTGGAGAATCAAAAGGAGCTTTCCAGGCTGCCCCGGGGGAGGGAATACCTGAACTCTGCTACTGAAGGGACAGCCATGTTGGTCCAAAGCATTGAGCTGATGTCCCGGAGCTGCTGGGCTCTTTCAACCCATTCTCCCAGGGTGACATGCGAGGAGGATAGGATGGGGAGGCCGCTCACATCCCAGGAACTTGCTCTGCAGCTGCTGGTCAAGGCTTCGAAGCAGCACTTGGAGAACATGGCTCTACTGAGACTGCCGGGGCCCTAATGGATAGAGTTAAGTCACTTTAGAAATTAATTAAAAAGACTTAAACAAGTAGTACTGGCACTGTAGAGGAAAGAAAAAGGACAAGAGGTTCAAGCTGCTGGGACCAGGAGGACTAAATGTTATCAGGTGCTAGCAGGCCTTAAAGGAATGTAGACTCTATTCTCCAGGAACGAGGAGCAATGAGTGCATCAGTATTGCGAGGAAAACTCCTCAATCCTGGACATTAGGAAGGCCATTCTTGCAGTACAGCTTGGAACACACTGCAGAAAGGTGAGATTCAGAGGCAGAGTTAAGAACTAGAAGACAAATGTAAGAGTCAGGCACAAAGTTGGCCAAGCTGTGCAAACTTTAAACTGTTCATCTGGGTCACAGAAGTAGCTGTCCACAGTAAAGCTGGTCAAACACATGTAATAGAAAACTCTACACAACTCTCTGGGACCCATAATGTTTATCACCTAAGAGCTTTGAGAGATATTTTCCAATTAAAAAAAAAATCAGTTTTGATAAAGTAACAAAACAGAAAATACTCCAAAAGTAAATCCTTGAACATTTATGTGAAAATAAAATATATAATCGAGGTGGCATTTCAAATGAGAATGAAAGGATTAATTCAAAAATGGTACTGTTATACATCATATGCTGTTTGCACAAAATAAAAAATTTATAAGTCTACCTCAAAAAACAAGATATCCAGATAAACTTGATTTAAATACAAAACAAAAATACAAAAGAAATTATGGGCGAATAGTTTAATTCTAGGTATAGTGAAGGAAGACTTTTTAAAAAAAGCATGACACCTACCATATACAGATGATGAATCACAGAATTTTACACTTGAAACCTATACAATTTTATTAATCAATGTTACCCCAATAAGTTTAAAAATAATAACAAAATAAAAAATGAATAAAAACAGGGCACTAAAGCCAAAAAGCAGAAAGGGGTAAGCATATTTAAAAAGAAGACATTAAGCCCAGCAGTCATGGCTCAATAATTGAGCATCAACCTAGGAACCAAGAGGTCACAGTTCAATTCCAGGTCAGGGCACACGCCCAGGTTATGGGCTCAATATCCAGTAGGGGGGGAGTAGGCAGTAGATGATCAATGATGTTTCTCTCTCATCAATCTCTCTCTTGAGCACTCTCCCTTCCTCTACCTCTAAAAAATGAATAAAAACACATAAAAATAAGACATTAAAAAACTTGAGAGACAAGAAAAACAATAGAAATACATTTCCAAACATTGTTAGGAAAAGGTTTAATAACCATATGTAAAGAGATATCCAGCCTGACTGGCATGGCTCAGTGGCTGAGCAGCAATCTATGAACCAGGTCATGTTTGATCCCCATTAGAGTACGTGCCTGGGTTGTGGGCTCCATCCCCAGTGTGGGGTGTGCAGGAGGCAGCTGATCTATGATTCTCTCTCATCATTAACACTTCTCTCTCTCCATCTCCCTTTCTCTCTGAAATCATAAAAATATATATAAAAAAAAAAAGATATCCAGTAACATAATGTTGAACCCATTTTTTTTTAAAAAACAAAATGGGCAATGAACATAAATGATCAATGTACATACACAATTATGTTCAATCTCAAAAAATAATCAAGGGAGTATGGATAAAATGAAATTTTAAAAATTATCTAATTTAAATGTTGATAACACCGTGTGGCAATGTGATGGAGAAACAGGCCCTCACGTATATAATAAAGGAAACTGTGCTTAGTCCCAAGTCCTCCTTTGGTTGTCCAGAGCTTCATGATCTCCCTTTTTACTGGTTCCTAGAATGTTTAAAAAGTAAAGCAAAAACCACCTAACTGACATTCTGGTAATAGCTATAAATTACTTTAACTGTGCATACTTTAATCAAGGGTTAAATTCCAGTTCTTAGATCCACAGAAATACTCAAAGGGACAAAAACTTATGCAAGGGGAATTGATACAGTATGCTTATTATAGCAAAGGGAGGAAATATAGACAAGAAACCTCAAAACCCATGATTAAATAAATTCCAGCACATTTGAAGGATGGAATACCTTAAAAAGAATAAGCTAGAACATAAACTGATGAACAAAAATAGACAAAGACACAGAAGCATCGAACAGACCAACAAACCTCAAAGGGATGGTAGGGAGGGGGGGTGGAGGAGATCAACTAAAGAATTTGCATGCATGAATGTAAGCATAACCAATAGACACACACAGTAGGGGGGTGAGGGCATGTGCTGGGTGGCGGAATCGGGCGGGAGAGGTCAATGGCAGAATAAAGGAGACGTGTAATACTTTCAACAATAAAGGATTTAAATTAATAAAAAGAATAAGCTGGAATGACAGGTACAGGTTTCCATAATGTATTATATAAACAAAAAAATGATTTTTGTTCACGTGTATATTTAATATAAAATATAGGTAAATAAGATACAAAGCATCTTGGTGTAGTTCATTTGGTTGAGCACGAAAAAACCCAGGTTTGATGCACATGCCCTGGGTTGCACGTTTGATCCCTGACAGTGGGTGTGCAGGAGGCAGTCAACTGATGTTTTCTCTCTCCCCCCCTCTCTAAAATCAATAAAAACATATTTAATAAAAGAAAATATACAGAGAGTCAATACAGAGAGAAATATACAGAGAGTCAATACAGAGAAAAATATACAGAGAGTCAATACAGAGAGAAAATAAAAACATATTTAATAAAAGAAAATATACAGAGAGTCAATTTATTTATTTCTACAGAATTCTACTATACACACACACACATGAACTCATGTATATATTGTTTAAATGTTTTGTAATTAGTAAAAAGAGTATTTTGATTAGAACAGAGATAAAATACTTTAAGGATCCTTTAATTCAGAACTTCCCAAATCATTAAAACAGAACTATCTTCTTTGAAGGTACACTTATTAATATCCTGTAGAAAAAAAAGCACTACAATTACTTAGTCACCGCTTTATGCTAGCAACAACTATTTATTACTAGATCTATTGCAAACTCCCGCTATCATCAAACATTTTTACGTTTTATGCCAACAAACCTTCAGTGTAGAGTCCAAAAGGGACTTTGGCCTCTCCCTCTGCTGCTCAACAGTCAGAGGGCTCCATGTGAGCCAGAACTCTGGATTTGTGGTCACAGTACTGCTCCAGAAAGACATAAATGTGGAATTAAATAAGCCGGACCACAAAGAGATAATTTCTTCTGTAGACACCTAGAGATAAAGAATAATTAGATAAGCGAATATCTGAGAAAGATTTCATAAATCAAGTTATATGGCTGCTATCTAATATCGATAAGATCAATTTAAAATTAATATGGGTTTAAATATATTAATCTTGATATTCCTAACTTTCTGCCATCCTGGTGATCCTGGTGAAATCACTTATCCTGATTTTATATATATATTTTAAATTCTCACTTGTGGATATGTTTTCTCACTGACCGAAGAGAGAAAAAAAGGGAGAGAAATACTGATGTGAGGGACAAACATCAATCAGTTGTCTCACACACTGAACTACAACCCAGGTAAATACCCTTGACTCGTGACACTTCGGTGTGTGGGCCAATGCTCTAAACACTGACCCTTATCAGCTAGGGCTACCCTGATTGTCCTATATAATAAAAAGCTAATATGCAAATAAACCAAAATGTGGAACTACCAGAACAACCGGTCACTATAATTTGCGCTAACCACCAGAGGGTAGGTGTGGAACATGGCAGGTGTTGGCCACCGCAGGATGGTGGATCAGTGAGTGGGGACACCAGAACAAGGCGGAGTGCCAGGTGCTGTCAGCCTCTGGTGGTTACTGAAAATTCCTTGCTCCCACAACCCATGGTCCTACATTAGGCTGCAGCTTGGACCCACTGTCAGTGCCAGCCCCACTCACACCTGCAGCTGGCACTAGAGCCACAGCTCGCACCACTGCTGCTGCCCAGTGCTGGTCCTGATCACTCGGCACTATCAACAGGTGCAAGTGGCAGCTGCTGGCCCTGATTACCCCTGAGGGCTTCTCCACCTCCTCCTGCTCCTGAGGGGTTATCGAGCAGCAGATGCCACTGGCACCTGCTGATGGCGATGGCCCCACTCACATCCACTGCTGGTGCTGGCCCCAATCGCTCCTGGCTGTCAGTGGGTGCCAAGTGGGGCTGACACCAGCAGTGTGTGGGAACAGCGGGAGCAGGGCTGCTGGCAGACAAGGGGCCGGGGGCCACTGTGGGAGGGGTTAGTCGGGGGCGCGAAGAATGGGCCGAGACCCGCCCCTGTGCCTACTGCAGCCTCGCAGCCCACAGTTCCTTTCAAGGTGCACAAATTTGTGCACTGGGCCCCTAGTAATCTATAAAATTAAGGAGAGCATTGGCCATTGTTGTTCAGTGGTTAGATGGTCATCTGTGTACCAAACTGTCGTAGGTACAATTTCCAATGAGGGCACATACCCAGTTCAGGTTTAGTCCCTGGTGGGGGCATGTACATAAAGCAACCAATTGATGTTTCTCACATTGATATTTCTCTCTCTCTCTCCTTCCTTTCTTCTTTCTCTAAAATCAATGAAAAACATATCCTCAGGTGAGGATTAAAAACAAACAAAAACTAAGAAGAGATCTGCTTTGTAAGGTTACATAAAAAAAAAAAATAAGTCAAACAATTATAATTGATTCCCAAAAGCAAAACAGATAAAGCATTATTTTAAAAATTAAGATTGTACTAATGAAGTTGTATTAACTATAGTTTATTATTTTTCACATTCAATAGTTACTCTTGGGGAAAGAGTAAAACCCACTCTCACAGTGTATTTTTGAGAAACAAAAAAAAACAAAACAAAAAAAAAAAAAAAAAAAAAAGCTCATATTTTATCCTCTTTTAATTGGAAAATGGAATAGGATGATTCTGTGATTAGAGCTAAGAAGTACCCAGGTAATTACTACAAAAGAACATTAAAAGTTCTCCCCCTTGAAGTTAACTCAGGTAAGAATGGAGTTTGCAACATGTAATTTTGAGATTAAATAAAATACTCTGCAACTGGCCTGTCATAGAAAAATAAAATCAGCTTATAGTGTAAAGGAGGTTTATTTCTTTTTAATTTTGGTTTTTACCTTCTTATGATGCAGTAAGGACCAAAGGTCTCGAAGTTCTTGAGGAGCAACTGGTGTGTGCTTAAGACAAAATGAGATATGATGACTGATTTCCTCATCAATCTGGGGTTGCTGACTTTTACTGGACCTGTTCCAAAAATAAAGGAGAGAGGGTAGGCTGAGTAATCAATGAATGGCTAGGAAACTGCTGTGTACAGAAATATGAAAAACACTTCACTCAGAATACATTTACTTAAAAAACAAGCCAACAATACTACTGGGAAAATAGCCAGCAACTTTTAAAGGTGGAGTGAAAATAAGCAAGAATCTTCAAGAAGTTGTGGCTTTCTAAATTGGCAACTGACCTCCCTCTGCTTCTGCAACTACTCCCCCTCAGGATAAGTCTGCGCTTTGCGTCACGTGTAGGACGCCCAGATTAATCTAACAAGAAGTTTCCCCTAGGAAAATGGCTTACCTTCTCAGACAAGCCTGTGTCATAAAATCAGCTGTCACTTTGTACTGCCAAAGCACAGCCAGATACTCCATTGCAGGCCATAACTGAACACTCCTGGTGAGTTGAATTAAGGAGGTAAAGTCTGGCTGAGATGGGGTGGAAGATTCACTGGGCTTGCGCTCCAGAAAACCAAGTGAAATTCCTTTGGCTTTTACTTCTAAACACTGAGCATTCACAAGATTCTTCAATTCATCTGGACAAAAGGACACATGTGGCATCATTGTACAGCAGCAGATCATACAGGATCAGATTCCCAATAGCCAGTAATATGACTGTGAGCTTAACCAAAGTGTCGCTTAACCTGAGCTTGAGTGCTGTATCTATGAAATGTTATTAATATCGGCAGAAGTCTAATGATAGAATTAAACAATGTATATAAAGTTTAGCTCTATGCCTAACACTTATTTAATGATAGTTATAGTATACCAATGGGGGCATGGAGGGAGGGGGAGAAAAAAAAAAAATCTAAGGGAAAAACTTAAAACTTGTTGGCTGTAGGGTGGCAGACACACTCTTAGAGTATCTGTCAGCAGGCCACATTGCAGAGTATGTTACCTGGGTTGATATCTTCCAGAATGTTAGCTCTGAGGACCAGCCCCCAGGCCCGTAGAAGACTTTTCTTTAATGTCCATTCAGAAGCAACCACTTGGAGCCGACTAATATCTTCCAGCCATCCACTCTCCCCGACAGCAGCCATCCGCTCCCTGATGGCAAGGGCTTTGTTAAGAGTTTTCAGTTGTGAAAAACACTCCACCACCAGCTTGTCCTGAAACAATAAAACACAGGGGAGCCTACTATAGAGAAGAAATGTGGTTTTTATTTCAGCAACCTATTCATGTTTGAGAAAAGATTAAAAAAATTTCCACACTGGTAGAAAATACACCGTTTTCTTGTTCTGTTGCTCTCAGATTTTACTGTAATAAAGTTACTAGCTACCCAAAGAGTAAGTAAAATGATAACCTTTAACAAATCAGTTAATAGTATTCATTGGCTACTTAATTAACACTTAAGGTAAGCTTTGCAGGCAAGGAGGAATCCAATTGAATGGCAATTTCACATTCCAGAAGAACTTCAGAAGAGGTCAAACCTTTGATTATTATATGATTCCAGGGTTTACCTTAAAAGGAAACGGTCGTCCCAGGAACTTCTGCAACTTCTTTATACCAGTGAAGCCACCAGTTGGGCTCCCCAAGCAATTCTGAATATGCTCTGAGACAGTCTGGACTTCTTTGTAATATCTTTAGAGAAGGAGAAAAATGGCAGAGGGGAAGTAAGAAAAGGGGAACATGCTAGACAATAAGAGACATCATTTACATTTTATATCTGCTTTACATTCACTAATAGACCAAGGCAATAACCCAGAGAAAAAAAGTTTAAATTCCAAGCCATCTTCTCTTTAAAATCATCAATACTGTAGATATTGACATTATTACTCTAAACATGAGTCTTACTTGTCTTCATGGTTCATCAGGAGTTGGGGAATCTCACGGACCAAATGTTTTAAAACCCAGTGCCAGTGAAGGGCAAGCAAGGCCAGCCCTGGGGCATCCACTTTTACTGTGTCAGCCACAGTCCAAAACCGGTCCCGCCACCGCAGAGAAGCCAAGATCTAAAAACAAAGGAAACCAAAATCACTCACAAACATCTCCCAGAAAAGACAGAAGACAAAGACTTCAATTACTAACCAATACTCAACACGCACACATGAAAGGTCTAATATTCTACTGTAATGTTTTTAGGGACATTAAGGCAATCAGAGAAGGCAAAAAGTATTTCCTCCTAGTACTTAAAAGTTCAGAGCTATTACATTAGAGAAAACAGAATTACTGGGTCTTATGGTTAAGTGTATAGGTAATTTTATAAGAAACCACCAACTTGTCTTAAAAAGCAGCTGCACTAATTCTGTCTTCCAGCCAACAGTATAGGCGAGTTCACGTTATTCCATTTCCTTGCTAATATTTGCTGCTGTTAGTGATTATAACTTGAGCCATTTTGGTGGTTTGAAACCACTTCACTATGGTTTCAATTTCCATTTCCTTGATAACTAATGATGTTGCAATTTTGCAAGTTCTTACTAGGCATTCTTATTATCTTCTGAGAAACATCTTTTTTTTTTTTTTTTTTTAAATCTCATTTTGTAATTGGGCTGTCTTATTAGTTTGTTTATATAATTTATGTATGATTTTTTTAACACTTGCTCCCAGTGTTTCCATTTTCTTAAAGCTGTCTATTAAGAACAGAAGTCTTTGATTTTGATGAAACTTTTATAAACAATCTTCCAAAATCTTTTCCTATCCTCAGGTTATGAAGATTTTCTCCTGTTTTCTTTTAGACAATTCATAGCTTTGGCTTTAATATTAGGCTATGATCCATTTTGAAGTATCTTTCGATATAATTTAAGATAGGGATAAAGGCTCATTTTACTTTGTTATATGAACATCTAGTTGTTCCATATGTGGGATAGACTATTTTTCTCCAGTAAACGACCTTTGCACATCTGGCAAAAACAGTAACAACAAAATCAACTGACCATGCTAGCCAGTTGCTCAGTGGTTAGAATTGTTAGCCTGTGGCCTGTGGCCTGTGGACTGAAGGGTCACGGGTTTGATTCCAGTCAAGGACACATACCTCAGTTGCAGGCTCAATCCTCAGCCCCAGTCGGGGCATGTGCAGGAGGCAATCAATCAAGGTGTCTCTTTCACATCTGTTTCTCTCTCTATCTCTCTCTCTCTTTCTGTGTGTGTGTGTGTGTGTGTGTGTGTGTGTGTGTGTGTGTGTGTATGTATGTCTCTCCCCCTTCCTTCCACTCTCTCTAAAAATCAATGGGAAAAATATTCTTAGGATTAACCCCCGCCTCCCAAAAATATAAAAATAAAAATCAACTGACCACATATGTCAGGGTCCATTTCTGACAATACCCATTATTTTCATTTATGTAGTTCTCAATGCAAATTAGGTAAATGTGAGTCCCCAATACTGCTCTTACAAAAATGTATTTTTACTACAAGTAGTCTCAAGATTAGTGATTCCTTTCATGGTTTCCATGAAGTTAAAGCTATGTTAACAATAATATCACATTACTTGCTTCTTTTCCATGTTGACATTTATACTAATGGTACAAAAAAAAAAAAAAAAAAAAAGATAAACTGTGACTGGGTAGTTGGCAAACACTGTATTGGAAATGAATAAAGTGAATCTGTTAGATCATGAAAAACAGCTCTGAGTATGTGCTGCCAGTGATAAAATTCAAGCTTTTAAGTAAAACCGAAAACTTTGAAAAACTAAGACCATAACAACTTCCTAATATTAAAAGGTTTTTCCGGCCAAAACCGGTTTGGCTCAGTGGAAGAGCATCGGTCTGCGGACTGAAAGGTCCCAGGTTCAATTCCGGCCAAGGGCATGTACAGTGGTTGTGGGCACATCCCTGGTAGGGGGTGTGCAAGAGGCAGCTGGTCTGTTTCTCTCTCATCGACGTTTCTAGCTCTCTATCTCTCTCCCTTCCACTTCTCTGTAAAATATCAATAAAATATGTATTTTTAAAAATAAATTTAAAAAATAAATAAATAAAAGGTTTTTCCGATGAGGTTTGCAGTCATTTTTTTTTTTCATGACTGTGACTTTATTTATATTGAAGAATAAAATATGTCAGCATTTGGAAGATCTGATAACTCAGTGAACAATATTTTCCAAATTACCAATACATCAGCTATAAATGCACCCAAGGGTAAAAGTCTATCCAAAGTGTAAGCTAGACCAATGGATTTTAATGTATAACAAGTTTAGTGACATTTTTTGGATTCCATATTACAGGTAACCTTTATAAAACCAACACCTGTCAGATTGTGGTATAGTATCAAAAAAAAATATTCACAATTACATGAAATGTCTGTTTAGATACTCCTTTTTCCAACTTCATAACTGAGAATAGAGGCCAGTTTTTCAACCCAAACAAATATATTGCAAAAAAAAAAAAAAAAAAAAAAAAAAAATGCAGAAGCAGAATCCAGCTTTCTTTAGTAAAGCCAGAAATTAAAAAGACAGAAATGTAAAAACAATATCACTTTTTCTCATTAATTTTTGTTTTGGGAAAGAGTTTATTTTTTTCATTTAAAATATTATTCATGTTAACATGAAATGGATCTGTTACCGTGTTTTTAAACAGATAAATAACTATATTTTATATTTCTCAGATTTATATATTAATTTAATGAATACTAATGTAACCATATAAACAAAAGTTCTTTTGGACCTTTAGTAACTTTTAAGACCATAAAGGAATCTGGAGACCAAAGGGTTTAAGATCTGCTACTCTAGTTTAATGGAATTACTAGAGTAATCCATATTCAAATCTCAATTAAATCCACATGTGACAGGGATGACTAGAAAGCTTAATTAAAATGAAACTAAAAACTCCGAAGTCCAGCAACACATACATTGATAAATAAGTTATAATACATACATTCAATGGAATTACTAGGCAATTTTAATGAAACCTTTATTCACCAAACAATATGGATGCAGCTCAAAATAATTATTTTTGAAAAAGTCATCAGAAAAAAAAAAAGAGTATGTACTGCATAATTTAATTTATAGAAAATGTTATATATACCTAGTTGGGTGGGGTCAGGGGTCAGAATAGGAATACAAAAGAACATAAGGGAAGTTTGAAGGTATAATAATAGATATATGTTCACTATCTTGATTGCATAAGGGACTCATAGGTATATACATATATAATTGAACACTTCTAATAGGTGCCACTTGTTATATGTCAATTATAACCCAATAAAGTTTTAAAATGCATATGTTTTAAAGTGTTAAGAACAATTAAATTTCTAAAATATTTGACATAACCATGAAATTAGTCTCATACCTAAGAATCTTTGTGCTAAGACAAATGTTGCTATAACAAAAATAGGTACATTTTTCCTTACCTCATTGACACTGGCATCAGACACTATTCCCTGGGAGGACTGTACCCAGAGCAGGATTAGTGCATCACAAAGTTCAAAAAAAGCAGCAAGATTGACCACAATTTCATGGGGCAGGCTCTGATAGCTCTCTGGATCTTAGAGTTGACATAAATAAAATAATAACATCCCATCAGATTCAAATTAATCTCTGGACCTTTTCAAAATCAGCTGTAATATGAAATGTAATATTATCCCCAGTACAAAGGTCAATTTTTAAACTCTTCTTTATCTACTATTATTAAACTTTGCAGAACATGCATATATACCTATAAATGTTCACATTGTCTTAATGAAAAAAAAATTATAGAGTAATACATATTTTAAAGAAGTACTCATTTAAGTAAAAGAAAAACTAAGGTCCTAATCGGTTTGGCTCAGTGGATGGAGCATTAGCCTGGGGACTCAAGGGTCCCAGGTTCGATTCCAGTCAAGGGCATGTACCTTGGTTGCTGGCACATCCCTAGTAGGGAGTGTGCAGGAGGCAGCTGATGGATGTTTCTAACTCTATCCCTCTCACTTCCTCTCTGAAAAAAATCAATAAAAATATATTTTTTTTAAAAAAGAAAAACTAAGTGTATATATGTTTGAATGGACAGAGAGCATAGATATAAGAAGATACAAATGTACTATTAACAGTAATAGCTTTAAAAGCTGAATTCTGCAATTTTATGTTTCTATTAGAGGCCCTGTGCATGAATTCATGCACCAGGCCAGGCTGAAACTGGCTCTCCAACATCCCCTGAGGGGTCCTGGATTGCAAGAGGGAGCAGGCCAGGCTAAGGGATCCCACCTTAAAGGTGCACAATCAGGGCCAGGGAGAGACATGGAAGGTTGGCCCGCTGGGGAGGAACCTAAGGAGGGCTTTAGGTCGTGTCTGGCCTGTCTTGCTCAGTCCTAATGGGCCAGACCTCAGCAGCAAGCTAACCTACAGGTCAAAGCATCTGCCCCCTGGTGGTCAGTGCACGTCATAATGAGTAGTTGAGCAGCCTTAGCATATTATGCTTTGATTGGTTGAATTGATGACTGGACACTTAGCATATTAGGCTTTCATTATATAGGATTTAGTTTGAATTTCCCCCAACAAGCATATATCTTTTCAATTAAAAAAAATAAAGTAGGGAGGAAGAAAGAACCTATAACCAAATACTTATGAGCATGTACTTGTTGAGCCAAGAGACCTAGACTTCAAGTTTTAACTGTTACTTACTGGAGATGTGACCTTTACTATCTCTGTGCCTCCCTTTCCCCTTTCAGAACATGGGGCCTCCAAAGCATACAGTTGTTATAAAAAGTAAAGGAAACCAAGGACATATTAAAAGCAATCTATCACTAGTACTAAGCAAGGGAACATTTTTAAAATCTGGCCAGCAAATCAAAAGGAACCAATAAAATGGCAGCAACTAATCAATGTCTCTTAACTTCAACATTTTTAAATCAGATGTGTAACTGAAGAATATGAAAGGCAGTGTTCTTACCTTTATGGAATTCAAAGGACATTCTCAAGACACTATTTCTTAACTTTTTGCTACCAACAGGAGCCAGATTTGCTTCAGTAAAAATTCGTTTTTCCCGGTCAAGATATATGATTGTCCTGAAATGAGATTCAATAGCATAACAAATTATTATTGATGAATAATACTTTTCAATCACATCCTCTATTTCCTGAATCCTGAGAATCCTTAAAACATCAATGTCTTTCAACCTGACATTCCTCTCCAGCCTCTACAAACTCTGAACCAGAGAAATAGGTGAGAGTGATCACAACAAAGTTGGTGGGAGGAGAAGAGATGGCTGGAAAGGCTATTTTAAAATACATGGCCAGGCCTCATTCTGTTGCTCTGTTATGATCCCACAAAACTGTACTGGGACCTTAAAAATTGAGCATTATAAAATTAATCTGAGGTGTTAGAAGTCACCTGGGGAAATTGTGGGGGAGTTACTAAAGGAGGAAACCAGGGGTTCTCTGAGGTGCTAGCACTCATCACATGCCTGAGTTCACTTTGGGAAAACTCATCAAATCCATACATACTCATTAATGTGCATTATACTTTTCTCTAATCACATTATACCTCCTTTACAAAATTATTTTAAAGAATGTATTGCACTGATGGCCAATTAAAAAAAACCTGCTGGTCATTACTTTAAGAGGTGAGGAAAGGCTAGCTTATATGTCAATAGGTAAATTTATATGTGAGTGTGAACATGAGCATGCAGGTGATATGTTATGTCTCTAGCATTTGAGGAAATGAAATGATGTGACAGATGACTAAGGAAAAGACATGTGAGAGAACAGATAGATGAAAATGGGAGGAGCTACAGGGAATCATACCCAGAAAATAGTACAAACATGACTATCCGATGATAAAGAATTAACCATAAATTATATCCCACCATTAATGCTAAGCTGGTGTTTTTCTTAAAGGATCCTATTTAATTATTAAGAACCTGCAAAAATTATAGGCATTTTGACATCAGAGTCAGAATTACTTCTCTGAGAACAAAGGAGAGTGGTAATAGAGGCAATCATGTCCGTCACCAAGTAGGTATTAGGTTCAGAAGATTAAACAAACATAAGACAGAGACTGAGGAAAGGTGTAATCTGAGAAGCCAAAGTGTACAGTGAGGCAAACAACGCCCAGAACAGTAGGCTTCACCTACTTGTTTGCAATGGACTCTAAAAGGGAAAAGAGCTGCTCAGACTGGTCTGTTTGTGGGTCAAAGTCCATCGAACTTCGAATGATGTCCAAAGCCTGCATATTCCATCGAGGGTCCAAAGGAATCACAAATTCTTCTGGTTAATAAAACAAAACAAAAAAAGAATTTTGGCTTTAAACTCCTTGTCTGGCAAATTTCTGTTGAGAGCTTTCATTGTTTTAAGTTGACCACATTCAGTCCTGATGTGGAAGAGGTGGCACAGAGAAATGCTAGTTTCAGCACATAATACTAGAAAAGTAGGGTTCAACAGCTTTTATGCTATTTCCTTTCAAAATGCAAAATTTCTACCAGTTCTGAAAATTCATTCCTCTGGAACATAAACATTCCAACCAATGCATTCACTTGCTCAGATCTTCAGAAAAATAATTCATGGGCTTAATCACCCAATCTTTTGCAATCAACCACACGAAAACTAACTTACATGGCAGAAAATGAATGAATACCTATCATTATTTGTTTCAATAAGAAAACAAGGTTATTTCACCTAAAACCCATTTCTTGTTGCTGCTGACACCTCACTTGAGCTCATTTGGCTTAAACTTGGCACTTCTCTGTCAAACAGCAGTGATGAGTCTCTAACCCCCGCCTTCCCCTAAGAAGTTGTGAGAACCAGAGGGAGATACTATGCTAACATTAACTTGAAGGTGGCTGCATAAGACAGGCCAGTTCTTCAAATTTTAAAGACTTCTGCCATACAGTAGATGACAAATGCCAACTGAGTAAGGCATATCAAGGAAGAAATCCATATCCCAAAATCCAGAAAGACTAGTCAGTCCAGAGCTACAGTTGAAAAGGAAGATGGAAACAGACTTACTATATTCCAAAGTGGGAAAATGGTGTCTGCTAAAAAGGGAACCTGCTACTCTACTCTAGAACTATATTCTCAAAGACCAAAATTATTTCAAATTGGAAAGCCACCACTTAATTCAGCCATAACCTGACTACTTACAGTCGTTTTCCATCCCTTGACTGCTTCACTATCATTCATCTCATTACCTTTAGTATATATTGGGGAATTGGTTTAGCACAAAGGCATCATGCATACTTTTTTCTAAAGAAAATGGCTAATGGTATATATTTGATCAACATCAGATGAAGATGGGTGTGAGAAATTAAAAACCTCTATCTGTGAAAATGTTCCCTATTTTCCTTATTAATGCTTATGTTCAATCAACTTAATGTTATCCTGTTCCTGTAAACAAGTTTTCTATCTCACCAATTAATTAAGAAATTTTGAATACTTCATTTGATTAGAAAGCTTAGATGGCTATTTCTTTCATCATTATGGTTTTATAACTTTTTATCAACAGCTTTATAACTTTTATCGAGGGTTTATATTTCCTCAAGCAATTGATTCTTATTGCCCCTTCAAGTAAAATAGCTTTCTAGTTTAAAAAACCTTTCTGTTAACAGTACTAATAAGTAATAGAATGCTATAAGTAGAAGGGACCCTATATAAGTGAACTTAACTTCCATGTTTTTCACACACAGGCAGTGAGTATGGATGATGGGCCCCAAATCAACAAGCCAGTCTGTGGACAAGTTGGAAACACAGCCCAGTCTTCCAACTACCATGTTCTTCCCACTTCACTGTGTATCATCCCTTTTAAGAAACTGAAAGATAAATGGCTGGTTTCAGACAAAGAGGTGGAATTTGCATCTGGATACTCTTGAGTGTTCTAAAAAATACCATGTTGCAGAGGTAGCTTTGACAGGTCTTTTCCATGGGAATTCAATGGAAATCAAATCAGGTACAGTACCTGTTATATTTGGTTGTAATATTTTGATGACATTACTGATTCCAGCTGAGAGAGAATTTGAGTAAAATTTCCTAAGAGATGCTGCACTGGCTTCCAAATGAATCTGTATGGACTCTGTGGAGGAAGGAGAAGAAAACTTTAGTATCTAAAGTAGGCTGTCCAACAAAACTTTCTGCACAATGATGAAAATGTTCTACAACAGCCACTAGTCAGCTGTTAGCTAGCAACTGAAAAGTGGTCAGTGCAACTAAAGGACTGGACTTTAGATTTCATTTCACCTTAGTTAGTTTATGGTTACCTTTTATTGTGACCTGTGGCTAATAGCTATTACACAGGAACCATTTTTAGACAGATCACAATTACCACAATAATATACACATTCATTTGCTGCTCTATAAATTCTCATGGGGCAGAAAGGCTCATGTAATCTTAAAATTTTTAAAGTAATTTTAAACAACAAGTTCTACCAACAAATTCCATGTCCTATACTTTACAACCCATGTGATATTGTTACTGTTGTTTTTTCTTCTTTAAAAATGAAAAAAGTACAAAAATATTTAGCATGACAACTTAAGTGCACCTGGAATTAGTAAATCTCTTAAGTACGTCTAAGGGAAATGAATTCACCAAAAGCAACACCTATCCCAGATAAAATGGTTGTGCAGCATTATTTATAAAAGAAAAGCAGGATGTTCAAGAAAATAAAAAGTTACATTACATAGTACTTTTCCTGATGGATTTGACATAAAGGTGGACAGACCTTGAAATGCTAAGCATTACATAGAAAAAAAGTAACTTTTGGGGCACACCTAAGGGCACATATGATTTTTAATTTTTTAATAACCACACAAACAGTAATGCTAGGTCACAAATTTCTTGCTATGCGATCTCCCTTATGTAAAGTAGCAGTGTAATTAGAATAACACAGCTGCTGAGGCACTAAAACAGGAGAGGTGTAAATTCACTCATTATATAAATTAAGCTTTTCTACTTACCAAGCCCCTGTGGTATATTCTTGGCTAAATGGTAAAGCCACTTAACTCTGAGCATCCAATCTTGATTGGTTGCTCTTTCTATGAGCAATTTAACAGCCATGGCCAAAACTTCTGGTTCATCAATCCAAATAGTATCCACTTCAACAGAACTAAATTTCAGGCTCTCGGGATTGGGGGACTGCATAATTTTCTCTAAATCTGGCAAAGTAAGAGGCTGAATCCTGAAATTCATTGGAATATACAAAGTCAGTATTAGAATGAACTTTCATTTTATATTTCAAAGAACCAGGAAAATAACTTTACAGATAACGTATCAAAGAGGTATTGGGGAAAAGATGAGTTCCCTCTGAAGAGGACAATTAAAACATATACCAAATGAATCCTACGTAATAAAGAGGTAATATGCAAATTGACCCTCATGCCCTTGCATATGGTAAAAGATGGCTGCCACAAGATGGCTGACAGGAGAGGGTAGTTGTGGGCAATCAGGCCAGGAGGGGAGGGCAGTTATGGGTAATCAGGCCAGCAGGGGAGGGCAGATAGGAGTGACAAGGCTGGCAGGGGAGGGTAGTTGGGGAGGACCGGGCTGACAGGAAAGGGCAGTTGGGTATCAACCAGGCTGGCAGGGGAGTGGTTAGGGGGTGATCAGGCTATTAGGCAGAAGCAGTTAGGGCAGGCAGGCAGGCAGTTGGGAGCCAGCAGTCCAGGATTGTGAGAGGGATCCCAGATAGAGAAGGTGCAGGCTGGACTGAGGGACTATTCTCCCCCCCCCACCCCACATGAATTTCATGCACCAGGCCTCTAGTTGCAAATAGAGAGCAATATCACAATGAACCTCTGACAGCTGGTAATAAATGGCCACACAATATTCTGGTCTAATATGTTGGGTGACAAACATTACATAAAAAACAACACAGTGAAGATGCCAGAGACACATGGGCTCAAGGCTCTGCTAACCTTGACCAGCTGCTCGTTTTCAGACTCATCCTGTTGAGGCAATATGCTAAGATCTGTCCATCGCTTCGTACGATAGAGAGGTGAGAATCTTCCATAGCAAAGATAGCTGAGGGCAGAGAATCTGGCCATAGCCCCACAGCAAGAATGGAGTTACCCCAGGTTTCATGTGCTCGCAGAGAAGACATATGTTTCTCCAGTAAAGCTTGCACGAGCTGGTAGGAGATAAAAATGTATGGTGTATAGGCACCAACATAAATGTTCTATCAAAAATGTACATTATAAACTAACTGCTACATTTTCTGATGATAAATTTCAAGCATGTAATATTCACATTTAACCTACTCTCCAGAAAAGTACCTGGATACCAGATTTCTACTAGAGTATTCCAATGGTCATTAAATTTATCATCAACAAAGAAGAATTTTCTTGCATTAAATAATATGGAGTGCTATAATTTAGAAAGCAGTGTGAAACACTTCATGGTACCTTCTGGTTTGCTGGTGAGTGCTGGGAGTGGACATATGCTTCCCAGCATGCTTCAGAAAAAGCTCTGTCTAAACTCAGCCCTCGCTGCAGGTACTGCACAATGAGTAAGGCTGTCTGAATCAGAGTTGAAATAGATGATGTTGGAGAACCTACAAAGAAAAAATATCGTCATCTATGACCAATAAATTCTATGAAATCTCCAATGAAAATGGAGAAAGTCCCCCTTCACATCAAACTTCGTTTCACTCAAACTACCCAGATACTTATTTTAGAAAGACTTCTAAGTGAACTTTAGAATCTCACTAGACAACATGGACTTGAGGCAACATTCTATAAGTGTGCAAAGCTGGTCATATATAACCTTCCTATTAAGTGGACACACAATAAAGGGGACAAAATGACCATGGCCTCAAAAAGGACTATGTGCTCTGAAACCCAACAGACCTACTTTCAAATTCCAGCTGTCATTACTATTTGGCTTTGATGAGTTATTCAACTTCTCTTAGCCTTATCTGTAAAATAGAAAGATATGCCTTGCAGAACTAATGTGAATACTAAAAAAGCAACGGACATTAAACCTAACACTTATAGTTATTCAATAAATAGGTTTCCATTTATTTATTATTACTACTGTTACTGCTTTTTCTCATACACTTTTTTTTAATTTTTTTTATTTTTATTTTATTGATTTTGTACAGAGAGGAAGGGAGAGAGATAGAAAGCTAGAAACATCGATGAGAGAGAGTCATCAATCAGCTGCCTCTTGCACACCCCCTACTGGGGATATGCCCGCAACTAAGGTACATGCCCTTGACTGGAATCGAACCCGGGTCCCTTCAGTCCCCAAGCCGACGCTCTATCCATTGAGCCAAACCGGTCCTGGCTGCTTTTTCTCATACACTTGGAAGAAGTAACATATATCTATTTAAATAATTCAAATGATGATCCTGAAGAAATGAGGGACAAACTTTACCATCTCAGTGCCTGAAGCAGTATTCGTCAACATGTGGGCCTCTAATTGCATGCATCAGAATTCCTGGGAAACTTCTTTAAACTAATTCCTGTGCTTCCCCCAGACCTGCTGTTAGAGGGAAGGAGATTCCTGGAACATCTACATTTTTGTGGTAATGTCTATGTACACTAAAGAACTCCTGAACCAGCAACAGAGTATCACGTGAATTTCCACAGGAATAAAATCCTGCAGAGGCATAGAAGTCAAGCACCTTACCTACAAAAGCACTTTGGGTCTCTCTGTGTAGAGCCAAGAGGGTGTCACACACACTGTCCCCCACCAACCCAAGACTGTGCAGCAGAACTTTCAGGTCCAGGTCATCTGGGATACTCCCATCTCCTTCCCCTGAAATGTAGATTTCAAGCCCACGATTCCTCATAGCACGGGATATTTCTCCATGAACAGGATCCATTGAGAGAAAAAGTCTAGTAACACAGCAATTCAAAGGGGAAAAAATTTAAATCCCAGTGCAACCGATAGTGCAGCTCAGCAAAAATGGGTGCGGGCAAATCTTATTTGGCTCATCTTCAGAGAGCTTATCAAGGGAGAAACCATTAATGAAAAGCTTGCTATTGTCACATGTATTCTATGTTCTAGTTCTAAAATACATCAAAATACAACAAATCCATTCTCTAAACCTTATTTTCCTTAGGAACTAAATATTGGACCTTTAATGATATCTGAGAACTTTAAGATTCTTAACTTTCAGACATTCCCCAATCAGGCAGTAGTAATTTATTATTCTAACTTTCCTACAGAGCACAGAAAAAGTAGCACAATGTTTTCCTGAAACAATTAGCATCACATGTTCAATGTCCAGTTAACACCTCCATCTAGCAATCTGACATCTTCAACACTAAACAGCGATTCCCTGCTGACCCTCCCACACCAATCCTGCTCCTTTGCCATTCTTCCCTTTCTCAGTGAACACCACCTCCATTTACCCCATTACTCAAGCCAAAAACTTAGATAGCAGCCTTACTTTCTCAACCCACAAATCCATTGACATGTCCTATTCACCTGACCACCTCATATAAACTATCATTATCTCTTCTCTGAACTACTGCAAAACACTTGTAACTGATCTCCCTGCTTCTACCCTTCACCACCAACCACTGCAGGACTTGTGTCTCTCATTTACCACTGTATCCCCAGAGCCTGGCAAAGAGCTCAATAAATATTTTGTTAACTGAATCAATGAGTAGGTGAACATATTTAAAACAGTGTTGTCAACATAATATCTAAAAAGGGCCTATTGAATGTCAGCCTCTGCTATCAAGGCTGTCAGATTCTGAGGCAGAAACTTAAGAGGCACACATACCTGAAATTGGGATGTGGTGTTATCGTGGGAGTGGATCCATCTATCATTCCTCTCTCACTAACAGTGAGGACACCTCCAGGTTCAAGCAAAGCATTCAAACGATCCAGCACGGACGGGCTGCACAGAAAGAGGTAAAATGAGGGACAGACTGACATGCTGCCTTCACTCTGCTTTCCTTGCACAAGCCTCCCACTGCTCCTGACCCATGTCTTCTCTCAACACAAATTAATCCCCTACACAGAACCGTGATCTCTTTCCCATCAATTCCCACTTTCACTCTCAAGGCACACAGTCTAGAGATCCATACACAATAAAATCACAAAATAGTTGCTGATTCCCTGAACTGTAACTTTTTTCTCTTTTCCCCTCCCCTCTGCTACACTTCCCAACATTATCACTTAGAGGTAACTCAGAAATCTGCACTAAAAAATGACCATTATCTGGTCTTTCTGGTATTAAATAAAAAGGACTCAAAAAACAACTGGAAATGTAATCCAATTCTGTTAGCCTTCAGTTCAGCTCCCTAAAATCTTGCAACTGTCTATTACCAACTAGTAAGTTCACCACAGGGAAAAATATACAGAACATGGCGGAGGATGCATTTTTTACTTCAGAAACAGTATATTAAAAACACCAAAACTTCTACCTCAGTATCTACTCTGACAAGCATATTCCAAATTTCAGTCAGGCTCACTCATGATTGGGCAGAAGGTTCTTACTTGCAAAAGTTAACGTTATCCATCAAAAGCCAATCTCCAGACTTCAGGGCCCGAACCAACATGCTGTCGACCCACTCAAAAGTGCCATGGCTGCCGCCACTGGATGACTGCACCAGCTTTGCCCCAAAGCTTCGGAACTCTTCTACAAGTCTGGCAAACTCTGAAATGTCATAGCCACATCACTTAATTTCAAACAAGGACAATAAAAACAACAAAAACTAAGTTTATTAAAAGAAAGTCAAAAACTCTTTCCCGGATTTTTTTAAAGTTTCATGGTAGAGTCAAAAGGATAAAAATTGTGGTTGTGTTTAAAGAGAATAGATAAGAAAAAAGGTATGGGGGCAGAAAATACTTCTTAATAGCATTCTGAATTAATAGATAACGGTGAGTTGAGGGTGATAATCTTTATGTGCTATAATTTCTCAAATGGCAGAAGGAAAATAAATTATTGCACTTATTACAAACAAGTCTTTTTATTGCTCTTTTTTTTTTAAAGACATTATTATATGACCCCTTTTCATAAAACAAGTTAATATATATTAAATTCCTGCGTCTAACCATAGAAAATAATAAGATTTAGACCTAACCTCCACTGTCAACAATCAGAAAACTAGGCAAAATATATGAAACAACTGATTTCAGACACTGGACGACAGACAGCATAGGGCCATGATACCTAAGGAATGCTCCACCACAAAATTAGAGAAGTTAAATTTCCATGTTGAGGAAATGTCTTCCACTTTCTATACACAACTACTAAACATATCCTAACTATCAATTTAGAGTATTATTCTTCAGTTTAAAGTGCCAAATCCTGAGAAACTATTACATCTTTTTAAAAGGCCAATAAACAATAAGACTAGCTTATAGCTTTGTCATTATATACACAAAATAAACCATCAACTCAGAAGCCAATTTCTTCCTTGATTGCCCTGTTTTGCATCACCAATTGTGGATCCTGCACATTAGCTTCACTTTACTTTCTAAGACAAACAGTTTCAAAATTTGGGTGCTAATAATCACTAAAAAAATTAAGAGCACCACATTTACAAAATATTACCTGTACATGCACACTAAATGGACAATGGCAAATGTCTGATACACGCATCCAAACACACACACCTGCCTTGGAGTATGAGTTGATCTTATTGTTGAGTCTCTGCATAAGCAATAATACTGCTTCCAGCTTGTTGACTATCTCCATCGTGACACCTTTACCATTTTCTCCAAGACTCTTGGGCTTATATGTCAGAAGGAAATGACTCCAGGCCCGCAGGACTACTTCTGCATCATCGGCACTGACAAGGAGGCTGTCTCGTAACAGCGCTCTCACAGTGCTCTCCGCCTTCTCTAGCAGCTGCCTCCAAGGCCGTATAAGGTCAACCTGAAATATCCAAAGAATGTGAATTCATGACAGCCATTTGCCAGAGCCAAAGACTGCTGCTGCTTATAGTCACCACCAACCCAGAAGACGACTACCAATCAGACCACTTACCTGCTCAAATCCGCCCAGAAGCTCTGTCGTATCCATTGCACTGTTCATAGCCATGATCTTTAACGTGTGACCAGTAAGTTGTGCCAGAAGCTGGACCAGACTGGTCTTGCCCACAGAGGCTGGACCCACAAGGATGACCATCCAGCTCATCTGCACACACTTCATAATCGACTCTAGAGACTGTAACGACTGGTGCAACAGCAACAGGGGATGGCGGGATGGGGGAGTAACATAGTTGCCACGGCAAAGGACTGAGTAGCCCAGCTGAAAAAGACATGCCAGTGAAAGTTAGCAAGTGTGCCTGGTAGTGAGACCAGAAGAAATCAGAAAGTTGTAAAAGAATAGAGGATTTTGCTGGTCGTCTCACCTGAACATTATAGGGAGTGATGTGAAATAGTCTGGTTCCCATGTATGGGTTTGAATCAGTACTAAACACATCCTTAAATATAGCAATGACCTAAAGGAAGAAGATGGTACAATCAAAACACAAGTCACTCTATCAAATTCTGAGTCACACCTTCTAGAATAAATACTTCTAGAAAACATGCACAGCAATTTGAGTCACAATATTGTGAGAAAACTGCTCACAATATCATTATCCTTTAGGATTTTCTCATTACATTTATTTAATTCATCAGAATGAAAGCAAATTGAACCTCAAAAAAAGAACAGTCATATAATCTCAAACTATTTGAGAATGTATGGATCTGCCGAAACCGGTTTGGCTTAATGGATAGTGCGTCAGCCTGCGGACAGAAAGGTCTGCAGGCTGACCTTTCTAAAAATCTTCCTCTCTGTAAAAAAAATCAATAAAATATATATTTAAAAAAATAATAATAAATAAAAACTAAAAACAAAAAAAAAACTTTAAAAAAAAAAAAAGACCCCCCGCCCTACTGGGTCTCTTTGTGTTGCTTCTTCCTTTGTGCCTGGAAAGAGGATAGAAACCTATTCGTTAGCACTGGAGGTAATGCTGTTGTAGGAAAGTTTACATCATGAGGATTCAGCTGGGTGAGCACAATGTGTACTCCAACGCAAACTACTCTAATAGTGTGAGACCCTGAGGTAGGTAAATGTATAGGGTCTTCCCTTCATTTCCCAATTTCCAAGCAGCTTCAATGAATTTAATATTTGTGAGTATGCCCCCTTTCCCTTATGAAGAAATCAACTTCCAGATGGTGAGAAACACAAAGCAAAAATGTGATACCTTTTCTTTGTCTTCCCTGGTTCTCATTCTTTCACCGTAGACCAAAAACACATGCTGACCAGGATCATAACAGCCAGGGGACTGGTCAACCAGCATCAATTGACACCAGCGGAAAAGGTCCCGGAGGTTGAATTCCCATGGTCCTCCTTTTTGCCCCCATTTCTTCTCAACAGTCACTTCATGATCAATCTAAAAGAAAACACCTTTATTAAAAAACATGTCCTATTGCTAAGCACTGCATTAAATACTATTATCATAGTATAAATGCATAAACAGAAATTAATAGTCTTGATTTAGATATCTCCTTTTTCAATCTAAACTTCTAAATACAAGGAATACCCTGTAAGCATTAACACTGATACATAGAGCAAAACTGAATTACTGTAATCCTCAAATTAGTAGCTTCCCTTCCACTATACACTTGTGATTTACATTAGAAAGACTGGTAATTTGGTAGTGTCCCAGTTCAATTACAGCCAGGAAAATAAAGAACAATTAATACAAATAGGTATTTACCTGATTGTTGAAAGCAACCATTTTCTTAACAATATTTCTGTCAATGGCTGGAAACAGAGTACTAGCAATGAACTCCATGTCAATTACTGTAAGGGGATCCACAAAGACCTATAAAATCCAAAAATAACATGGAGAGTTGCTATAGTTTCTCTTTACACAGCCATCAGCTATACACACACACACACACACACACACACACACACACACACTTTTTTCTGTTCTAGAATCTTTTTTCATTTTTAAGATACCAGAATTATATAAAACCTTTGAAATATAAAGCAACTGGGTTTTCTTTCTTGTTAGCTCCACTCAACTAAATTAAAGAAAAAAATATATATGCAATTCATTTTTAAATGTTTTTTAAAATTTCCTACCAAATTTCTGAATGGTAGGCATATGAACATATATATCTGTTCAACATTTCAATATCTGAAATTTGTCATAATAAACTATTCTCAGAAGATACTTAGGAAGTTCTTAATTATTAGGGAACAGGGGCATTAAAAAAGCTAACATCTATAGCCATTTCCAAACCACTAGATTAACCAAACTTTAAAAAATAGATGTTCAAATAATTGAGCATATGCTCTCCTATTTCACTCTCTACTATCTCTGCCAATGTGAATAAAGGCAGTAAGAAAATATACCAAATATGAATTATAGTTGACTTTGGTATGGAGAATACTGGATTTCCAATTCTTCCTGATAGTTTTCTGTTCTAACTTTTCTTTAATTAAAATGAATTGTTTTCATTATAAAATTATTTTAATGTCTTAATAGATCATGTAGACACTTGAAAAGGTTTATGCTGGTCTTAATCCTGAGAATAGCAATAGAATCCTACAGAAAATGGTGACCTTACTCTCCTCCAACTGAAAATAAACCCAGTCCTCTGGGACATAAAACAAGGGATTCACACCAGGAGAGAAATGATAATGAAAAGCAGTTGCATTGATATTCATCATATATAGTCATGGAATTGAAAAACAAATCTTTAAACTAATTCTCCCTCATTCTCAGAGAGGGCATCCTACTAGCTATATATCAGCAAGCAATCTTATCACTCCCAACACTCCACCTGTGGTCTCTGTCATAACAGGATATCTCACCTGAGTGAATCTGTTAAGGAAAGACCTGGGCAAGCCTTTTCTCCCGCCTCCTTGTCTAAAGGGATTTTGACAACCAAAAATCTTTGTCTTTTCATGCTGTACTTGAAAGCTCATTCCTAACTCAGGAATATAGATTTCTCCTCGGTGGTCAAAACAAGCATTGAGTCCTTCCAACACAGACTGAGAAGCCAGGTTGAGCTATTTGGAGAAGAAAATAAACACATGTGTTATAATGCAATGTAACTATAACGAAAAGCAAAGGAATAACATGTACAAAAGATAGTGTTATCTTCAGTAGGAGGAAGCTAAAACAATGTTGGAAACATCCCATATCTTAAATTGAGAGATGGATTAATGTATATTCATCCTACAGTCTTTCATATACATGTTAGATTTGATATATAAAAATTACCAATAGAGGTAAACTAAATAAATATTAAGGCTGAACTTTTTAAAAAAGTTAAATCTTCTCTAAAATTAAACTATTATGTGTGCTTATATTGACCTACTTCATAAATCATAGCTTACAAGAAAAACTTGTCAATACATAGATATATCTATTTTGTACTCTGGGATTTTAAAAGATGAGGCAAGATAGCTCTCTAGATATTAAGTAAATATCTTTCCAAGCTCAAATATTGAATAATCTCCAAATGGGACTAAAAATCATGTTATAAGTTACATAAAATGGATCTACATAGCTTTCACCAACAGTTATATGAACAAGAATGAATACAAGGTTTCTGTGCCACAAATGAACAGAGCTGAATGGAGATCTTCAGAGGCTGAGTTCAGAGCTCAGCGATGGGAAGAATGGGTGGTTTTAGGTATCATGGAAAATTTCAATTGGGAAAATGTGAATTAATAAAATTCAAACGGGCAAACACAAACTACATTACAATTTCAAATGTCATATTTACACAAACACAAACTGCTCTGTATATTTCCATCTGGTGAGGTTCTAGAAGATGTGATGTGTGACCAGAAGTCCAGTGCCTTGTGGTCCCTACATGCATTTTCATCCAATTGGAGTATGGTCAGAAGTTTTAAGCTTTAAAACTAGACATTCTTTTTTCCAGGATAATGAATATTCTATCACACATCCTTCTCAAAATTATGGTGGGGAAAAAAGGTAACTTTCTCCTTAGTATTTCTAGTAAGTAGGAAGCAGCTCTGCAGAAAAGGAATGCTCAGAACATCCTTTGACCAAAGGGGTCCAAACTCAGGGAACCAGCTGGGACCTATGTCAGGTTTCATCTGTAGCAATTTCATCACTCTAATAATTTAAGCTCCACACCCACTTCTTAGCCTTTTCCTAAATTAGCATGAACACGGAACATCCAAAACTGACTTGACTCCTTTAGACACAACCTCCAATTTTTTATTATTGTATATCACTTTTCCTTTCTCAAGTAGGCTGCCAGTGACTGAGATTCAGCAGTTAGCACAGGTCTCATAACATACTCTGTTCTTCTGGTCATTAGTTTATCCAATATACACATATAACACTGATTATCTTCTCACCATTTTTGCACGTGTGTTAAGATAACTTTCCAGCCGAAACTGGTTTGGCTCAGTGGATAGAGCGTCGGCCTGCGGACTGAAAGGTCCCAGGTTCGATTCTAGTCAAGGGCATGTACCTTCGTTGCGGGCACATCCCCAGTAAGGGATGTGCAAGAGGCAGCTGATCGATGATTCTCTCTCATGGATGTTTCTAGCTCTCTGTCCCTCTCTCTTCCTCTCTGTAAAAAATCAATAAAATGTATTTAAAAAAAAAAAAAAAAAAAAAAAAAAGATAACTTTCCACAGGCTCTATTGCACTGATGAAACATGAGGTGGTTGACACTGTTTGTAAAATACCCATAAAACACAAACAGCAAGCCTGCCAGAGACTACAAGAATACACTAGTGAAGAGATAGTTATTCTCTGGAGATTACCTTACAAAGGCAGGATAGCTTGTAGATTATAAATAGAGAGGGGCTTCTATTGGTGCTTTCTGACAAGTGATAATTTTTATTCTTAAAAGAAATCATGGCAGATTCTTTTCATTAGAGAATCTGTCTTTACTAGGCAACAGCTTGATTATCCAAAGAAATACTCTAGAGCTATGAAAAGTCTGACTGCTCTTCACACGGGCCAGCCCATCCTTGGCATGGTGTACAATCCCCTCACCTCATCCAACACAACCCAGCGGCCGGCCTTCAGAGCTGCCAGCAAGGGGCCATCACGCCAGGCAAACTCTCCTCCCTTGCCACCTTCAACAGGTAAATCTGCTCCAAACAGGTCTGTTATGTCCTTTTGGAAGGGAAGAAGTGAGAAAAAGCCAAAATTACATAAAAGTTAGATCCCAAGACTTAAAATCTAAAATAATACCTGTGCTTTATGCCATTTTCCTTCTTACTTCCAAGTCAGAATCAATAATTTGCAGCATTCTTGACCAGGATCCCAGACATGCCCCAAGAACCTTCTCATCACAATGCTCCACGTATCCATCAATTGACCCTGGAGCTCCACATCAGTAGTTCCAAACTGTGGCTATACGTGGAAACTAATTTGCGAGCTTTAAAAAACACACACCAAAAAAATAGAATAAATCCCTACCAGGTTTGGCTCGGTGGACTGAGCCTCAACCTGTGGGCTAAAGGGTCCCAGGTTTGATTCTTGGGCACATGCTCAGGTTGTGGGCTCAATCCCCAGTAGGGGGTGTAGGAGGCAGCCTATCAATGGTCTCTCATTGATGTTTGTATATCTCTCTCCCTTCCTCTCTAAAATCAATAATATTTTTAAAAAATAAATAAAAATAAAAACTAACAACAATGCCCAGGCCCTGCTCTCAGACCCCATTCCAAGAGATTCTCATTTGTCATCTCTGTTCCACATTTTCATAAGGTGGTTTAAAGGTCATTTTATTTCTACTAATTTTTATTTTTGAAAGGACAAAAATAAAAAGAGGCTATCTATATATATAAAAGTCTAAGGGACTGACCGACTGGCTGACAGCTATGATGCACAATGACCGCCAGGGGGCAGATGCTCAATGCACAGGCATGGAAACATAGAACAGACTGATGAATCTCAGAAGAAGGGGGGGTCAGAGGGAGGGCGGGAGGAGATTAACCAAAGGTCTTATATGCATACTAGAGGCTGGTGCAAAGATTTGTGCACCGGTGAGGTCCCTTAGCCTAGTCTGTGTGGATCGGGCCGAAACCAGCTCTCCAACATTCCCTGAGAGGTCCCGGATTGTAAGAGGGGGTAGGCCAGGGCAAGGGACCCCACTGGTGCATGAATCTGTGCACTGGGCCTCTAGAGTATTACAATAAATACTGAAGTAATTCTCAAAAGAGAGAATAAAGCATCCAGAGAGAATATTATTACATATGTCAGCTATTAATGAATTCAAAAGAATTATTTTGGAAGGTCATGTTGCTGTTGTCTTTCATAGCTATGAAGTATTTGGGATACTGAAAATGTCATCACTCTCACTGATTAGATTATAAACATATACAAACATTATTCCCTATACTTATCCTCTCATCAGCTGTAGGACTACTGAGCTTACCGTCTGCTCTGACAAGTTGATTCGAACAAGGGTGTTGCCCGAAGCCTTTGCTAGTGCTCCCACCAAACTTGTCTTGCCCACACCAGGGGAGCCCTCCAGGAGAATGGGTTTGTTCAGTTTTGTAGCTCTTAAGAGCCTCTGGGCATTCATAGCTGTCGTTCCTGCACTGAGTGCATAGTCCGAAATGTTATTCCTTTGTAGGACAGGTCCTTAAGAAGAGAGGGGAAAAAAAATCCACATATTTAAGCTGGACATCATCAGATCATATACACATGCCAACCCTGGATTGAGAATCCACCCAGTGGACTGTCAGTGAGATACCATCTGTGGTGAAAATGCTTAGCCCCATTTCAACATTTCCCCACTTTGGGGCCCATAAAATGCTTTAGCAGAATAGCCAGAAGCATACTTTCTTTATTTGTGTCTACTGTACAAATCTCTCCATCTCTTCTACCTATACATATACCTACTACATAGGAAAGCTAGACATATCACAATATATATTTAGAAATACTGCAGGTATTTGTATAATTTAACTTACAATTAGATATTTTTCTTAAAGTCAAGTGTAAACTAGGCATATAACATAGATGGTCCCATATTAAATAGTTTCATTCAAGGTTTTTAGGCTACCAAGACAATTCAGAATGCATTACCTGAATTTTCCATTTAATCAATCATTTGTCCATCCATTCACTCAATCAGCAGACATTTCCTGAATGCCTATGACTGACTGCTAGGCTGCATATCAGATGCCAGGGACAAATGAGTAATACAAACCTGCCCTCAAGGAATCACAAAAAATATTTTTTTGAAAGGTGATGAGGCTATTGTTAGTATACGTAAGCTCTTGTTTTCAGCAATAATAATAAACAAATGCAATTTTGCAAGACAATTTATTCATAATTAAAACTATATATTCCCCTACTTTTACATGCCAACTCACGTTTTTAACTACTCACAATTAAGATTATGCCAAGTCAGATTCTACCAGCTAATTTAATTCAGATAACTAGTTAAAAATCATTATTAGTATGATACAATAAAACGAAAAGTCATAGTAAAAGTCAAGTACCTATGACATATAAAAGAATCTTCATTTATTTATAATCCTCCTTACCTCTTGGTATAAAAAATGGATGAATTCCCCAACGATTATCTATCCCAGTGAATTCCTTGGCCTTGAGTCTGTCATAAATCTTTAATTCATTTTTCTGACATTCTGTAAGTCGGACTATCTTGGAAAGTTTCTTGATTAGGAATTTCAGACATTCCTTGCGAGCCAAGAGGGCCGTACCAAACCCAGAGGAAGTGACTCCTAAAAGATAGATTAGTCCATCAAACAACAGCACAACACCAAGCTTTACATCCATTCACCAGGAGCTCTAGGGAAGTTTCCTGGGGAAATGAAGCCCTAGCTGAATTACAGCAGAAATAAATCTGCTAACCTCTCCCCACAATTTTATCAATTCAGCAGTAACTTGTTCAGTAAAGGGCTCCCAGCACCCATGATAGATCAGCATGGAGAAAAGAGTACTGGTCATTTTGGTTTATATTTCTAATCTTCATGGCTGAGAAGCAGAACCTAAATACTGAATTTAATTAAATTACAGTAAACTTAAACTAAGGATTCAGGCCCATTAGCTATAAATAACCATTCATGTTAAGAATTATCCAGCCCTGCCGAAACCGGTTTGGCTCAGTGGTAGAGCATCGGTCTGCGGACTGAAAGGTCCCGGGTTCGATTCCAGTCAAGGGCATGTATCTTGGTTGCGGGCACATCCCCGGTAGGGGGTGTGCAAGAGGCAGCTGGTCGATGTTTCTCTCGCATCGACGTTTCTAATTCTCTATCTCTCTCCCTTCCTCTCTGTAAAATATCAATAAAATATATTTAAAAAAAAAAAAAAAATTATCCAGCCCTGACAGGTTTGGCTCAGTGGATAGAGCATCAGCCTGCAGACTCAAGGGTCGCAGGTTAGATTCCAGTCATGGTCATGTATTTTGCTTGCAGGCACATCCCCAGTAGGGGGTGTGCAGGAGGCAGCTGATCATTGTTTCTCCCTATTGATGTTTCTAACTCTCTCCCTCTCCATCCTTCTCTGTAAAAAACTAATAAAATATATTTTTTTAAAAATAATTATCCATCTCTCTCTAAAAAAATAATTATCCATTCCTTTAGGAGCAAGGACATTTCTAACAGGCTTCTTTCTACTCAGAATCACCACTTCATGTTTACTAAGTCCTTTGCCTATAAGTAATGAGAAGTGTTGGGCATATCTTTTATACTAACCACATCTCAAAAAGAGTATAAAGAAAAGGAAAGCCATTTTGTGCCTTGAAGTAAGGCACACAAAAAAACCATTTTGTTAGAGTAAGTGATTCTATAAAGTATCTGGCTAAGAGGTCTGGATATGCTCTATTTCATCCTCTGCTTTACCCTAAACCCTTGTTCCCACCAGCTAATAGATAACATACCTGAACCTATTCCATCTATGTACACCAGGCATGCAGCATGGACAAAAGCTGTCACAGTGGAGATGGTCTCTGGCTTTTTCAAAGCAGCTTCCTCCCCCATTGTGTTCATGAAGTTAACCCAGGACAGGATATCTCTGATACTGACCACACACCTTCGGCCAAATTCCTGGTGGGTCAGCCAGTCAATGAAATCCAGCATCACCTCAGCTATGTCAGCCCCTAAAACACAAGGAAGCAAGTGTTTACCACTTAGGAATACCCAAAACAGGGGGCTTGTAATCTGGGGCCTACAGTTGGCCTAAAGCTTCTCTATGATCCGTGAGATTATCTGCAAATCTCTGTGAATTCACATTAATGTTTCTTCTGGGGCAGGGGGAGGGAGGATGATTTCATAGCTCTTATTGCATTCCAATAATTTTACATAAGTATTATGGCCTAAAAATTTACACTCTGAAAACTCTAAGAAATATTCATTTGGTTCATATTCAGACATAATTTTTGAAGTTAAGACACAAAGATCTTAGGAAAATATACAAATTTTACTATATTATAAAATGATTCACTAGAATGGGAAATGCCACATTTTTAGTGCCATTTAGTTCAGGCTTTTTGTTTTCTTAAATCAATGCAACAATCAGAATTCAGTAAATTACAGAATTCATATTTTACTTCATTATTTATTTAAATGACTATTCTACTTATAATTTCATGCTATAAAATATTTCAAAATGAACTACTTAAATAGTTATATATAAATGAAAGGCCAATTAAATTTAGTAGAACACTCTATATGTTATGAAGTAAATAGTAAACATCTTTCTAAAAAGTATAAATGCCAAAGAATATTTTCTAAAAAAAAAAAATGAGGAGCAGGACTCCACACTGCTATAATATAAACAAACCTTCAGCAAGATCTTTCAAGACTACACTAAGAATTGGGTTAGAAGAAAACTAATTGGTCAGAAAAAAAAAAAAAATTAGAAAAGAACCCATGAATTTTTAAAAGGAACTTAAAAATTCTAGGAACAATGATAGAAGAAATTAAACGCTGTTTGACTTGGATCCACATTTCAGAGTAAAATAAATCTGAGGTACATCAAGGACTTAATAAAAAATGGGTAACTTTATTCATTGTTAGTAAAGAATTAAATCATGACTATTAAACAGAAAGTGATGAAGTAAATGGGTTCATGTATTTTTTTTACAATAAATATTAAGACCTAAAAATATAGAAACCTACGTGTAAGTATAATATAATAGATTTTATTGTATTTTAAAAAATAAAAACTTCATGTTGAAAGTACTATGCCAAGCAGGCTAAGCTGCTGACAAGCATTGGGAATGAGAACGTCATTCTGAAGAAGCTGGACATAGCCAATGGGACCTCTGAAGAACTTTATTTCTACTTTTAGAAATAACAACTCAAGGATACATGTATATACGTATATATACATGTATATAGACAGATGTTAATTATACTTACTATGGTGATCATGTCACAATATATACAAATATCAAATTATTATGTTGTACCCTTGAAACTAATATGTTTCAATAATATGTATGTCAATCATAATCTAATAAAATTTTTTATTGTATTTATCAAATCAATCTAAAATTAAAAAAAGAACCCCATGTTCTTCCTCCCTGGCTGCTTGGAGATTGGCCACCATCAGGAACCACACAGGAACTATCTGGATCAGGAAGTTCCTGACCAACAGACTATTTCAGTGGAAACAGTCATTGACGTCCTTCACCTTTGGAAAGCAATAATAGGTAACACAGAAATTCAGGAAAAATTGGCCAAAATTGTATGAGACTAAACCAGATGTCATCTTTGTGTTTGAATTCAGAACATATTTTGATGGTGGCAAACCCATACTGGCTTTTGCATGATTTGTGATTCCTTGGATTACGCAAAGAAAAATGAACCCAAACATACAAGACCATGGCCCTGTATAAAAGAAAATCTCAAAAAGCAAAGAAAGGAACACAGAAGAGAATAAAGAAAGTCAGGGGAACACAAGGCCAGTGTTGGTGCTGGCAAAAGAAGAAGTAAAGGTTCTTCAGTGACATTATCTGTGGTGATTGTGTAGATTTTTCATTAGAAGATTAATAAATTAAGAACTCTAAAAAAAGAAAAAGAAAAAAAAGGGAACCACATAAATGTTTTGACTCTTACTGGATATCTTAAAAATTGTTAAATCTAGTATTACACATGTGGGAGTTTTTTTTAATACTATTTTATTTTCCTTATCTTTTAAATTGTTCATAAAATATTTTTTAATAAAGTGAAATAGTAAATTAGCTGGTGACAACTAAAGAAATGCAGTTTAAATTCCATTAACATTTTCTACTCTTAGCAAGTATTTTCCAGTGGTTAGAGCATCAGACCACACACCAGAGGGGCATGTACCTTGGTTGCAGGTTTGATCCCGGATCCAGTTGGGGCATGCACAGGAGGCAACCAATCCATGTGTCTCTCTCACATGGAAATTTATCTCTCTCTCTCCCTCCCTCTCTATCTCCCTCTCTCTCTCTTTCTCTCTCATTCTCCCCCTTCCCTTCCACTCTATCTAAATATCTATGAAAAAAAAAATAATCCTTGGGTGAAGATTAATAACAACAACAAAAATAAAATTCTATGAACATTTTCTAAAAGTGAAAATGACTGAAATTTAAGTAAAATTTTTCTCATCTTTATGTAACAGGTGAAGCACTAAGGAAGCTAGAACTTAACAACCCTGGTGAAGGAGGCAATGGGAAAAAGGGACACTCTAATAGATGGTAATAGGTTAGTATCATTTCGTTAGGACTATTTTGTTCCTATTTCTCTAACCCCCCTTCTCCTAATACACCATATATACACACTGCTAATGTTCTATACCACACCTCTTACTTTCAACACACAGCCACTCCATCCCATTACCTCCATCACCTAAAAACTCTCACCTTTATGATCTGTTCTGCCCAGAGACAATCCTGGACGAAGATTACTGCTGATAATCTGTTTTAAATCTTCTCGGTTTGTGCTCTGAGGGCACCATATTTCTGTAAACCGGTTTCTTAAGGCAGGAGACAGCTGTAAGGAACACAAGCTGCATTGTGAATATAATACCTATGAGAAAACTAGAAAAAAATCCTTTAAAAAAATATTAGCTGTTGAAGAAAACCAAGATGGGGGCATAGGCAAACACCTAAATTGCTGCCTTGCACAACAATTTCAAAACTACAACTAAAAAGACAAAATGAACATCATCCAGAACCCAAGAAAGCTGGTTAAGTGGAAATTCTACAACTAAAAGGAAAGAGGAAAGCACATGGAGAATCAGAGGAGCTGGAAAAGGCTGAGGTACGGAAACACACGGGCTGGCGGCTGAGTGCCTGACTGGCTTTCCCTAGTGGGAAGGAGACAAAAGCTCCTGACTGGGCTGAACGCCAGTTCCAGGTGAGACTCTGGGAACCCAGGCTTATACGGGGAGAATCTGAACTGTCAGGCGGAAACTCAGGGGAGCCACAAAAGGCAGACATCTGGAGGCCCGCGGGCCAGAGCCAGCACAGAAGTTCTCCCATCATAGACACAGCTGATCCTCACAGCCAATTGGAGGTCAATTCCTCCTAGTGATACCAACAACATCAAGACTTAACTACAACAAGACAGTATACACAGTCTATAAAGGGTGCACCAAGAATGTCCACCTCAGGTAACCTTTTATTTCTAACATTCTGAAGTGACCCACAGAACCCTTTAGAGCAACAGTCACCAACCAGTGGACCACAGACCACTGCTGGTACATGAGGTCCAAAAGGTTGGCAACGGCTGCTTTGTCCTGGCTCTCTCCATGTCATCTCTTTAATCTCCACCACACTTTTCAACACATCACTTTCTTGATAGACATGGTACAGAGCTTCAAAGTCATGTAGAGTATAAGTGGTACAAGATATACATGAACATATATACATGTTCCACCTGTAAAACCAAAAGACTTTCGTGGCTGGCATTTCTATTTTGGGACTTTAAAATCACTCATAAAGCACACTCATGTTTAAGGAAGGAGACTGTAGAAGCAGAGTTGGAGATTAAATTTCAGTCTCAGCTTTTCTCATCCACAAAAGTAGAATAACTTTCTCAGAGTCTTGCGATAATTTATTACAGTAATATATAATATGTAAAGAACTGTGCAAATGACTGAAACAATTAAAATTCAGGCACATACGTAAAGTGAGATGTAAAAATAAATAAAATGTTTATTTGTAAAAATTATTTTTCAACCTTATAATGACTCCACAATCTCTTTCTTGATTTTCACCTTTTACCCAGTTCATACCCAACATAAATTCAAAAATGTATATTTACATACTGCATTTAAGGGTGCTAACAAGATATGGTTTAAAAAAAAAAAAGTATACTTTAGGAACATAGTTTTACCTCTTTTTTTCCAAAGTCGCCCCCAGGGTTCATGGTTGCTAAGATACGGAATTCTTTCCCAGCAGTCAACAGCTCTACCTCATTTTCTTTGTCCTCTAGGCTTCCTTTTTCTGCTAATACCAGGGACTTTTCTACTTCGAGGACACTAAAAGACAGAAAAAAAAAAAATGAAGAACATAAGATTTAAAAAGGCTTAGTATGTAGTCTTCCTATTTTGTGGTCTTCAATGCTCTTGAAAGAGGAAAAAGAGCCTGGCCAGGCTGGCTCAGTGGTTGAGCATTGACCTGTAAACCAGAAGGTTAAGGTTCAATTCCTGGTCAGGGCACATGCCCAGAATGCAGGCTTGATCACCAGTGTGGGATGTGCAGGAAGCAGCCAATTAATGATTCTCTCTCATCACTGATGTTTCTATCTCTCTCTCCCTCTCTGAAGCCCATTTCATATATATATATTTAAAAACTAACTTAAAAGAACAAAAGAAAAAAGCCGAAACCGGTTTGGCTCAGTGGTAGAGTTTCGGTCTGCAAACTGAAAGGTCCCGGGTTCGATTCCGGTCAAGGACATGTACCTTGGTTGCGGCACATCCCCAGTAGGGGGTGTGCAAGAGGCAGCTGGTCGATCTTTCTCTCTCATTTACGTTTCTAGCTTTCTATCTCTCTCCCTTCTTCTCTGTAAAAAATCAATAAAATATATTTTTTTAAAAAAGTTACCTCCTCTGCTGAGCTTTCACTTTAGTGACTGGTTTCCTACAACACATTTTAAAATGGCCTCATTATCCCAATAGCTGTGTGATGGAACAATAGTTCTGATTAAAAGAAAAAACAACAACTACTACTCCCTTTTCCACTTATGCTATTGCAGCATGTGTTTTAAAAATAAGAGTTTTGCATGCACATGTTCATGGCAGCATTATTCATAAAAGCAGAAACACTCCTAATACTATCAAGTGCTGAATGGATAAAAATATGGTACCTTCACACAATGAAACACTATTAGGAATAAAAAGAAACAAACTACTAACAACCAACATGGATGAAGCTCAAAATATCAATGCAAAATGAAAAGACCATTTACATGAAATGTCCTGAAAAGACAAATCTAGAGACAAAAAGTAGATTAGAAGCAGTAAGTGGCATCAAAGATAAACTTTAAATGGGCATGAGGGATCCTACTGAGATGATGGAATTATTGTAAAGCTGGATTGTGGTGGTTGCAAAACAGTAGATTTACTAAAATTCACTGAATTATACATTTCAAATTAGTGCATTTTATGATATGCAAATTATGTACCTATATCTATATATAAGAAAGGCTAATATGCAAAGTATCCTTTTGGGAGTTCGACCATTCACTAGGGCATGCGTTGACCATCAGGGGGCAGTGCAGAGCATGGCGGGAGACCAGGGGTGGTTACAGAGCATTGAGGGAGCGAGGGAAGGAGGAGTCAGGGAGGTGGGGAACTGCAAGGTGGCAGGACACTGGCAGGGAGGGAAGGAAGAGGTGGGGAACCTAATCGGTCCTGATTGCCAGCCACGCCTAGGTATCCTACCCATGCACGAATTTTGTGCACTGGGCCTCTAGTACCCAAATAAAGAGAGAAAAATAGGTATACATCAAGACTCATATTGGTCTGAGGTTTTGAGAGGCCTTATAGCCATAATATCTAGGGATACCGACTCTAGTTCTTTAAGAATTTTAACTTAGCCTCATTTGTTTAACCAGCCATCTCACAGTCCCATCTTTCTGATTATTGACAATAAAACAGAAAAAACAGTCCCCTTAAAAGAGAGCCCGAGTGCTAAAGCCAAAAAAAGTAATTCATTATTATATTCAAATACTTATTATGCACCTAAGAGGAACACTACTATGCACAAAAATTAGTATCTATAAAAAACAAGACCAGCAAAAACATCAAACACAGGGACAGTACCTGTTGAGTCTTTCCAGGACAGAATCATCAGCCAAGGAGATCTCATCCAAGAGGAAAAAGCTGCCCTCCTTCATGGCCAGAACCAGAGGCCCATCATGCCACTCAAAGAGCCGAGATGTGTCAATTTCTTCCTACAATTTGGAAAAGGAGGTAAAATTAAAGGGCGTGTGTCTACAAGACAACACACATATGGCTAGCTGGTGTCTGCTGCAATGAAGTGGCCATTCTGCCACTTCTCATGCAAAGGTCTGAGAACCAGGAACACAGGCTACACAACAGGATGCTCATGAGGTTCTTGCAGACAAGTGAAAATATGTAGATACATATCAAATCTGGAATCCAAAACTCTACCAGGCACAAAAGCCCACAGTTGACTAGGGCACAGTGCTAACTGAATCCTTTAAAGGAATGTACACATCATCATTTGCTATTGGACAAACCTTGTCCTTTGGCTTCTGTCTCACCGGCCGCAGTCCGCCCAGGAAGTCCGAAGTCTCCATGTGTAAGTGGCAGTTGACTGAGTATAATTTCTGATTTGCCAAGGCTGCAAACACCTGACAGATACTCGTTTTCCCACACCTGTTAGAGATAGACACCAGATTAACATAGAGCATGAATTCTAAATACACACCCACAAACACCAAGTCAGCAAAAGAGGGGTGAGAGCCTCACTGCAGCAGCAGACACTGCTGGCTAACACAGCATGTCTTACCCCTGGCGTGGGGCCCACTTCCCCCAAACACCAGCAGCCTCCCATATTCCTAATCCAGAATGGCACACACAGCATGAATTCCATCCTTTCCTACTCCTACCAGCCACCACCTAGGAATGGGAAAGAAAGCCAATCCTTACAGACTTTCAAGACACACTAGCTCATGTGCTCTTTTCCCATACAAATCTATAAAACGAATGTCACGATTTAAAATAATTAAATAGAAAAAAATTAGCTCTGACTGGGTAGCTCAGTTGGTTAGAGCATCATCCTGATACTCCAAGGTCTCCTGATACTCCAAGGGTTCAATTGTCCTGGTAAGGGCATATATAAGAATCAACCAGTGAAAGCTTAAGTGGAACAGCAAATCAATGTTTCTTCCCCTTCCTCTCTCTAAAACTAATCAATCAAAAGTATTTTAAAAGATCCATTCTTTTCCATCACAAAGGTCTAAGGTAGAGGAAAATAAACAATAGATCCCTTAGTGGTTCTTAAAAAAGAAAGGGAAGTCTTAGCTGGTGTGGCTCAGTGAAAGAGCGTCGGCATGCAGACTGAAGGATTCCAGGTTCGATTCTGGTCAAGGACGTGTACTTCAGTTGCATGCTCCTCCCCGGATAGAGCCCTAATCAGGGCTTGTGCAGGAGGCAACCAGTTGGTTGTTTCTCTTACATTGATATTACTCTCTGTCTTTTCACTTTCTCTAAAAATCAAAGGACAAATATCCTCAGATAAGGATTAAATAAAAATTTGAAAAAAGATAGCAAATCAATTAAGTGACAATTAGACATTTTCATTAAAAAAAAAAAAAAGGGAGGGGTGGGGGGGAGGAGAAAATAGGAAACAACAGAAAAAAAAAAAAAAAAGATTGCTTTCCTGATGAATTCTTCAGAGATAAGTCAAGTAATCCTATGGAATTGAACTGAACCCTCATAACCGGTATTGTCACAGAATTTTACCCAGTGTCTCCAACCAACAGTACTGGTTCACTGAATTCCAACGCTCTTCCCACCAACACGGCCAATCTCCGCATGCTCTCAGTCCACACGATATGGCTGAACTTGGACTCCAATGTAGATTTCTGAGTAGACAATTTACCTATCAAAAGTAGAATAAATATTTAGGTTCTAATATGAGTATAACTCAATTCATTCTCCTTTGGAAATTTCAGCCTACTCACTCAGCAATTTTAGGACATTTTCTTTGGAAAAGAGAGATTGAGGACACAATTTTTTCTTGAAATGTTTTTCAAGGACTTCTTGAATCACATCAACCTCCTCCTGTTTCCTGACTCGGCCTGCCAGAAGCATATAACCTTAAAAAATAAAAATGAAGAACCGTCAAGTGTCAATACCAAGGGATACTGAGAACATAAAGCAATAGCAACTCTCACCTAACTGTATGCCTGCCTTGTGCTCCAGCAACATGACTTCTAAGTAACTCAAACACAAATGAACACTTCTGCACCAAAAGACATAGACATCAATGCTCAGGCATCATTTATAATAGCTAAACAGTGGATCCAAATATCCATCAACCGGAGAATGGCTAAACATGTTATGGTATCTCCATATACTGTAAAAGGGTTATAACAATAATTTTTAAAAAAATAAAGACCTGATATATATAACAGCATGGCTGATTCTTACATTAGAGAGTGAAAAGAAGCCAGACTGAGAATGCTACTTCCCACCAAGTACACTTCATGATACTATTAAGATGAAGCTCAAGAACAGGAAAAGTATCAATCAGTGGTGATCAATATCAAAGCAGTGGTTATCTCCAATGGAAGTAAGACCAACAAGAGACGTGAAGGACTCTTCTGTGGTACTAATATTCTAAATATTGGCCTAGGTAGTAATTTACATGCTATCAAGCTGTACATGATATAACAGAGTACTTCACCCACTTTACTATAGGTTATACTTCAATTTAAAAGGTGTGTGTGTTTTCACTTTTAAATGTGTTCTTCCTTCTATCTATTCTTTATCAGGAAATTCCTATAAGCTAGTTTTATTTACTCACCTTGCTTATTAACTAATCCATTAAAGACTCATTAGCATATTTTAAATCAGAATATTCTGAAGTATTTTCTATTCTATCATAAAGAACATGTAAATTCTTCCCATGGATTAAACCAGCATGACCAATTCTGAATCTCAAGTGACATTACTGACTTATTTCAGAACTCTGATATTATCTGACCTATCAGTTCTCTGACTCTAAGGCACACTGGCACTACATTGTAGACAAATGATCCAGAAGACATCACTAACCATCTGCCTAAAGAATTAACAGTACTGTGGCCATATCCTGACTCCTACATGTGGTCACCTGAAGGTAATAATGAGAATACCTAAGAAATCAAAACATATTAGCTAGCACAGAGGTCTGTAGAAATAATAGCACTTACAAAAGCAGTTGGGACTTAAAGGAGAAGACTCAGTTCGTGGAGTACCTAGTAAAATCTACATATTGATCACAATTTGGGAAAGGTTTGTTTTAATTAAATAAAAATTAAATTAAAAAAAGGCTGACATTTGATAGAATGTCAGTCTGAGCGCAAATGATTGAAAGCATACCATCGTTGGCTAAGTGCTGTAGCCAGTCATACTCCTCCTTGGTCTGCTCAGCCAATCTGTATCTCTCAGCCCATCGAAACAGGTCTCGAAGGGTGATGAAGCCCTGCTTTCCAGCAAACACTGAAGAACTTCTACGTTTGGACTATTAATGTATGAAAACAAATGGAAAAGAACAATGTCAAGCATATAGTAAAACATACATAAAATTTTTAATAAATTTAAGCTCCCATAAAAATTATTCATTCCACTAAAATTAATTTTTTTAAAGTGCAAACGGGATATAATCATTTGAAAAATACAAAATCATGTAAATAAACAATGAAATTCCATCTCATATGCCATACAAAAAAAATTCACAAATACAGGTATGTGCAAACATGCAGGAAAATTAATTTTATAATGTAGGAGCATAGTAGTGAAAATGATTCAGAAAAATAATTTGACTATGCATAATTTTGATAAAGAATACTGTTAACCCCATAAATTATATGGGATATTTTAAGGGTAAAGGGGAGTAGAAAAGAGAGAGAGAAAAACAAACAAACAAACAAACAAACAAACAAACAATTGTGGCTTTGCTTTTGACAAGGAAGCGCCACACAAAAAGAGCCTCTTTAGTTATATACATTCAAGGAACAAAAGCCTAACATGGAAATTGACTGATGAGCAGAATGACCAGTGGTAGATCAGGGGCATGGAAATGGAGTAGACTGACAATCCTCAGAGGGAAAGGGGTGTGGGGAATGCAGGAAAAGACTGGATAAAAATCACATATCTAAGGATGGGGAGAGTTGGGGGAGAGGGGGAAGAGGGATGAGGTGGGAGGGGGGAACTGGATGGAAGGTAGCTATGGGGGGGGAAGAATAATTGTAATAATAATCTAATACAATAAATATGTAATAATCTAAACAATAAATATATATTAAGAAAAAGAAAAGAAAAAGATAAGATCCTTACTCAGAAAAAATAAATGGGTGATCTGCTGTTTCTAACTGCGGAACCTATAAAATTTGGCCGAGTCTAATCAACACATTCCATTAGAAACTAAGTTCAGGGATGGAGAGGACATCTACCTGGAGGTCCAGCATGACTCTAACCAATTTGCTACAGTAAGAGGGTGGCAAACTACACCGCTTGTGCAAGATTGTTTCCAATTCAGAACTTGGCAATTCATCAAAGTGCAATTCCACAAACCGATTCCTGAATGCTCTGGAAAGTACCTAAGGAAACAAAAGCAATTGAGATATTGCTCTCTATAAGGTCAGTTTGGGCTCAAATAAATGCTTATAAAAATATTTTTTTAAAAGGAAAAGAAAGCTCCTACAAAATTGAGACTCTGCTACTGACCACAAAAAAGAAAAACCCTTCAAAAGAGGTAAAAAATTTCAGTCTTTCCAAAAAAAATTTACAACTCGAGGCAATAACAACTAAGAGTAGGGATGAAATGCCACACACCTTTCTGCCTCCATAAAGTCCTGGGGGATTCTGGGTAGCAAAGAGCATAAACCGAGGGTGTGCTTTAACAACTTCCTGTGTTTCTGTTATGAGCAATTCACGATTATCATCTAGCAGTCTGTTCAGTGCCTCTAACACATCAGTAGGGGCCAAATTCAATTCATCTAAAATAATCCAATAGCCTTTTCTCATAGCATCAATAAGAACACCTTGGAGGAAATAAACACTGAGAATTAGTATATAAATTAGTCAGAAGTTGTATACAAATCAAGAATCCTAGGTTATTATTAAATTTCAAAGCAAATTACTCTCTGTAGCTAGTCACACGCCCAAGTAATTGTGATGTTGACTATCAAAGAAGCACAATTTTTCATTAGAATGGCCTATTTCATACAGAAGGGGAGTCACGGCTGACAAATATCACATTTCCAACTTATTTCCCCCCTTGCAGTTTACTTTTATTTATATCATATTTTTATATCAGCTCTCAGCTTCCTTCTGTTCAGTGCTCACCCCATTCTCTTGAGTCTCTAGGAAATGAAGTAGGAATTCAACTATACTCTTCAAAACTTGCTGCTGCTGCTGACTACAGCTGACAAGATTTCACTGGGGCCCAAATATAGCTGGAATCCTACCACCATTCCTTCACCACCAAGCAACTCAGGAAGAAAAAAAGACCAGCAGCAATGGTAGCAGTCCATGTACCTCAACTGGAAAGGATAAGAATACTTGGGGGAAAGGGTCTGAAAGAATGAACATCTACACTCATGAAACAGAATAATAACCCTACCTTCTTTAAACACAAGCTTCCCTGAGGAATCAGATGTGTAACAACCGATGTACTCTTGAATATCCGTGTGTTCGTGATTGTTGATTCTCACACAGTGGTTACCAGTAGCTGCAGCCAGCCACCGGATCAGGCTGGTTTTACCAACTGATGTCTCCCCCTGAATCAGCACTGGATAAGTTCTTTAAAAGATCAGCCAACAAAGCAATTAAAGAAAAATAAGATAAAAACCAAAATTAATTCAAGCAGTTTTTTAAAAGAATGACTATATCATTTAACATCATTATAAAGGAACATTTTTATATATTTACTAGAGGCCCAGTGCACAAATTCGTGCACTGGGAAGAGGGGGGATGTCCCTCAGCCCAGCCTGCAACCTCTCCAATCTGGGACTCCTTGAGGAATGTCCGATTGCCCATTTAGCCCCGATACTAAACTGGCAGTCAAACATCCATCTCACAATCCAGGACTGTTGGCTCCCAACCACTCACCTGCCTGCTTTCCTGATTGTCCCTAACTGCTTCTGCCTGCTGCCCGATCACCCCTTAACCATGACCCTGCCAGCCTGATTGATGCTTAACTGCTCCTGTGCTAACCTGATTGCCCCTAACTGCCCTCCCCTGCAGGCCTGGTTGACCCCAACTTCCCTCTGCCGGCCTGGTCACCCCTAACTGCCATCCCCTGCAGGCTTGATTGCCCCCAACTGCTCTCCTTTGCAGGCCTGGTCCCTCCCAAGTGCCCTCCACTGCTGGCCATCTTGTGGCAGCCACCTTGTGTCTTGTGACAGTCAATTTGCATATTACTATTATTAGATAGGACATACTACTAATGGGATGTTTCTTATGCCCTGAGAAATTTATATATAAAAAGGGTTTCTGAAAATACTGAGAAAAAATTCAAACCTCTATTGTACTACTTGTAAAGAAACAGTAAGTGGGACTTGCTGTTCCTCACTTAACAAATAATGGGTGATGAGTACTCATCAACGAAATAATGAAAAGCAAACCTAAAAGATGGCCAAAATAATCTGAATTCATATTGACCTCACTAAAGGTGCAGCTAGAAAAAATGATTTGTGCCAGAAGAAAAGTGACAGCTCACTCAGTCAATGAATAACTATAAAGCACTTTGAAAGTGAAGACAGACTAGAATGTCATCAATGTCAATGATGATGAAACTTCAGATCAGCAGAGGAAAGTTCCACACACCCTGCAGAAACCACTCGGACTATATCCCTTAGGTTCAGCTTGACGGAAGATGTAAGAATGTATGTTTCATCAATTGTAGGTTCCTTGTCTCCCACTGAAATCCAATAGCCTTCAACCTGGATAAGCCGACCTCCTTTAGGTTCTGGAATAGGCTGAAAGACACAAAGTTAAGGAAATAAGACACAGTTCCACAGCAAGTATCGCATTCTTTCAGATAGAGTGGGAAAAGAAGCTGTCACCAAGAATGCTGCCCTGTTCTGGATGTTTTCGAGATTAAAACCCATATGTTTTAATATGAAAATAAAATTACTTTGAGGAATGAAAACAAGATAATGACAAGTATAGGTTTTTAAATTCAATTGGAATTAGGTGAATATGAAGGAATATCAAATAAAAATAGTTTCTCAGTTTATGATTCATTTATCTTCTCTTACCTATTAAAACTCCCACTCTGAATGAAGTATTTTGGTCAAAAGCATATATTTCATAAAAACCATGTTCCCCAAAATAGAGCTAGTGTTGTACAGAAGGGGGCTTTGCATTATTTTATCTGGATCCAGAAGACTTTAAAAATAAAAGTGACCCCCCCCCCCAAGAAACTAACCTATTAAAGATAACACTGTGGATAATAATGTAATCTTTTAAAAATATGGTGAAAGTTATTAAGTTGATTTACTCAAAATTGCTATTTTTATGGATCAAAACGGTTAGTGGTCAGGTTTATAACTATGAAAAAGTGCTCTTCCAGTACACTTAGTACTCTGACTTAAAGCTACTACATCTAGTTAGGCTAAAAAAGGAAACTACAGAACATTCTTATGAGATGGTCCCATTTATGTAATTTAATTAGATACGTATTAGATGTACATGGACAAATGGATAAATTCTGACATTTATCAGAATTTATCTTTAATTTTTTTTTAAATTGACTTTAGAGGGAGGAAGGGAGAGACACAAAAAGAAATAGACAGAGAAACATCAATGTGAGATAAAACATCATTCAGCTGCCTTCTGTACTTGCCCAGGCAATGTGCCCTCACTGGGAATTGAACCTGCCACCTTTTGGTGTATGGAACCCTACTCCAACAAATCAAGCCACACCAGCCAGGGCCATTTATCAAATTTCAGATGGAAAGGACTGTCTACAAGGTTTAAATCTCCAAAGAATAGGATTATTGGGAATTTTTTTGTTGTTGTTATTCCTTCACCGAATAATATATTTCTACTGATTTTTAAAGAGAGTGGAAGGGAGGGGAAGAAGGAATGGAAAAGAGGAAAGAGAAAGAGACATTAATGTGAGAGACACATTGATTGCTTCCAGCACGAGCTCTGACAAGGGATGAAGATGGAACCTGCAACCAGATACGTGCTCTTGACTAGGAATCACACCCCAAAATCCTGCAGTGCTTGGGTTAAAGCTCTAATGACTGAGCACACAAGCCAGGGCAGATTATTGAGAATGTTTACCATCTACAGTTTAACTTTCTGAAACAAATTTGTAATTAGAAACAAGACTTATAAAAAAAACCAAACAGTTCAAAACTTTATAATATAGCCTTTCATTTATTAAACAACTCAAAACAAACAAACAAACAAACAAACATACCTGCTTCAGCAAACTTTTAATACTGCCAGAGACAATGTGTTGACAAATAAGCTTCTGAACTACTGGGTGTGATGCCCTGTCAAGCTGTGTTAGGAAACCCAAACAAAAGCCCTAGGAAAAACACAGAAATACGTAAGACAAATTATTTCAGGACAACTTATTTCAAAAACAAAATGCCACCTCGTGAGTGGGGCTGGTTCCCAGAAAAACTTTTAATATCATGGTAGAAAAAAGTTTAAGATAGCTCTGGTATAAAATTTTCTGGGATAATGACTAATTTTCCGGCGTATAAAACGACCCCCTAATTTTACAGTTAAAACATAGGTTTAGGCCTATATTCGCTGTATAAGACTACCCCCCACTTCAAAGAAAAGACTTACTTTGCCATCAAGATCTGCAGGTAATTTTTGTGCAATTTTGTTTTTTTGCCCCCGATTTTCGGTTGATTTTTTTTCGTTTCAAAAGTCATCTTATACGCCAGAAAATACGATATTGCAAATTTGGAATATGCATTCCTCTCTATTCCCTCCCTTCCCATGGTGAGCCCATCCACCATGCTCCACCCAAACCCAGACTTTGGAAAGACCTCATAGAGTGAGCGCTGGATGTTGCTACATGGATTGGAGGCTGCAAATCGCAGGGCCCTGCAGAGAGTCCGAAGGCTGTAGTGAGGTCTATGGCCGGTTCCGTCCACCAATGTTCTCCCAGACTCTTTCCGCACATCTCTGTAGAAGCTACAAAAAGGATGCACTTCAGGTGATTTTTTAAAATTGATTTTTAAAAAGAGGAAGGGAGAGGGGAGAGGGCCGGGGGCGGGTGTGTGTGGGGGAATGTGGGCAGAGAGATTCTTCAGTTGCTTCCTGCATACCCTCCCTCTCCCTTCCTCTCTGAAGTGAATAAAAATAATAATAACATATAAAAAAAAGTTAGAAGATGACAAGATGGACTACTGGGTGTGATGCCCTGGAAAAAGATTCAGACTGAAATATAAAGTGCAAGAAATTTATGATCGGCTACCACAAGATCAAGTATAACCAAGTGTCACAGATAAAAACCAAATTCTTACTCAAATGGGCTTTAGCTTGGATATTTGCAATCTACCTATATATTCTTTCTTTTATTAGGAAAATCCAAGGTATTTCATAAAGTTCCAACTTTAAAAGAGAAATGTAAATAATAATGTTTACATTAGTTTTCTCCAGTTAGAAGCAAAAAGAAAAAAAGGGAAACAATTATATTAATGAGGCACACAATTTTATGTTCAGAGGAAAGGTTTATAAATAGAAACTGAGAACCACCTACTTTATGATTCCTTGTACTGTGCTCTTGCTCACACTCAATCCTTTCAGATAATCCACAATAAGAATTTGTAAGTCTTCTTTACTTTCCAATTCTTCTACATAAAGTTCTGTAAACCTGTAAGACAATTATTATTATACTGGAGGCCTGATGCACAAAATTCATGCACTAGGCTGGGACCTAGCAGCCCTGGCTGCCTTGGCCCTCGGAGCCCCGCCTTCGTCCAGAAGGTCATTCTGCTGTTCAATAGTTAGGTCGAACAGCATAGTATGCTTTTAGTATCACAAATAATAACTATACTTTAAATTAATACAACTATCCTGACAACAAAAAATGAAAAAACAATGTAAACTAATTTTAATTGTTTCCAATATAAAATATAATTATAACTTGAGATATAGACTGACCATTTCAAAATAAAAAATAATCTAACTTTTACCAAAAATCTACCATTATTATATTCTGGCTTCTCTTCAGATCACATAAATCTTTTGATTTTTACAAAAATCTACCATTATTTCTTCTTGGAATGAAGTATTCTTTCTATAGTCATTATAAGAAACAGCTATAAAATTAAGACTTATTTACCCTCATTTTCAGGTATATTTCATCAAAAGTAGATGTAATAAAAAATACATGAAATAGCTTTGGACAGTCTGACTTAGTGGTTGGGACATTGGACCGAGGACGGAGGATCACCAGTTTGAGTCCTAGTCAAGGGCCCATAAAAAATATACTCACTACTTGGGTGAGCATTAAAAAATACAAAAGAACATGAAAAAAGGCCCCTCACTGTGAAAAATAAAATGGTTGGAGGAAAGGAAAATATATAATTGTAGTTTGTAAATTTTTCTTAATAAGTTTTTATTCCTTTAATAATGGAAACCCAGCCAGCGTGGCTCAATGGTTGAGCTTCGACTTATGAACCAGGTCATGGTTGATTCCCAATCAGGGCACATGCCTGGGTTGCAGGTTCGATCCCTAGTGTGGGGCATGCAGGAGGGAGCCTATCACTGATTCTCTCTCATCACTAATGTTTCTATCTTGCTTCTCCTCTCCCCTCCTCTCTGAAATCAATAAAAATGTATTTAAAAATATAATGGGACGAGGGGTCTAATACAATTTCAACACTATTTTGAAACATAAAACTCAACAAAAGGTTACCAATAATAAATAAGGTCATTTATCTTTTCCCAAGTGCTACATACATAAAACACCAATAACTAAGAACCTTGTTCATGTCAATCAGTGCTTAATGATGAAAACTGTAATTTAAAAGACCTTTTAAAAATCATTAGACTTATTCAAGAGGATTTTTGCTGCTAACTTGCACTTATGCTATTATACTGTTACTAGAGGTCCAGAGTATGAAATTCATGCACTGGTAGGGTCCTCAGTGGCTGCCGGCTGCCAGCCAGTTACACCCTCCCTTCCCCAGCTGGCTCTGCCCCCGCATTGAACTCCTGGAAGAACTCCTGTCAAAGGGACAATTTGCATACTATGCTTTTATTATATAGGACTAGAGATCCAATGCACGGATTCATGTATGGGACCAATCCCCAGTGGGGGGCGTGCAGGAGGCAGCCAATCAATGTCTTTGTCTCTCTCTCTGTCTCTCTCTCCCCCCCCCTCTGAAATTAATGAAGAAATATATATATTAAAATAGAACTTTTTATTTTTTTAACTATTTTTATTGCTTAAAGAGAGGGAGAGAGGGAGAGAGGCAGAGAGGGAGAGAGGCAGAGAGAGACATCAATGATGAGAGAGAATCACTGATTGGCTGTCTCCTGCACGCCCCCTACTGAGAAGCAAGCCTGCAACCCAAGCATGTGCCACTAACCAGAATTGAACCTGGGACCCTTCAGTCCACAGACCAATGCTCTATCCACCGAGCCAAACCAGCTAGAGCAAAAACTTTTTAAAAAGTCTTTAGGAATCAGGCCATGTCCTCTTACCTGTTTCTTATTCCTGGTGGGAGATTTCTTTTGCCCACATCAGTTGCTGGATTCATACAGGCAAATAAACGAAAGTCTGGATGACGAACCAGTGGTTCTGTTAAGAGAAAATGATAAATTCAACAACTTGTAAAATTAAGTCATCAGCCACAGATCCCTGGGGGAAGACCATCTAACTCCATAGGAACCCAGGACAAACAAAACACTGCCTCAGGCTCAACAAAGTTGTTACTGGCTAGTCAAACCTTCCCTGCCTTTTCTGAAATCAGTTATCAGACTGATATACACTGCTTAATCTTATGCTGCCATTCCACTGTCTTCTATAGGTTCACTATCATTTGTCTTATCACCTATTCCAGTATACAGTTTCTCACTAATTGTGCATGTCTATTACCCAATACCCAAATGTCTTGACAAATTATTATATTCTTTGAATTTCCCATACCACCTAACAATAGGACATTTACAAAAAATAAATATCTATGGAATAAAAAAGTCCAATTGGGTAGCCCCTGTAATCCACCTAGCTAATAGCTTCTTAATGTAAAGAGGCCAAAAGACCTGGCAGCAAGTCAGACTTCTAGGGGCTCAAGTCCTACCTGTGTCCCCTCGATCCAGCAATACCAGGGATCCAGAAGAGCCTTCGAGCAAACCACTGAGACATTCTAATGTCTCTGGAGCAGCCAGATTAATCTCATCCAACAAGATCCACTCTCCTTTCTTTACAGCCTGAGCTAATGTACCCTAGAAGAAGATAAAGTATAACGATAAGAATCCATTTCAAGTAAGGATACACTCACCAAAAAGTTATATAAGCGGGACTGGAAAACAGAAGCAAGGGCAAACCTCTCCAACCTGATGTCCTAAATGCCAAGTGGCCACCGACTGAGTGCCAGAGTTAAGACCAAGTTAACTTTTTCAAATGTTTAAAAGGACTAAGAGAATATCTTTGAGCCTAACAGTGAGATACAATAAACTAGATCATCTCATTATATAGATGTGAGATAAATGATAGCAATGTATTCAGGTATTTAAAGGTATCCAGATGGCCCTGGCCAGATGGTTAAGTTAGAGCATTGTCCCAATATGCTTAGGTTGTGTGTTTGATTTCTGGTCAGAGTACATGCAAGAAGCAACCAATGAATGCATAAATAGGTGGAATAACAATTTGATATTTCTAGCTCTAAAATCAATTAAAAAAAAAGGGGGGGGGGGTACCTAGATGGCTATTAAAAGCACTCAACATAAATAAATATAGGGTTAAGCTATGATTATACCACTATCAAATAAAGGACTAAATCAAGGATGTGTGGTGGTTGTAATACTTAGCCTTTCACAGTTGAAGAATATCACAATTAATCTTTTCTAACTCTTCTCTACAGATTTTGTCTCAGAGTTCTATTCCAAGAGTAATAAACTGAACTGTTTTACTGTTATTAAAATGCTTTTCAAGCCCTAGCCAATTTGGCTCAGTGGATAAAAATCAGCCTGCGGACTGAAGGATCCCAGGCTTGATTCCAGTCAAGGGCACATAACCTCAGTTGCAGGTTCTTTCCTGAACTGGACCCTGGTCAAAGTGCATGCAGGAGGTAACTAATCAATGTGTTCCTCTCAATTCAGTATTTTTCCCTCTTTCTTCCATGCGCTCTAAAAATCAATGGAAAAATATCCTTGGTTGAGGATTAAAAAAACACCAAAGCTTTATACTTTTTGTTTTCATAATAATCCTGACAAATTATCTACAATTTTTTTTTTTTTTTAAGGACAGCCCTGGTCTGTGTTGCTCAATTGGTTGTGCACCATTTCAAGCACAAAGAAGTTGCCAGTTTGATTACCAGTGAGAGCACATGCCCAGACTGTGGGCTCCATCCCTGGTATTAGACATACAGGAGGTGGCTGGTTAATGTCTGTCTGCCTATTGTCTGTCTCTCTCTCCCTTTCTCTAAAAATTAATAAACTATTCTTAAAAAAAAACAAAAAACGTATTGAATTGCAGTGTAATGCTAAGTCATGAAATAGGTTTAAACCCTACTTTGGAGAGCACTTGATTTTAATTGGTTATTTTAGATCAGCCGAATCAACCCTGGTGATCAATGGGGTGACAGATGTTGCAGCCAGATCGCCCTCACATCCTAATTGGTTATTTTAGAAATAAGCATAGCAAGATTAACCACCAATGACTAAATTTCCCACACAGATGGGACATATGGTTGAGTGACCTTCTTATACCAAAACACTATCTCAAGTATGATTCCTACCTCTCTTAAGATGTGGTTTAAAAAAGTGTCACAGAAACAAAAAGAATTTTTAAAGCTTAGGTCATGAACATTTAATTACGTTGATCTTCCCTTCAGGGTCACAGGGCAGAAAAAAGTAGAGCTACCCATGCACTGGAATAAAAAATGGGGCCTAAAGTGAATGGACCCAAACCTAGTGGGCTTGCTCTCCTTCTCAAACCTCACACACACAGAGCTAGGAAACAATAAAGAGTTCAGCAGCTGGCCTCAACTTACATCTTTTAAAATAACAGTGTTAAAAATAAATAAAAATTATAGTTTACCAAGACTATAATTTCAATAAAGAACATTTTTCAAAATCATCCCCCAATACATTATTTCAATTAAGTGTTAAGACTTGAGCAGCAAGCACTAAAAATAACAATATGAAGAGAATACAAAATAGAAGCCAATCTAATACTTGCATTTTGCATCAAATCAACAAGTCCCTTAACCTTAATAACTAAAGCAATATACCTCTACAAATGCAAACAACAGAGCATTTTCAGTCATTTTCATCTGCTGTTGGGCATGGTCAAGTCTAAGACCAAAAGCTTCCCATTTCTCTTTCAGGAGTAACCCTAGAAAGGAATGAAGACAATAATTTAATCTACATTTTGAATTGTAATATGTATAACTTAAACACACAAAATATAAATGTCTTAGCAATATTAAAAATTTAAGTCCAAACATTTGCTAAGTGCTAGCCACTATATTAGTTAACTCATTCATATGCACATGTACACATACTAGTTAACTGATTTATCATCCCTCACAGCAACCCTTTGAGGTAGGTACTGTTATTTCCTCTTAATAGATGAGAAACCACAGAAAAGGTAACTAAACTACCAAAAGCCTCTTGGAATCATACTTCTTTGAAACAACCTCTTTTTTTAAGGAAATCTGATGATTCTTATGGGAACCATGTCTAGGATCATGGGAACAGCAATACTTCAAAATTAGTCTTTTTGCCCTTAAGTCTTAGAAAACTCCAAGTTGCATTGTTTCAATTTTCTCCGCAAATCTCCTGATTCTGCTAATTGAGCCCCAGCCTCATGCCCTTTCACTAGGTCACATTCTTACCAGTTTCACTCTCTTTTCCATCCTTGTTGACAGCCGATTTGTGCACATGTTGCATTAGTTTGAGGAGATCATGCCACCGTTTCTGTCTGTAACAGGTCTGAATGTGCCCCAAGAACGTAAAGTTTTGCTTCTTGGAAAATGTCTGGGCAAAGAGTTCCTCAAATGCCTCTCGTAAGGGTAGCCAAATAAGCTTATGATCCACTGGTTTGTAACTAAAACAAACGGCAAATGTGATTGAAAAACTACAGAACTTAAAAACCATAATTCAGAAAATAGGAATAGGTCTAAGATTTCATTTACTCAAAATTAGAAATAATACCAAAATACTTAAAATCTATGTTAAAGTTTTAAATTACAATGTATTTTCTACAATGTGTTTAAAGGGCCTAAACTAAAGGTAAAAACCACTATTAGATAAACATTATTAAAAATTTTGAAACTCCTAGTTGGGCACTGAAAGGCCAGTCATTTATTTTTCTAACATTTAAATAAACATCGTTTATAGCAGCAGTCATCAACCTTTTGGACCTCACCGGTTGGGCAACTGCTGATTTATAGGATTCAATGATAAAACATATTTTATTAAGATCAACCAAAAACTTTTCAGGATGACTTTAAACATTTTTCCAAGGCTAGCTTTGAGCTATGTAAGAGAACAGTATTTCCTACCTCAAGCAGTGAACACAAAATAAGACAACAATTTTAAGCTGCACTTACCCTCCAAGCAAGTCTGCAGTGTCACTCTGTTGATTCATATTGACAACCCTCAAACGGTGGCCTTTAAAAAAGAAAGGGTAAAAGTGTCATTCCGAAAATTTCAAGACTGATAAAATCCAGTGTGATTCTTAAGGATGTGCTGATATGGGCATGGGGCAAATCTTTAAATGTGCATTTGCTCTGAAAGAAGCCAGTGAGAGAAAGATAAATATCGCATGATCTCACTCTTTTGTGGAATATAATGAACAACATATAAAAGAGAAACAGAGACATAGATGCATCTAACAGAATGTCCAACTGATGAGGGAAGGGGGGGGGATGAGGATGCAAGAGATCAACAAAAGGACTTGTATGGATGCATATGAGCACAACCAATGGACACAGATACTCATGTAATACTTTATAAACAACAAAGAATTTAAATTTAAAAATAATAAATAATAAATAAATGCGTATTTGCTCTGATCCTCTCATTTTATGACTTTTAGGATTCTAAAATTTCACCAAACCCCGAGAGATATGGATATGAAGATTCACTGTATATTACTGCTCTACCATCAGGTAACTGAAAACCACAAAATCCTTTAGCAAGTCACTGTCTACAAATTAGAATGAAATAAATGCTCAGTGTGGAATATTATTTAGCCATCAGAAAAGAAATGAGACAGTTGTTTTTAAAGATGTCCAATTTCATTAACTAAATGCAAAACACAGAGCGCAACCCCATCTGTTTCAAAACAAACTCAACTCATATGTATATGGAGCAGAACAAAAAAAGGTTAATGCCAATCTGTTAACAGTGTTTATTTCTAGGGAAAGTGGAGTGGTGGCACTCTCTTAAATCCAGTTTTCTGTTGACTTTATTTTCAGGAGAAAAAAAAAGGCAGTTAGTGTGAAATGTGTATTTTTCTGGAGGTAGAATGCCTGACCCTAGAAGTTTACCTGTGATGTGAGCCAAGTACTGTACAGTAGAGGTTTTGCCAGTCCCGGTCTCTCCTACCAGCAATACTGGTTCTCCTTTGCTAACACACACCGCAAGCTGCTCAATAAGAACAGAGGATGGCCTTGTAGCAGCAAAAGTAAACTTCTCCCTGAGAAGGGAAAAGTAAGCAAGCAGTTAAGAAAAGCAGACTACAAGCTTCTCTTGGTGTTGCTTTGAAGAGCCAGAGTTTCTAGATTCAACAAATAAGAATGAGAAGACAACTCAGAGTAAATGTCTGCATGCTCTAACAGATATTCTTACAACATATGAAATACAAAACTCATTCATTCTACAAACACTGAGTACACATGTGGCACTTTAGCAGGCTCTGGTGATTCAGAACACCAGTAAAATAAGTCAATATACTACCGTGTTTCCCTGAAAATAAGACATCCTCCGAAAATAAGACCTAGCGCAACTTAGGGAGAAAAAATTAATATAAGACACTGTCTTATTTTCAGGGAAACAGGGTAGCTACGTTATCTTGAGCAAATTTCTTAACTTCTCTTAGCCTCAGTTTCTTCACCTGTAAAATTTGGATAGTAATAGTTACTAGCTGTAGTGGGTTGAATAGCCTTCCCCCAAAATTCATTGAGTTTCATAGAACATACTTTGGGAAAACATCTTACCATCCCATTCAATAGAGAGATCACAGTTCAGATACATGTTTAGTCAAAGGGGCTGAACTAGACCTTCTATCAAGTTCCTAACAACTCCACAGTTCTCATATTACATAGGAACCCTACTTACCTCTGTATATGAACAGCCTCACTTTGTTTCCGTAGAAGCCGCACTCGACCCACTTGTACATCTAGCTCATTGATCACAATTTCTGGTTTATAAAGTTGACAGAAGAATTCAGCCTATGGGAGAGGAAAGATTTTACCTAAGTAACATTTTGATTCCTCTTCTAACATTTCCTCATCCATGAGGCTTACTGTGACCCTCTAATTAGTCCTTTACTAATTAGAGGTGCTTTGTACTTCCAAGACAGGCAAGTTAACTTTAAATTACTTTATATTTTCACTTTTTAAATTGATAATGTTTTTAAAACATTGGTTATGAATGTTTCCCTGTAATAGCACTTTTTCTTCATTCAAATAAACCCACCTAGAGATCTACCTATATCTAAGGTGAACACAAACATATCCCAATAGATCAAACAGAAATTCTACTAAAAGATATGGAAAAAAAAAAATCAAAGTAAATTTTCTTCAGCTATGCCTTTTTCAATTTTAAATTCTAACATAATGCAGGAAACAATGACCTGAATAAACTACGGTACATCTAACTACAGCCAAAGCAGAAAGAGGAGCTGTGACACTGGCTCGAGAGCATCTACCCAGCTGCCATTTCTTTCTCATCCTTGTCGTCAACCCAAAGAACCCAGATTTTGATCAGACTTGGGAGAGTGAGAGGGGCAAAGTACTCAGGGAAGGTAATCCCCGTTTTAATCAAAAGGGATTAATCCTGACCAAAGCCAATGATACTTTCATTCCTCTTGCCTACTATTAATTTTATTGTTTAGGCCCCTTTAAGTAAGTGTTGTGTTACTTGCAGCCAAAACCATCTCAACAGTTTCAGAAGCCTAAGGAACACCTCTAACTGGTTCCATTCCTGACACAGGCTTTTTTGAATATTTGGGAATGTCAGATATCTGCCTCTAGATGGCCTCCAGATACTTCTCCAGTAACCAACACCACTGCTAAAAGGCTCTCCCCTCTAAACACATGTATTTTGATATAAAACAAGAATGGCAAAAAAAAAAAAATATTAACAATGTCAGCAATGAACCCAAGCAGTGTATACACAGATATTCATTGAGATTATTCTTTTAAACTTTTCCCATGTTTGAAGATATCAGTAATAAAGAACTGGAAAAAAAATCTACTTGTGTATAAAACTATAGAGGTGTTATTAGTCCCTAATCTGCAGAATAACACGCTCATTAAAACAGCGAAGAATAGTCTGGCTAGTGCAGCTTAATGGGTGAGTGCTGACCTATGAATCAGGAGGTTACGGTTCGATTCCCAGTCAGGACACATGCCCAGACTATAGGCTCAATCCCAAATGGGGAGCATGCCAGAGCAGCCAATCAATGATTCTCTCTCATCACTGATATTTCCTTCTGTCTCCCCCTCTCCCTTCCTCTCTGAAATAAAAAATATATTTAAGAAACAACAATAGTGGAGAAAAGGAACATATGTGATATAGGACATCAGGAAGCTCACTTTAAGAATGTAGAACACATGGAAAAGTACTTATGTAGGAGGTAGGAGAGCTTTATGGCCATAAAAGGCAGAAATGACACTAGCAATTTTGATAGAGGTGGCAGTTATTGAAAAAGCTGTTCCAGGTAAGACCAGAGACCAACAAGTAAACTTAATACCCGAGCTTCCTTTCAACAGGAAAATAAAAATAGCATACCTTTTTCTTGGAAATGTTCAATTTGCTTCCAATGACTTCTGCCATTTTCAATTTGCTTGTATGCTTGGAAAGCATTGCTGTGAAACAGTCCAGAGCCTATTAAAATAACTAATATAAGTGCCACTGATGTTTAAAATAAAACATTAACAACAGAGTGTTAATCTCTTGGCTACAAAAGAGAGGAACATAAAATCCAGCAGGAACATTTCTGCAAATCTAAGAAGAGTCCAAATAAAATACCTATGCTAGACACAGGGACCTTGCCATTATAGAGGCAGGACACAAATGTGAAGCCTTTACTAAGATTGTACTGGTTAATTAGTGTGGGGGAAGGGGAAGGAACTATGTAAAGATAGCAGTAAGTGTTCATCATCAGGGGGATGGTCCACAGGGAAATTTATTCTCAGACAGTGCAAGTAATACCAAAACATTACTTTCTAGCTATAAAGGAAAACTCCTGGTAGGCAATAAAGGAATCCATTGCCTTACTTTAACTCAGTACTCAACCTTAGCAACTACCGATAGGCCAACCAGGTATGTATCTTCTGATGTAATAAAAAATTAAAAGTACATACCACCACCAAAAATGGATTCTACTCCCCAAAAAGTTGAATTTTAATACCTCAAGCACTGTGTTAAACTTATATTTACAAGAGAGAAGACAAATAAAATGACAAGGGAAAGGATACCGTGAGTGTAGATAACAGATCCTCAAGTAATATCATTTTGTTCAACATCATTTCATTATGATGTTGATGAGAAAAAATAATCAATTCCAACTGGGGCCACTGTCCATGTGGGTTTTCTCCCACATCCCCAAAATGTGCATGTTAGTAAGTTGAGCCTGAGTGTGTGTGTGTGTGTGTGTGTGTGTGTGTGTGTGTGTGTGTGTATGAATGCACACTATCATGAAGGATATCCTGTCCAGCATTGGGTCCTGTCTTGCATCCAGAGCAGCTGAGAGAAGCCACCCATGACCCTGAACTGGAACAAGTGTGTTAGAAAATAATTATCTTAGCCGAGACCGGTTTGGCTCAATGGATAGAGCGTCGGCTTGGGGACTGAAGGGTCCCGGGTTCGATTCCGGTCAAGGGCATGTACCTCAGTTGCGGGCATATCCCCAGTAAGGGGTGTGCAAGAGGCAGCTGATCGATGACTCTCTCGCATCGATGTTTCTAACTCTCTATCCCTCTCCCTTCCTCTCTGTACAAAATCAATAAAAATATATAAAAAAAAAAAAAAAAGAAAATAATTATCTTACTTATTAATCTTCTTAAATTATTTATAGTTCACATTTACTTCAATGTTTAATATTAAAAGTGTTTGAGATATTTAAAAGTTTGTGATCGGGAATATGCTTTAGAAACTTAACTCTTAGTCTATGATAAAACTGGTTTCATTATCTGTCGTTTTAAGTTGGCATTTCCAAAAACCTATCAACGACATTAATTGAGGACTGACTGAATCTGGTTCTGCCACCACCAAGTATATTATATCAATAAACATCACACAAGCATTTAAATAAGAGAAACTGTATCTGGTCTTTGTCCCTAATTCCTGGCATAGAGCTTCAATAACCCTTGGAATGACCAGGAATAAGGAGTGTGTTTTGTTCATCACCAGATCCTCTGGACCATACTAGAGTTTATTTTCAGGATGGGGCCCTTAGACAGTTTAAGGGTAAAGCTGACCAGGCCAATAAGGCCAATGTCTGATTGGAGGGTTGAAATTTTCAACTCTGGCCCCAAGCTCTGTAGAGGGGAAAGCTAGAGACTGAGCTCAATCACATAGCCAATCTTCTATAATAATAAAAGTGTAATATACTAATTAGACTGGGCAGCTGAATGACCTTCCAGATGAAGCCACAGCGACAGGGGCCAAGGCCGAGGTGGTTAGGGGCGATCAGGCAGGCAGGCAAAGTGGTTAGGGGCAATCAGGCAGGCAGACAGGCAGGCAGGCAGGTTAGTGGTTAGATGTCAGCAGCCCCAGATTGTGAGGGGGCAGACTGGGCTGAGGGAACCCCCTCCTCCCATGCACAAATTTCGTGCACTGGGCCCCATGTCTGATTGTACCTTTCATTTTAAATTGTAACCTGGACTACATTGTGTTTTCAATGAGTTCTGTGAGTCCATTACTGAACCTGAGAGGTTGTGAGAACCCTGAATTTATAGCTAGTAGGTCACAGTGTGGTTGGCCCCAAACACTTGCAGCTGGAATCTAAAGTGGGGGCAATCTTGTGGAAGACTGAGCCCTTGAACCGACGAGGTCTACACTAATCCACATAGTATCAGAATTGGATTGAATTACAGAATACCAGGTGACGTCAGAATAACAAAGAAGCAACCAGATAAAGCCAGAGGTGGAACATTCTACAAAACAACTGTCCTGATGTCTTCAATATGGTAGAGACCTTAAAGGGAGGACTCTGATACAATAAGCATTCTTAAGCGTATAGACATGGAAGATAAACCAATTTCTTAGTGCTGGGGAATCCCTGGCTAGGGGAATATATTGTAATCATTTTGCCTTCATATATTTTCCCATTTCCAACAGTACATAGTACTGACTCATGCTACATTCAATATGAATTAACTGAGAGAATATGCTGAATAAAAAAAACAGATACAAAAGGTCACACATTTATATCAAAAGTTCAGAATCAGCAAGTCTATAGACAGAAGGTAGACAGGTGGTTGTCAGGGGTTATAGAGAAGGAGAAATGGAGATGATGGAAAATGGGTACAATGTTTGTTTTAGGGGTGACCTAAAATTAGATAGTGGTGATGACTGCATAATTCAGTTTAAAAAAAACAAAAAACAATACTGAATTGTACACCTTATAAAAAGTGAATTCTATGGTAGGTGAATTATATCTCAATAAAGTGATTTTATATACAAACACACAATGAACTCTTACGAATTAAAGAAGATAAAAGCATTCCTACCAATGTTACACTTTTATTTTAAAAGTACAAAACACGGTTACCTATAACACACATAAAAAATGTAAGAAAATGGAAAAAGTTCGCTGGAGAAGAGATTAAAGGACTGGCACACTGCATGTCAGGGGTAGGCTGAGCTTAAATATACATGCCAAATGAGGTTTCTTTCTACTCAAAAGTAACTTTACCAAACACAAAGAGATACTGCAAACCAAATTGGATCACTATTCTCTCCTCAGTCCCAACTGACAAGAATCAAAGCACTTTATAATCAAAACTGAACATGTTAAAAAAAATATAGAACCACTTTTATTCTTAAGCAGAAGGGAACAAATCTGTGTTCCTATTAAATATGGCAGAGCTATAATTCAAAAGGCTCTATTCTATAGGAAATGTGTTCCTTCTGCCCATCACACTTTGTCCCAAGCCCAGTATATGAGGTTTCACTTTGCAAACTCCACATAAATTTCTCTGGACTAAAATTAAAAAGGCCTACAGCCCTAAAAATCTAAGATATAGACTAAGAAAAGACACATAAGAGTAAATATTAAATATTAAACAAGTGTTTAGAAAAACTTTATATTTTATAACATTGTCACCTGTGAGATTTTTTTTTCATTTTACCTTTAATTTTAGTAACTGTTTTATTGTATCTCAAACTATACTTATTTGAATCACAAAACATTTATTTGCTCAATTAGTTTTAAGGCAACATTAATTCACTTTTAACTAGCTAAGGATAATAACAATAACCTCACAAAAGAAAAACTCTGATAGCAGTCAAGACACAGAAAATAACAATGGACATAATGGACAGCAACAGCTTGATAGAACACAGAGAAAACAAGAAGACTGTATCTTACCTCTTGAAAAATATTCAATGATGCTGATGAAGACAGACTATCAAAGCTATGAGCAATCCTGTTACACCAGTTCAGTAGATCCCTTTAAAAAAAATAAATCAAGAAATAGAAAACCATAGGCTAAAAACATCAAAGGCATCAGTTTATTTGGTCCTTATGTCTGGAGACACCTAATAACAAACAGCTACCTCCTTTCTTCAGACAATGTGAAGATAAACAGTGTCAGAAGAAGGAATAAGTGAGTGGTCCCAGTCCCTAACCCTACTAGAAAGTGACCTATCGCTCATTTCTCCCCCATCCATCCACACAAGTAGCAGGAGAAGGAGAGCAACTCTCAGAGGAAACTGCAGGAGTTGCTCATTTCTAATTCTCTCTTCTCAAAGGGCAAGTCAACCATAGAGAATAGAGAAAAGGAACATAACTCAGTATATATGGCAAATTACAAGAGTGTTATTTAAGACTGCAGGTATCACAAAAGGATATCCAGTGAAAAGAATTATCAGTAACTATTCCCAACACTGGCTTTAAAAGTTATTTTTCGAAGTGAAAACAACATGTCATCCTAACGAGTAACTATAGACCTGAAAGAGGGACCTGACACCATAAAACAGCCCAGAAGTCTAATTTCAAACCTGACCTCTTGTAAGCATTTAGTTCTAACTGCTAAGAACTTTTGAGTAAAGCAGTTTTTAAAATATCAAATCAAAAAGGTATTTAGTCCAGTACCTGAGAGACAATTCTCTTCCTTCAAGGCTTAGTCTTTTGTTTTCTGTTCTGGCTTCTGAAACTTCCTTAGGTACCTGTTCACATCCAACAGAACTATCATCCCGAGAGTGGTGTTTCTCTCCAGTAAGCTGGATGTAAATGTCAAGCAGGTGGTCAGTTACTGCCAATAGGCTAGGGTATCTGTTCTGAAGAACCTGACAGAGAGAGAAAAAAAGCAAAGAAAATTTAGCAGTAGACACAGTGATTTTTAAAAGCACATGTAAACTGTTCCTGATACTAGTCAACCAAAAAATAAATAGCTCTATGAAATTTTCATCTTTACCAAAGTATAGAATTTTCTCCTTACTCACAGTCCCTTCCCTCTCAAAGACTCTAATTTGTTTTCTACCTTGAACTCAGTTGTCCGGCAATCTCACCATCTATAACAGAGCTTAGGGAGTAGAAGCCAGATAGGAAAAAGATCTCTAGAGCAACTTATACACCCAACTCCCAGGAATTTACTCACTGAAGAATCTTGCAAGTACTATTTACTTACTGTAAATACAATTCAAGTAAGATTCATTGTGTCATTTCTCAGCCAAAAGCAAACTATAATAGAAGCAGTCAATTAGAAAGAAAAGACCTTTTAAAAGCAAACCACAGTAAAAGCAGCTAATGTTAAGTACTGATCAAAAGCAGCTGATATTTAAAAAGCAAACAATGGCTCTCTGGCTCTTTGAGTGTGGCTCTTCCACAAAATACATGGCCTGGGTGAGTCTATTTTGAAGAAGTGGCGATAGAAGTTTAAATTTAAAAAATTTGACTCTCGCCGAAACCGGTTTGGCTCAGTGGTAAAGCAGCGTCGGTCTGCGGACTGAAAGGTCCCAGGTTCGATTCTGGTCAAGGGCATGTACATTGGTTGCGGGCACATCCCGGTGGGGGGTGTGCAAGAGGCAGCTGGTCAATGTTTCTCTCTCATCAACGTTTCTAGCTCTCTATCCCTCTCTCCTCCTCTCCATAAAAAATCAATAAAATATATTTAGAAAAAATAAATAAGTAAATAAAAAATTTGACTCTCAAAAGAAATTTGAATCGTTGTACTGTTGATATTTGGCTCTGCTGACTAATTAGTTTACCAACCACTGGCCTAATCAGTTTGGCTCAGTAGATGAAGTGTCAGCCTGCTGACTGAGGGGTCCCAGGTTCGATTCCAGTCAGGGGCATGTGCCTTGGTTGTGAGCACATCCCCAGTGAGGGGTGTGCAGGGGGCAACTGATCGATGTTTCTCTTATCTAATGTTTCTATCTAATCCCTCTATCCTTTTCCCTTCCTCTCTGTAAAATATCAATAAAATATATTTTTTAAAAATAAATAAAAAGCAAACAATAAAGTTTGAAAAGATCTTATCCTGTTCAATTTTGATAACTGAGGGTTTTCTTCAATATAATACTTGATGCACATAATATTGATTCCAAGGTTTATGATATAAAATTGATCAGTCAAATCTATTAGAGAAGAGAAACATTCCGTGTATATTAGTAATATTACCATCCAAAATACTTAAATAAGCTTGAAAAAGATGGTATTGTGATTCCAATTTGTATATAAAATATCCACATTTTGAATATATATTAAATCGTCTCAAGTGGTAGAAAACTCAGATTTTATTTCTTCATATCTAGTTTTATCAGAGGATTTTATAACAAATATAGTTTAAAACATACTTCGGCTGGTTTAAAAATTAAATAAGGACAAGAGAATAATTAAATAAACAAATGCAATTTAAGGGTTGCACTTGTGGATCTTTCAAATATAGAGTATACATTTTGTGTACAAAGGGAACACCTATAAAATTTGTTATATGTTTATGACCTTGGTCACCACAGAATATAAACTATTTCACCCTTAAAAGTAAAAAGTTCCCTCCCACCCCTTTTGTAATCAATCCCTTTCCCCACCCCTTGCCCTGGGAATCACGAATCTGGTTCCATGGTTTTAAGTATGTCATTTTTATGGAATCATACAGGATTCATGTGTAGTGCAGGTTCTCTTACTCAAGTTGTTTTTGAGATTCATCCAGACATTACTACATGTATCAGTAATTTCATTATATAACTATGTACATTTATGATCAAGGTGAAAAAAAGCTATTTTTGCTTGGAAAAATTTTTTGTCAAGTTGAACACTTTGGTAAAATCTCAGCGACGTGGGGGAAAAATTCTGAATTAAAGATTTGTCTGTACTCAGCAACCAGTCATTGTCTACCTTAGCCAAAAATATCTGTTGTTTTCCTAAAAACCCTGGGTCTGTCACAACCGGAAGCTCAACCAACTGGAAGTCAGTCCAACAGTTTGCACTGGGTTGCCATGAGGATCCAGCACTGACTGCTGCGGCTGCAGGTGCAGTGACCCAGCACTGACTCTGAGGGGGCTGCGAATTAGGCCTGGAGAGAAGCCTGAAGAGAGAAGCAAGGTCTGATCAGTAGCTTCTGTGGCAGCTGTTGATCAGAACTTGTCTCACTCTTTCTTTCCAGGCCGGGGCAGCAGCCAGGCCTCCATTTTTCTCCAGGCCTCCACCAGGGCTGCTGATGAGCCCCAACTTTCTGATCAGGCCATGTTGATAGGCCCAGAGACACTGACTGGTGTAGAAACTGACCAATCAGAACCAAATTGGCCTGCAGAGGAGAGCAGTTGGGGGTGAGATCAGACTGGCAGTGGAGAACAGTTAGGGGTAATCAGGCAGGCAGTGGCAGTAGGAGAAATCAGGCTGGCAGGGGAGAGCAATTGGAGCGATTAGGCAGGGAGGTAGAGGCAGTTGGGGCAATTAGGCAGGCAGGCAAGCAGTTAGGAGCCAGCAGTCCCAGATTGACAAAGGGATGTCCCCAATTAGAGAGGGTGCAGGCTGGGCTCAGGAAACCCACCCTCTTCCATGCATGAATTTTGTGCACCTGGCCACTAGTCACAAATAAAAAATTTAAACATAATATCATTTAATAACTAATCTGACATGATATGGCTCTATTATCAAATGATGTGCATTCTTGAATATTCATTCCTTTGATGAGCATTTATTAAGTACCAAGTTTATATCAGGCACTGTTCCAGGGAAAGGAAAACAAATAAGGAATGGAGCCCACCCTTAAGTAATTCCATCTGGCATAAGCAACAGAGTACAAGCAAATCAAGCTTATAACATGAAGGTCAGCTCTGCTTGGGAGATGCAGAAAAAGTTTCATGGGGCATAAGATGCACCTGGCAGTGGTCAGCAGTGGCTGTGAAAGCAGAGAAAACAGGCCATCTACGGCACCAGCACCTAAGACATCTGAACACATGCAAGGTATAGAGGGAGACGACATTTGAGAAACTGCTGGAGGTAAGTTCTGACATGCACCAGGTATGAGAATAGCACTACATAAATAGCTCATTTTTAAAAGTATAATTTATTTCAGCAAGAAGTAAAAAAAAAAAAAAAAAAAAAAAAAAAAAAAAAAAAAAAAATCTTTCTGAGCATAAGACCACTGTGGTTGGCAGCAACAGAAATATAGTTCCTTGAAGAGATTATTTCATTTCCTAAGTAATGCACACAAGGTTTTTACCACTAGTCACTTATTCAGGATAGTGTTATTGGGATTTATTAGTAAGTCCAAAAGCCTAGAAATGACGTGAGCTTCTCAAAGTCAACTATCTAAATATGATATATATCATGGAAGTGAAGAGATGAATGCTCCTGTTGTGCTTCCTACGAGCAGAGTGACTCACTGCAATGCATGACAAAAACAAAAAGATAAGCTTTGGTTTGAATTTAAAGTACATACACCAAAACTAAGAAAAGAATAGCTGTCAAATGTTCTCATCCTCTTAATCCCCAATAAGTCACACCTAAGTATGAACTTTAGTTTCTCCTTTATAGAATAGACTGGAAGGAATTTAAGTCTCAAAATAAACATCTTAAATGTCGAAAATTGCAAAAGAAAGTGCTGCATTATGACAGAGCCCTACAACAAACGAAGCTTTCAAATATATTACCAAATAAAAAATATTAGATGAACTTAATAATACACAAAAATGTTAGCACATTACCTGTCAGCAAATTAGGATAAGTATTTTGGGGATTCATTATATTATTTTCTCTATATACATGTAAGTCTGGAACTTTTAATAATAAAAAGCAAAAAGAAAAGCATCAATAATTTCTAATAACCACATACCTCATTCAGTTCTGTCTTATCCATGTTATCCAGATGAATTTTGGTCCAATGTTTGTCTAGCAAAGTAGCATGACTACTTAGTGGTCGATACCAGTTCCCTCCACAAGTCAAAAGTCTGTATTTCAAAACAAAAACAAAAACAAAAACAAAGTAATACAAAAGTCCCAATTTTAATCTTTAATTACAACCCTTGTTATGCCTTGCTAGACATTATCTCACATACGAATAAAACTCACATCCCTTTTGGAGCTATGCTGGGCAGATAACAAATGAAAGGCTGTCAACAGACCAAAATATGACTCATTTCCTTCAGGGGAGTAACAGAGCTTTAACCAAGTTATTTTCAAGTCACTGAAAATATTCTATTAGGTGATTTAATCTCAAAAACACATTTCTCTTCCTTAAGACATAACTTCAGGAAAGAGAAAGACTTACAGCATTCAAGTTCACTGCTTATTACCAAAAACTACATATCCAAAATCATTAAAAATGTCCGGAGGAATATTCATGAAGCATGTACTTTGGGCAAACCACATACACCAAAGCCATTTGATTTAATGCTTACAACTGTCTTGGGGGATCAGGCCCTTCTTTATTCCTAACACATAAGGAAGAGAAGGAAAATAATGCCCCTGGCTCGCTCAACTACAACTATAAATGACAGAGCCAACAAGTGATGTTCCAGTACTTTCTGGGAAATGTATCTAGTAGGAGAGAACTTTACTATCCCCATAAATAAAATCAGGGTCTATTAAAATCAGCAGGACCTAACAAGGTGTTTCTTGAGAACTGTTAGGTTAGTGCCACATTCCACCTGGGAGTGAATACTCCACTGAGATATAATAAACACTAATATAATCACTAAGTATAATGTGACATTAGTTTCACTCTTGGGAATTTTAAGATCTGTACAGGTATAGACCAGAACCAGGAAATAAGCCACTGCCTTTGTGTTGTTATACACTGTAGAAGGAACACATACAAACTTTGCTTTGGTTTTTATTCCTATGCTGATGCTTATATTCAATTAAGTTTTATAACTGCTTAAAATCTGTAAGTCTTTATCACCTTCATTATGGCTAGCCATTAGTTTGGCACTTACTATGTGAAAAGTTTTTTGTTTTTTTATGTTTAAATATATTTTGTGTTGATGTCAGAGAGGAAAGGAAAGGGAGAGAAAGATAGAAACATCAATGATGATAGAGAATCACTGACTGGCTGCCTCCCGCATGCCCTCCACTGGGGATTGAGCCGGCAACAGGGGCATGTGCCCTCGACTGGAATCAAACCTGGGCCCCTTCAGTCTGCAGGCTGATGCTCTATCCACTGAGCAAAACCAGCTAGGGCTGTGAAAGGTTTTTAATGCAAGTCATTTCACTTATTCTTTACAACTTACACTAAACTGTAAAGTAGGTATTATTAACAGATACAAAGTACCACCTTCAGAACTCAAACCCAGGGCTATCTGACAATAATCTTGCCTCTGATAATTTTTGAAAACATGAAGACAGTTTTGAGTAGGAAAAACATACACCCTTATGATCTAAATTAGTTATCTCCATTAAAAGTTATAAGGGCTCTGGCCACCATGGAGTAATGGTTAGAGCGCCAGCCCTGGTCCCAAAGAGTTGCAGATTCGGTTCTCGGTCATGGGAATGTACTTGGATTACAGTATCAATCCCCAACTCTAGTCCGGGCACATGCAGGAAGCACCCAATGGATGTGTGTGTCTGTCTCTCTCTCTGTCTCTCTCTCTCTCCCCTCCTTCTTTCCTCCCTTCCACTCTCTGTAAAAAAAAAAAAAAAAAAAAAATATCAATGGAAAAAATATCCTTCAGTAAGGATTAACAAAAAGTAAAAGTCATAAGGAATGAAGCCTGGCCAGGGGCTCAGTTGGCTGAAGCACTGTCCAGGACAACAAGAAGGCTGCAAGGTTGATTCACAGTCAGGGCACATTCCAAGGTTGCAGGTTTGATTCCTGGTTGGGGAATGTACGGGAGGTAATGAATCTGTTTCTCTCTCACATCGATGTTTATCTCTCTCCCCATCCTCTCTCTCTAAATCAATAAAATATAAAAGTAGTCAGGAATGAGAAGGTTGGCTGCCATCAGTTTCAACTAACCTTACTTAAAGTCAGCCCAGAGAAGGCTATTCCAGGACTTTTGGGCGCAGCTCTACTTTACAGACTTTTGAGGAAGAGGCTCCACAATGGAAACTGAAAGGATAATGTGACATACCTCCTGGTTGCAAAGAACTGAAATCCAGGAGCCACTTTTAGACAGTCACCTCGGCCAGGAATCAAGAGCTCTCCATTCTCCAAGAGAGGGATCAGTACAGAAACCTAAATCACAAAAACCCAGTGAAAAAGTTATTAAAACAAAAGTAACAAAAAAACAAAAACAAAAATGCCAACCTTCTCCAAATAATAAACACATTCTTAAAACCCCAGCTCTCATAGTGTAAACGAGGATCAAAAGGCAGGTGGGAAAGGCTGAGCCTCCCCACTCCAGAAGAACAAGTTATTCTTTCAACATTCCCTGAGTGCCTCCATGGACCAGAAGCAAGCAAGACCTTCAAAATTCAGACACGACTGAAGCTTCACAGGCTAGCAGCTAATGAGAGATAGCTATGCAAAGCACCACACAACATGACCAGTGTGAACCCAGAGATGTACAAAGTGATGTACAAAGAGTGGCTGTAAATCAGAAGTGAAGCCATCCCAGAGGTGATGACATTCACCAAGTCTGAAAGTATAAGCAGGTAGGTATTAGCCAGGTTTGACGGGAGTGAAATGGCACATACACTCCAGGCAAAATATTCAAATGGATAAAAATGTATATGCCTAGGTATGGCATGAAAGGACTATGTTATGGTTAGGGCAGAATGTGCATACGAAGTAGTGGAAAAATACAATGCTTAAAGACAGATGAAAAAGGGACTCCTGTGTTGAGCTAAGGAAGTTGAGTTTTTTCATGGAAGGTATTTAAAGGATTTTAGTCTGGAGGCAGGGAGGGAAATTACATTTTTTTATTTTAGATAACCAACTGTGCAACATTATGGAAGATAAACTAGCCTGGAGCAGAGTGAAAAAGGACAGCAGTTAGGTAAGAAAGAAAGGAAAAAAGGAAAGAGCCCTGGGCTAAGGCAGTGTGATAGGTGAGAATAAAATAGAAAGTCTGAGAAATGTAAGACTAAGGGAGAGACTAAAAGAGGGAGACGTCCAACTTCTCGTTTGGTAATTGTGTGGCAGAAAAGCTGTTTTGAGAATAAGCAGACATATTGGACAACTTGAATTTGAGCTAGCTAAGGAACATCCAAGTAGAGATTTTTCAAGAAAAGTGAGGACTGCATATATGGATCTGGGGATGTGAGTTTATAAAAGAAGTTTAAAAGAAAAAACAAAGAGCCAAGAAAGAGAGTTCTAAATTATCAGACATAATTTTCTTTGTTTTATACATGGCCAGGAGCTGAAAGGAAAGCCCAAAACAGCATAGAAGCAACTCCAAGATAATGCCAAAACTTGAAACTAAAAAAAACAACGACGACGATAACTAAAGGAGATCTGTAAAAGCTGCCTTAAAATATTAGCTGAGAAATTCTGAAAACAACAAAATAATCAAGGAATCAAGTATGGTTTTAAATAAACACAACTTCACTATGATGATAATTATGTTTAAGTATAATCAACAAGTATAAACAACACACCTTCTGAAAACAAATTAACAGAAGGGGAATGGTCTGCACAAAATGCAACTCAAAGTACAAGAATTTTCTGATGTTTATCAGACACTGCCAAAAGATCAAGACAAATCATCAGTTTGGCCTTGAATCTGGGCTTTGTCATCAAAGAATATACTTAGCAATAAGATAGTGATAGATCCCTAGGCTCTATCATGACATGGATGGAATATCACTCAGATTAATCTACCTTCTTGGGCTCTAATTCCACCATCCACCATTCTAATGATTTTCAGGTACCCTGATATCTGAAAAAAATTGCCCAGGAAAGAGCACTAGAAAGGGAAAAAAGTATCAACAAATGCTTTTAAATCTACCTGGTAGCTTATAATTCAGTTTTATTTTTAAGTCTCATTGGAAGGAATCAACGTTGGCTAATTAAGAAAAATGAGTTCCAGCCCTATAAAACTGAGTATTAAGACTTTAAAATGTGATGATCAAACTGAGGCTCTGCCTCGACCAATAATACCATTATATCTTTACCTCAGTAGACACTAAAATCATCATAATACACATGTATTTAGACACTCTTTTTCCTTCATATCTCCCTCCCCCTCTTCTCCTACCCTCCTTCTCTCCGTCCTTCTCTCCCCCCAACCCCATCTTGTTATTTTCATCTTGTTTCATCTATTTTCATGTTTATTCTGTAATTTGTTTTCTTTGTCATAGTTTATAGACTACAGAGAAAACATGGACTGCCTTTACAGCTATATTTTATACACATAGAAAAGTGATCTTTTTAAAAACAATAATATATTAGTATATCCTATATCTTTTCCTCAGCAGATCAAAGACAAGCACACTCTTAATACAGCATCTATCCTCAGCCCACAGCTCTACAGATGCCATAAGTGGGAAGCAGAATCTCAAAGTGTATCTGTACCTCTTTTACAGATACACTGTTACAGTGTATCTGTAACAGAGGTAAGATGTTTCCCACTGGGCTGATTCATGGAAAGACTGATCACGTACTTGACTAAAGGAGGGAAAAACTTCTGTGAAACTGGTCACATTCTACTACTAAAGGAAACAGTATAGTCGGAATTTTAGCAATTTTTTTTTTTTTAATCAAATAAGAAACTAGTCAAGTAAACCAAGACCTCAAACCAGATTAAGTAGGTAACAATGAATGACCTTCTTACATTTCTTTAATCAAACTCCTATGTTTAAATTATCCCCTAGAATCACTAACAAATGCTCTGTAAAGACAAGGAATTAGCAAAGCCACATACCACGTCTAAGGGGGCATAATCAATATCCTCCAGTAGGATCCAGTGTCCCTTTGTGGCTGCCTGTGTCAGGGTGCCAGGCTGCCACACAAACTCTCCTGGGACATCTGTGCAGCGGTACATTCCCAGCAGCATCTGTAGAAAGACAATAAATTACTCAAATCATACATCTGAGGTATCACTGCTATATCTTTTAATTCCATTAAACTTCTAAATATATATGTAGTGTGTGATCAGATATATATATTAAAAAGCATAAGGGACTGTCCAACCGGTACTGTGACGCACACTGACCATCAGGGGGCAGATGCTCAATGCAGGAGCTGCAGAGTTGCAATGGCTTGGCAGCTGAGGTCCTAGGGTGATGCACCCAGAACCAGACAGGAGGAAGCCCAATTCTGGGATGAGTCATCTGAGAACTGCCCTCTTGCAATCTGGGACCCCTTTGGGGGAGTCAGAGAGCAGTTTTGGCCCAATTCCTGAGGCCAGGCCCAGGGACCCCACCAGTGCACAAACCCATGCATCAGGCCTATAGGAGTAATATAAGCAAGTATTTGAGGTTTTTAGAGCTTGATCCCATCAGTTCTGAAAGACCAGTAACTATTATCATAGTCTCTTAGCAAAAACAATATTTTAGTGCAAACAGTTATAAGCATCTGAATTCCCCCAAAACTGCCACTTTTTAATTACCTTACTGTCGGTCTGATCTCCAAGCTGAACTTTGAGAAGCTCAGGGGGTTTCCTTCTACCTGTCATTGAAGCTAAATGTTCAACTAAAGAAGTTTTGCCGCATCCTATTGGTCCTTCCAACAACACAGCATTCTGAGAAGCCACTGCCATAGCCAGGGTCTGAAGATTTTTGCAGACTGACTCAACCAGTACATAAGACTTAAAAGCCAGCTCTTGTTCATGAGAAGAACTCCTGTTACTAGCCTAAGGAGGCAAGTGAGAAACAAAAAGCATATTAAAAATGAGTCCTTTCTCCAAAAGGCACAGGTTAATTAAATTTCTACAATGCTTCCTCTGATCTTTATATAAACCTCTGCCAATATATTAGTAATACCAGAAGCACAAGAATAGATATATTATCCAAAGTAAAGATCTGACTTTTTTTTCTTTCCTTTCTCCCTTCCTCAACTCCTGCTTTTGGGGGAGAAAGTAAAAAATTCACTAACAAATTTAAGAAGTTTCCCAAAATTTCAGAAGCCAAAAAGCTGACACACAAACGATGGGGACCAACTACAACTGGATTATTTTTGTTTTCCTTCCTCTCACCATATCCTAGGGTTTCATATAAAGATAGAGAATGCATAAAAGCCCTGGCTGGTGTGGCTCAGTTGGTTGAAGCATTGTCCCATACACCAGAAAGTAGCAAGTTTGATCCCCGCTCACGGTACGAGTAGGAGGCAGCCAATTGATTTAAGTGCTTTTCTTTTACATATATTCTAAAATATTTAGATATGAAATGATGTAGCATCTGGGAGCTGCTTTCAAAATAATTTGGTATAAAGAAAAAGTGCAGAAATAACCATGAAATATAAGCTCTAACCCGGTTTGGCTCAGTGGATAGAGCATTGGCCTGCGGACACAAGGGTCCCAGGTTTGATTCTGATTAAGGGCATGTACCTTGGTTGCAGGCACACCACCAGTAGGGGGTGTGCAGGAGGCAGCTGATCTATGCTTTCCCTCACTGATGTTTCTAACTCTCTCCCTCTCCCTTCCTCTTTGAAAAAAGAATCAATAAAATATTTATTTAATCACAAATTTATAATTATTGAAGAGTGTTGGGTAGGTAAATGGAGGTTCATTACACCATTGTTTCTACTTTAGAATGTCTTTAACATTTTCCATAACAAAAAAGTTAAAAATAATAAAATAATGTGCCAAATATGTTTAATGGGTACAGGATTTCAGCTTTGCAAGATGAAGATGTTCTGAAATTTGCACAACAATGTGAATATACTTAACACTGTTGACATGCACACTAAAAAAAAGTTTAAGATGGTAAATATTATGTGTATTTTACCACCATTACAAAATTTCTTTAAGTAACAATGCACCTGACATAATAGAGGAAAAATGATCTCTTGGAAAAGTGGGATGATTATTATCTTTTAAGGAATAATAATTCTCTAATATGGCTAGTCCCTTAAAGATATGTGAGGATAAAATAAGATTCAGGGATCAAAGTTATTTGCAACTTCCTGAAGGGCTATTACTACAGCAGTTTAGCAGGTGGGTTAGGCCATAGCACTCTGCCCCCAGTGCCCTGCCATTGCTACCCAACATCAAGCTCACTCCAACCAGAATCCTTCCTATATTAAAATTCTAATTCTCTAAATATAATCTATGTAAGGAGAATGGTTAAGAGAGATGAATTTTAGTGACTAGAAGGAAACACAGGGATTTGGAAGTGGTTACACAGATATATCCAGTTCATGAATAATCATTGAAATGTACACTTAATATGTGTGCTTTTTACATGTATACTGTACTACTTCTTTTTTGTTTTTTAATTGCACTACGAAGTGACAAAACCGATGGTTCAAGGCAAACCCAGGACTTCTTCCAAGAAGAAAACTGGGTAAGTCTGACCCAAGTAACAACTTATTAAAGACTGCTAGGGAGGCCCAGCCAGTTTGGTTCAGTGGATAGAGTGTCAACCTCCAGACTGAAGGGTCCTAGATTTGATTCTGGTCAAGGGCACATACCTTGGTTGCCCTTGGCCCTGGTGGGAGTGCATGCAGGAGGCAACCAATTGATGTATCTCTCTCACATGGATGTTTATCTGTCTCTCCCTCTCCCTTCTATTCTCTTTAAAAATCAATGGAGAAATATCGAGTGAAGATTAACCAACCAACAAACAAACAAACAAACAAAAAAGACTGCTGGGGGGGAAAACAGAAAACAGAACAGCTCTCAGTGATTCCAGATTATAGAATCAGATTATAAACTGTTAAGTCTTTCCAAAATGTGATCTAGAGCCACACTTCTTGGAAAGGCCATTTCATATGGCAGGGGAAAATTCTCTATAGATACCAGCATCCTCCATAACAGACAAAGAGAAAATTCTGACAGAAACAGGTGACTGGGATTTAGACCCGGGCCTACCCGTGTTAGCCAATGTGCAACCCAGGTGTCTCTGGGCAATTCAGTCTGTCTTTGTTTTACATAAATATTGTATTATAACTTGTGTCACCCAACTTCACAGTTGTCATAGTAAATAAATGAGAGGATATATAGAAGAGCTTTGCTAAAGTTAAGAGTGCCACACAAGCATTGTTATAGTTTCTAATTTACCATTAAATAAGGAGAAGGGCTTGAGTAAATGTCTCTTTATCGTTTGTAAATGGAATAGCAAATTGGCAAACTCGATTTGGCCTATTATTGGTGCTCAGGAGGGGAAGGGGGCACACATCCTACTGAGGCCAACATACCTGCTCTCCAGGGGTTGGTGGCTGCCCAGGCAGCACCACACCACAGACAGCAGTCACCCTGGAGGAGAGGTCAGCTGAAACAAGATGGCCCTGTGAGTACTGCAGTTCCTTCTCCTTACGCCACAGGGAAGCTTCTGGATTGGCCAAAACCAAGGCCTTCTCCAAGTCCTGCAGCTGGGCCTCTTCTAGTAACCTGAGTGAAATGAGGATCTCATCAATAACCTTAATCCAGAGTAAACCACATCAAGGTCCTCAGAAATGTTCCTGCTTACCTCAACCTGAAATGGATCAGTTCCTCACTATTAAAAATCTTCTTAAGGAATGATAGCTTGTGCTCCTCATTCATGCAAGTTACCACAGCAAGACAATGGGCTGTGTACCTGGAGAAAATCAAAGTATACAATTCAGGACCTGCAGGTGATTCTAAAGAATAAAGAAAATTCGATAGCCAACTGAATGCTAAAAAAGGAAATCTTGTAGAATTAAAATAACACATTTAACAGTAGAAAACATAAATCAGGCATAATGAATTCTCTTGACAGAACATGGAACAGGCAAAACTCCATTCAAATCATCTCATTTTCCTCTGGTGTGACACACAAGTAAGGAAAGAAAGTAAGAACTCAAAAGTCACCAGCACAAAGATAACATATTAAATGGTTTCTTTTCCCTCCTTAGGCACACAATACTATACTCTCCCCAACATCCCCATTCTAGAGCACAGGAAAAATCCAACAGCTACGCACCAGCGGACCAAGGTGTCGTGGCTTCTGAGGAGAGGAACACACACACTCCAGTCCCACAGCTCCCGGAACACAGACTGCTCCTGCTGTAAAAACTTGTAGGCTGCTTCCATTAGGTCCCGGAGCTTCATCCGCCTGCGCCCATAGCGGACTGTATTAGCATCTGAACTCTCTAGGAAGAGTCTTTGAAAGACTGGAGAAGTGTCCTTGAAATACCTCAGGGCAAACCTTCAGAAAGAGAATTTTTATTTATTGGTGAGGAATTCAATGTATACATCTTCACTTTAAGACAGGATAGCAGAACATAATAAGAACTCACCAGGGACTGAGAACAAACAGAGACAGATGATAAAGCTCCCTAGTCCTAAGATTATATGTGTTCAAGTTCAGGAACCAGGATCATGGCATGAGATATCTGACTAAGAGAATACAAACACCAGAGGTACTTATTTTGCAAGTATTTACTACTGAAAATGCACTTGTTTTCAACAAACATTAAGCCAGGCACTGTTAAATCCTGGATGTACAAAACCAAAGAGATAGTTTCCTTGAGGAACTTGCTATCTAGTAAGGAAGACAGCCACTTACAGAAAACAATGAGAGGGGCATACAAAGAAAGAGTCAACGGAATCTTGGTTGCTTATTAAAGATGAAGAGAAGATTCTCATGAAACAAAAGGCAATCACATTATAAAAGAATGACAAAAGCTTCAAGACATACAAAAGAAATTAACAAAATAGCAAGAGGAAGTCCTTCTCTATCAGTATTACTTTAAATGTAAATGGTTTAAACTTCAAACAAAAGACATAGATCAGTTGAATGGATTTTTTTTAAGAAAGCTCAAACTACACACAATCTATAAGAAACTCATTCTGGACTCAAGAGCACACTGAAAGTAAAGAAATAAAAAATAATAATTCTGGCCCTGCCTGGTGTGGCTCACTCAGTTGAACCATCTTCCTGTCCTGTACACCAAAAGATGGAGGATTCCATTCCTGGTCAGGGCACATACCCAGGTGTGGGTTCAATTTGCAATCAGGGCACGTGCAGGAGGCAACTAATCAATGTTTCTCTCTCTGACTGGGAATCAAACTGATGGCTGCTTGGTGCACGGAACAATGAACAACCCACTGAGTGACACCTGTGAGGCAATATTTTTTTAATTCCATGCAAATAATAATCAAAAGGAAGCAGGGTGGCCTCTAGCTGGTTTTGCTCAGTAGATAGAGCATCAGCCTGCAGACTGAAGGGTCCCAGGTTCGATTCTAGTCAAGGGCACCTGCCAGGGTTGCGGGCTCGTCCCCAGTAGTGGGTGTATAGGAGGCAGCCAATCAATGATTCTCATCATTGATGTTTCTATCTCTCTCTTCCTTCTTCTCTGAAATCAATAAAAATATATTTTTTTAGCCGAAACCGGTTTGGCTCAGTGGTAGAGCGTCGGTCTGCGGACTGAAAGGTCCCAGGTTCGATTCCAGTCAGGGGCATGTATGTTGGTTTTGGGCACATCCCCGGTAGGGGGTGTGCAAAAGGCAGCTGGTCGATGTTTCTCTCTCATTGATGTTTCTAGCTCTTTCTCTCCCTTCCTCTCTGTAAAATATCAATAAAATATATATATACTTTTTTTTTTTAAAAGAAAATTTTGTTTATTGAGCACCCACAATATGTCAGACACTGTTTTTGAGTCCCGTGAGGTAGATACTATTATCATAAATGAACTTGGACTTGAACCCAAGGAGTCCAACAAATTTGTCCCTCTCACATCGATGTTTGTCTCTGTCTCTGTCTCTGTCTCTATCCCTCCCTTTCACTCTCTAAAAATCAATGGGAAAAATATCCTTGGGTGAGGATTAACAAAAAAACAACAACAAGCAAACAAACAAAAAAAAAACCCACATAAAAACATCTTAAGACTACCATGGTACCTCATGAAAACTCTAAATAAATTAACAGCGAGGCCTCAGAAAAAAGTATGAACCCAGAAATGAATGGCTTGGGGACCCCTTCCTGTCCCAGTCTCTAGATTTCCAACCCCATCACATTTCTTTTTTTTTTTTTCATTCTTCCTCCACAATCTGCCACAATATAAAGCCTTATCTAATTTCCAAGAGGATAACACACTCATTTCTGTTACTTTAATTATTTGCTTGCTCCCATTATCTATTTGGCTCACACCTTTTTTAACATATTGTATTCAATAGTTTTCAAGTATAGGAGCCCATTATATGTGATTTTCTTACCCCCATGATATGGTCTAGCGCTTAAAAGAGAGGACCTTCTATATGAATCTACTGACTAAATAACTGTATCCTATCTAAATATGTTAGGTATATTCCTAAAACATTAGGCATGTTTCCTCTATGTAAATCTGAGGCACATGTTAAACTAATCATCTGCATTTCTTAAAATTAAAAATCAAAATCTCATTCCACATTACTACCTTTAGTTCACTGCATATTACGCACAGCTTCTTTTTTTTTTGGGGGGGGGGGGGTTTGGTTTTAAGTTACTCTATCACAGGTAGCTGTACCTTTATAAGCTGCATTATATCATTTTGGAACAATGTAGGAGCATAAATAAAATATACTGCCCTGGCAAATTGTAAATTAAAAAAGTAGGTATGTACTTCACATTCATTTAATAAGAACATAAAATGTGAAGCTAATGGAAGACCAGATGTAGATAATACATCATTTTAATGATTCTGGAAGCACTCTACCATAAAGCCTTAAAGAGAAGTTGGGATTCAAGTTACCTACATGCCAATCCTACAGAACTGACTAGCACACCTTGTGAAATAGTACAAAGTCAAGAACACCTAGATGATTACCAAGTAAGGCCATAATCCCAATCCTCAACAAACCACACCACGTGTTCCTGATTACCACATATGATGCTATTCTTTCCTTTGCTGAATATTTTCTAGTTTAATACAACTAGGCCTATTTTCCCCTCCCCTTTTAGAAAAAAAGCTCATAAAAATTATGCCCTCCCCCCCCCAGCGTTCATTTCTTATTCCCTCATTTGAGGACCAAACTAGAGATCATACTTTCAAGAAAGCCAAATGTACTTAAACTACTACATTAAGAGATGGATATAAGAGATGCTCCTATTAGTACAAATAACATTATTTATATTTAGAGTAAATGTTCTTTACCTTCTCAATTAAAAAAACATTGAAAGTCATTTTCCTGCCTCTTTTGGCTATTCCACACAAATTATATTTTACTATTAATTTAAAAGAGAGCCCTGGCTGATTTTGCTCAGTGATTAGAGCATGTGTTTGGAATATGCCTATAACCCCAGATACTTCAGAAGCTGAGACAGGAGGCTTGTTTTAGCCCAGAAGTTCCACGCTTTATTATGTTATGCAATAAATTCAGCATTAATATGGTAATTACTGGGTGTGGGGGAATTACCATGTTTTCCAATGAGTGGTGAACTAGCCCAAACTGGAAATGGAGCAGGTTAAAAGAGAAATACATTAAAATACAGTTCTAACACAACTTCTCACCATACTGATTTGGACAGATTTTATAGAAAGCTAAAACGGATACTAGACCTCTAATTCATACCCTCAGTTCCTCTAGCAAGCTCCACAAAGCTCATACATTTGAAGTGGATGCTTTAAGAGCCGCAGCTAAAACTTATTTAAGTATGCCTTATATGCATGTCTTGCCAGATGATATAATTCTTGGAGGAAAGAGACATATCTTGGCCATTTTTCTGTCTTGATGACCAAGACTTAAGAGAAACCTAATAAATGGTTACTGAACTGAGCTGGATAAAAAGAGTCTCTGTGATTATTTTTACAATACAGTACCACTTATCTCTTTCTTTCCTGTATTTTTCCTTTTCCATTCTCAGCTCAGACTCCTCCTTACTTCTCAGGAGAGAGCAGGTTCTACCTCCGCAAAGAGAAACATGAAAAATAATACTTTTACTTACGGGAGGACATCAGGATGGCTACCGATGAGCTTGCTCATTGACACACAGAGTCGTTCGTGTAGATCATGGTTGACTTGGCCTCCAGCTTTAATGGCTTCAGCATTCCGTTCCAGCAAATCCAAAAGGATAGGGCGGAATTGGCGACCGATCAGAATAGTATAGTCTTTATCCAGAAGTAACTGTGCTAAGGTATTTAGGATACACTGGCGATCTTGAGGTGTCCATACCTAAGAGAAAAGCCATACAAAAGATCTATATATACAATACTAGGGGCCCAGGGCACAAATTCATGCAGATTGGAAGGAACTGTGGGCCTCAAGGTTACAGTGGGCACAAGGACAAGTCTCACTCAGCTCATTCTCCATGCCCCCACATGCCCCCACCCGCCGCAGCCCTCAGTCCCCTCTGCTGCAGCTGATGCCAGCCCTGTTCATACCTTCCCACTGAAGGCACAGAGCGAATGGGGCCAGCGCTGGCAGCGGGTGTGAGCACTGAATAGAACCACAGCATGCGGGAGCAAACAATTTTCAGTAACCACCAGAGACTTGCCCTGATGACAGTGACCTGCACCCTGCCCTGGTCTGGCACCTCTGCCCACCTGCTCCACCATCCCATAGCCGATACCTGCCATGTTCCACGCAGGCTCCCCTTTCCCACACATCATAGCGACCTATTGTTTGATTGTTCCACTGTTCAGCCTATTTGCATATTAGGAATTTATATATATAGATTTGTTTGCACTGCCATAGAAGGGCCAAGAGTTCTAGCTTGGAATTAAAATAATCAATTTCCAGACTTCAAAAGTCAGTTTACCTTACATAACACCCTGGCCGGTGTGGCTCAGTTGATTGGAGCCTCATCCTGTACACCAAAAGGTGGTGGATTTGATTCCTGGTTAGGACACTAACCCAGGTTGAGAATTTGATTTCCGGTCAAGTATGTGTGGGAGGCAACTAATCAAAGTTTCCCTCTCACACAATATTTCTCTTTAAAATAAAATTTAAGAAACAACAAAACACAGTGGGTATGGCTGCTTAACTTCCCATGCCCAGCTCAAATCAGGACCCAGGTAACAGACAAGAGACTTAGCCGACAGCAGCTGCCCTCTCACTACGAGACTTGTTTGAGTTGTCTTGTACTCATCATGTGGGGAAGTGGGTTTTTGATATCTAAATCCAGCCTACCGGGGCAATGGACCTAAATAGAATCTTTTCAAAAGAAGACAGAAGGAAGGCCAAGAGGCATCCAAAAACATGCTCAAAGTCACTAATTATCTGAAAGATGCAAATCAAAACAACAATGCGGTACCATCTCACACCTGTCAAAATGGCTATCAACAACAAATCAACAAATGACAAGTGTTGGCGAGATTGCGGAGAAAAAGGAACCCTCATGCACTGCTGATGGGAATGCAGACTGGTGCAACTACTGTGGAGAAGAGTATGGAGCGTCCTCAAAAAAAACTGAAAATGGAACTCCCATTTGACCCAGTAATCCCACTCCTAGGAATAAATCCCAAGAAACTAGAAACACCAATCAAAAAGGATATATGCACCCTATGTTCATAGCAACACAATTCACAATAGCCTAGGTGCCCATCAGCAGATGATTGGATCCAAAAACTATGGTACATCTACACAATGGAATACTATGCTGCCATAAAAGAAGGAATTCTCATCATTTGCAGCAACCTGGATAGAATTGGAGAACATCATGCTGAGTGAAATAAGCAATGAAAGAGAAACACCACATGACCTCACTCATTTATGGATAATAAAGGACATTATAAACTGATGAACCAAAAGATAGAGACAGTAAAGCAACAAGCAGACTGTCAAATTACAGTGGGGAGGGTAGAGAGATATGGGGGAGATAGATCAACCGAAGGACTTGTATGCATGCATATAAGTATAACCAATGGACACAAAACTCTGGGGAGGGAGGGCATGTATGGGAGTTGGGGGGGGAGGGCAATGGTAAGATATGTACACATATAATAATTTAATAAAAAAGTAAAATGTTGTAAAATAAAAATAAATAAGAAAGAAAGAAAGAAAGAAAGAAAGAAAGAAAGAAAGAAAGAAAGAAAGAAAGAAAGAAAGAAAGAAAGAAATAATAAATCAATCCAGCCTACCACCAGGAATGTGCAGGCCCTATTCAAGAAGGCAAATAATTCTTTCCACTAATATTTACAGGGTAAAATAAGATTGCTGTTAGAGTAATAAAATTGACAGTAAAATAGTAGACAAGTTTTCAGGCTAATTTAAATTGGCTAACTTAAAATAAGCAAATAGCCTAGAAAAATTAATTGTACTGGTCAAAAAGCTGTTCCTAAAGTGTTAACTAAAATTTTTATTGGTAGTTCATCTCATAAAATTTCATAACATGTAATGAACCTACAACATTAATATTACAATGCAAAAAATTAAAATTTAAAAGCTATCAAGACTACATTAAAATTTTTTCAAAAGCCTCCTAATATTTAAATTAAAAAGGGGGTGGGGGGAATAGAAGAATATCATGTAAGGAAAAATATCCTGTAAGTAAATTACATCTAGAAAATTTGTACTTTAGAAAATTAATTGTAATGCTTACAGCAAGACACCCATGAAAAACACACATGATGTCAAAATAAGCCAGAGGAAAATCATTTGGGCAAAAAATGAAAAAGGATCCCAAGACAAATTTATAGAAAATATTCCTTTACTAATTTTTGGTTGAGAATATGTTTGTGTATTTTCAGGAAACAACTCCGAGACCATGTGGATTCCAGCAACAGAGAGGGATTGACAGGACTACTCCAGCCACAAAGACAGAAGAGAAGCAGTCCAGATATGGGAGACACTGACGTTGCCTTGCCATAATAGCAGTCAGCAGCTGTGTGTCACTGCAGGATGCCCAGGACCAAACCAGAGAGGGTCAGACCTGCATTAAAACCATTTGTCCACCATCCAGAACTGAAATATCATTGCTGACATACACATTGAACTTTTTGACATTGAAATTGGGTCTCAAAAGAACTGTTGGTTCAGAAAGAAACTCACTACAGACTGATTTATTTGCCCTTCAGCATAGCCATTATTTCTTCTCATTTTTGGTTCTTGTAAGTGTATTTCCAGTAGGGCGTGATCTCATTCATCTAGTGGAAATGATAAACAACATGGACTAATGAACAAGAACAGACCCAGAGACAAGGAGGCATGGATCGTACTGTTGGACTTCAGAGGGAGGGTGGGGATAAAAGAGAGATCAACCAAAGGACTTGTGTACATATCGATACATAGGAGCCTAACCAGTAGTCAAGGACAATGGGGGGGGGGGGTGGCATGAGTGAGAAGGGGTGTGGGATGGGATTGGGGGTATGAGGACAAATATGTGATACTTTAATCAATAAAGAAATTTTTTAAAAACACGGTTGTTTTTTGTTTTTGTTTTTCAATAGAGGATTAAAGTTAATTTAATGTAAAGGCTGTTACCAATAGGTCCACTGGAGTTTCAGATAAAAGGATTAATAGTGAATTCATGTAAAATACTATACAGCTTCTCTGAAAAATAATCTATGCTTCTGGGTCAAAACATTCTCCCAGGGCTCCTTTGCTCTTGAAGAAAAATATAGGAATTAAGTGAAAATAAACAAACAAAAAAATTTTAAACAAAATTGCCAACTCTCTTGAGGAAAGGGTAGAGATTAAGAAATCAATTCCTGACCCTAGCCAGTTTGGCTCAGTGGATAGAGCATCAGCATTCGGACCAGAGGGTTCCGGGTTCGAAATCAATCAAGGGCACATACCTGGGTTGCGAGCTTGGTCCCCACCATGGGGCATGCAAGAGGCAGCTGATCAATAATTCTCTCTCATCACTGATATTTCTATCTCTCTCCCTCTCCCTTCTTCTCTGAAATCAATAAAAATAAAAAATCAATATCTTAATATAAATAAAGCTATCCCTATAAAGCCTCCATTCTCTAATAAACAAATAAAACAAATCCAAAATAGACAATTACACAAGATGAAATACACTACGAAATTCTGGTGCCTGGGCTCAGAATGTCCATAACCATGATAGGGAAACTGTAAAGTGTATAAAAGGTCTCATGTTGCTAGTGTGTTCAGCACTGTACAACCTTTGCTGTCAGACAAAGCAACATACCCTTTAACCTAACAATCCCAATGCTATAAATTTATCTTAAGGAATTTCAAGTTAAACAGTTATCTATAAGAGTGCAGCTTGAGCACAATCTAAACACCATATGCAAAAACGTAACAATTTTTCCCAAAGTTATCATTCTGAAAAGAAATCACCTTCCCCAGAGCTCTTACAAAGTCTCCCAAATTATTGGGCCTTCTCTTCATAAAAACACCTAATTGTGAATAAAGCACTGATGGGGAAAGAATATTATCTTTAAACAAGTTCTATCAGTATTACTTCTGTTTATAGGGGCCACCCAAAGGACCTCATAAAATGGAGGCAAGGAAATTTAACAGATTTGGCCATGATATACAGAGGCATGACCTCACACATCTTCAACTGCCAAATGTCCCTCTAAATAATCCCCCTAAAAGTATATTTTTAAAATATAAAAATAAAATAACAGTAATATATTATGTGGTTATTCTGTGAAGAAAAAAAAAAACTTTACCATCTATAAAATAAACAAACATAACATGTCTAATTTCCCCGGGTTAATACAAAGCATCTATAGAAACCTAGCCAGCATCATAGTTAATACAAGAACAACCCAATTTAAAAGTGGATAAAAAGCCCTGGCTCATTGTTCAGTGGTTACTGTTACAGATGTTCTGCATCAACCTGAGGAAATTAAACGTTATTCAAATGGACACTTGTGAGCTAGGAAAAAACCTCCAGAAGACATTATGCAATCAACTTTTTCTTCAAAAGGAAATCTAGAAAACTGTGTTAGAGGAAACATTTAACTTTTTAAAAATCAACTTTATTGGCTTTTATAATATAACTTATATACAATAAAATGAAGCCATTTATACTAGACTGAGTTTTGAATATGTAAACACTGTGATACCTCCACCCCAATTAAAATATCAATCCAAAGTTTCCTCAAGTTCCTTTGCACCAACCCCTTCACTCTAGACAACCAATGACTTGATTTTATAACCATAAATTATAGATCTGCCTATTCTAGACCTTTACATAAATTGAATCATATGATATGTACTCTTTCCTGTCTAGCTTCTTTTGCTCAGTATTGATGCTTTTGGTAATCATACATGTAGTTGTATGCTTCAATAGTTTATTCCATTTTATTACTGACTAGTTTTTCACTGTATGAATATATTACAATTTGTTTTTCATTTATAAGGTGATGGATATTTTCACTGTTTCCAGCTATCATCAATAAAACTACTATGAACAATCATATACAAGAGGTTTATGGACATATATTCATCACTCTTAATCTTTTTCATTAACTATGACTGCTGGGTTATAGGGCAACTGTATGGTTCAACAGATAGTAAATTTGAATTTAAAAATTTTTTTTTCATGCTTAAAAGAAACGGTTTTCTAAATTAGTTGTACCAGTTTATACTCCACTAGCAATGTTGGAGAGTTCTAGTTGCTATATAACCCACCAACACACAGTATTGTCAGTCTTAATTTTAGCCAATCAAGAAGAGATCCAATGGTATCTGGGTGTGTTTTATAGGCATTCCCCTGATGACCAAAGAGGCTCATAAATTTTTAAATGTTTATGGGCATTCATTTATTATATTAGTTTTTTGTTTCTAATATGTGAAATATATGAAGAAATTGAGACTTAGGGGTATTAAGTAACTTTTCCAAAAAAGTCCCCAAAAGCAATTAAAGAAAATTATTTTGATTTTTAGCTATACTTCGTACTCATGCACCCTAAACACTCTGCTCTTCCAGAACATAGTGATCAAAGAGATAAGGATATGTGATATTACAAATTATAATAAGAAATATATATTTGGTCTTTGACTCTATCCCAGGCATAGACCTACCAAAATCCTTGGAATTTCCTGTGATGGAATAAAAGTGTCATCCCTTATGTTTATGAGGTTCATTTTTAAAAGCTGCCCAAGTTAGGGCTGGATAGAACCAACCAACTACAGGGAGGACAGAGGTGCTAGAAACAGATCAATCACCAATGGGCAAAGATTTAAATAATCATGCCTATGTAATGAAGCTTCCATAATTATCTAAAAGGACACGATATGGAGAACTTCTGGGTTGATGAACAGATGGACAGAGTGACACACTCAGAGAGCATGGACGCTCCAAACCCCTTCCCGTATACCATGCCCTATGCATCTCTTCCATCTGACAGTTTCTGAATTATATCCATTTATAGTAAACTGGTGATCTAGTAAGTAAAATGTTCCTCTGAATTCTAGAAATCGCTCCAGGAAATTAATCAAACCCAAGGAGAGGATAGTCAAAACCTCCAATCCACAGGCGGTCAGAAAGACAAGTGACAATAGTTCTTGCAATTAGCATCTAAGTGGGAGCAGAAGGGCAGTCTCACAGGACTGAGCCCTTCACCTGTGCGATCTGAAGCTATCTTCAGGTAGAAAATGTTAGACTTGAATTAAATTATATGACACTGCTTGGTGGTGTTGGAAAATTCACAAGCTGAAACTGGAGAATTGTAGGATGGTAGGAGTAGTAGAAATGAAGAGGAAAAATAGATTCAACACTGAGAAAGTAAATCAAGAAAAGTTGGCTGTATGTGAAGGAAAAAGAATGATGAGACCCTCAGTTCTTTATAAAATATGACTGGATGGAGAGGATGATATCACCAGCTTAAATAAGGAACACTGGAAGTAGCACAATCCTAAAAAAAAAAAAAAGTCTTAATTCATATATCAAACTCAAATGAGAAAATAGTATTTCAAAAATCTTTAACTTGCCAATAAAAATCATTTTGTTGCCCTAACTCAGTGGTCTGCATACTCATTAGTCAACAGAGCCAAATATCAACAGTACAAGGATTGAAATTTCTTCTGAGAGGCGAAAACCGACTTTTTTGCATGGGCTATGAAGTTTCAATCACACTGTATGAGGAATTTTGTGGAAGAGGCACACTCAAAAGGCCAAAGAGCCGAATGTGGCTCTGGAGCCGAAGTTTTCGGACCACTGCCCTCACTGGTTTGGCTCAGTAGATAGAGCGTCAGCCTGCAGACTGAAAGGTCCCGGGATCAGGGCATGTAAGTTGGTTGCGGGCACGTCCCCAGTGGGAGGTGTGCAGGAGGCAGGCTGATAGATGTTTCTTTTCTCATCAATGTTTCTAACTCTCTATCCCTCTCCCTTCCTCTCTGTAAAAAATCAATAAAAATATATTCCTTAAAAAAATCATTTTGTTTCCAAAAACAGGAGAAAATAGAATGGCAACACAATCAACTCTTATCTGAAATGGAAAGAAACAAACCTGAAAGATATGAGACAGGACAGAACTTGCAGACCAGTGAGGCAAAGAAAAGGAAGGCAAGTGGTCCCAGTAACATTGCTAATATGGTTTCCTAAAACCATTTCCCCAACCTGCTCCCAATATGTAAACAATTTTGCATCCCCTCAGTATGGAATCATAAATCCCCTGTTGCTGGTCTGTGATTTCTAGATTCAGAACCTCTGCTAAATTCTAAAGCCCGTTTACATTAAATAATAATAATAATAATAATAATAATAATCTCTAGCAACAATACATAAATCAGGCACTTGTCACAAACTCAGCTCATTTAAACTGATGTCTTTCCTTACTCCAGCACACCAAAAATCAATTTTCTTTCTAAACCTCCCCATTTGTGTTAGTGATTTCCTTCACTGGGGGCTCAAGACCAGAAACCCCAGGGATACTTTCCACATCTTCCTCCTCTTTGCTTCACATGTTCAATTTGTTATTTCCAAACAGAAATGCCTCTCATATTAGTTCTCTGCCGCTCCAGATCCAAAAAGTACCAGACCCAAAATACTGGCATAGGTTCCTAAGCAATGGGATATATAAAGACAATGCATCTGTGACTAAGTTCTATGTACAGGAGTTAGGGGCTACGGGGAAGGAGTACATTCTATTTTGAAGAAGCTCACAGATACTGGGGCCGGGGAAGCATAAAATAGGAAATTAAAATGAAAAATGAAAAAAGCGTGATAAGAATTCAAAACAGACGTGAGTGGGAGGGTGGAGAAGTAGGAGGGAGGCCAAAGGCTTTTAAAAGACCAAAGACCCGTTTCCCAGAAAACTCTAATTTACCTCGTAATTACTACGGTGTCATGCACTTAGCACTGTGTTTCTTTTTTCTGTGTTTCTTTTTTCCCCCCTTCAGGCGTTTTCTGGTCATGAACTGTCTCCAAAAATAAATGTTAAATTCCTTGGGAGCAGAGACGGTAACGGATTTATTTATCTGTCTCCCCACAAAAACCACACTGTGCCTTAGGCACAGCAGGAACGCAATCAATACTTGTCAAAGTGCCCAAAGGAATGGACAGGGCAGAACAGAAACAGACTCATCCATACGCACAGAGGGGGCTGGACCCTGGACACTGAAGTAAGACGCACGGCAAAAGGGCAGACTTCCACCTCCTTTACAGAAAAAACACCCATTTCTTCCCAAAGGCCAGGTCTGCCCCCGGGTCTGCCACATGGGGCAAGTCGGTGGAGAAAGAAAGGGAAGCCCCCCCCCCCCAAATTAAAAACAAACACACACACACACACAAAAAAAACAAAAAACAAAGGCTCTTTCCAATCTCGACAAGCGCGCGGACGCCTCCGCCGCCGGCCAGCCGGGAGGATGGGGCCAGCAGGACCAGAAGCCGCCCCTCTCTCCCCGCAAAGCAGCGAGTCGCGGGGCAGGGCCGCGCGCGGGGCGCCCGGGAGGGCGGCCGGGCATCCCCCCTCCCGCGCGGGCTCTTACCTGCTTGGCCAAGAACCTGCCCAGCTCGCTGCGGCTCTTCTCGTTCTTGGCAGCGATTAAACGCAGCGGCGCGGCCGCCACCTCCAGCAAGAGGTGCTCCATGGCCACCGGCGCTCCCGGCTTCGCGCTCAGAGCCCCAGAGCCTCCGGGGTTCCTGAACCCGGGATGCCGACAACTACGCCCCCCAAGAAGAGCGGCCGCCGCAGCCCCGCGAACCCTGGGAGAGCGGCGGCGCACGTGGGGGAGCACGCGGCGCGCTGCGTCATCACCCCGCGACGCCGCCAGCGCCCAGGAGGCCCCGCCCCCGCCCCGCCTCCTCGGCAGCGGAAACGTCAGGCGTTACTGCTGCGTCAGTTGCGGGAGGGAATGCTAGCAGAATGGGCGTATTCCACTCGGTTCCTGTGCCTAGTGATGGGAAATGGGGAGATGACGCGCTGCAGGACCAGGAGACTGAAGATTCTGCCAACATGAAGAAGCGAGGAAGATAGAAACGGCAATGATGAGAGACAATCCTTGATCAGCTGCCACCTGCACCCCTTCCCCCATCCCCCACTGGGGATTGAACAATCTGCAATCCGGACATATGCCCTGACCTGGAATTGAACCATGACCTCCTGGTTCATAGGTGGACACTCATTGGGCCACACTGGTAGGGCAGAAGTTGCTTTGTTGTTGTCAATCCTCACTAGAGGATTTTATATATAAACCTGGGACCCTTCATTTCGCAGGCTGACGCTCCATCCACTGAGCCACACCAGGTTGAGCAGAAATTGCTTTCTTAAAAGCAATTTGCAATTGTTTTATGGAGTTTGAACATTGGCACTGGTTGAGATCTTTCAAGATAATATTTTTAAATTAATCACTATTTTTTATTCAATATAACGTATTTAAGAGAGTGCCAATGAAATGAGAGACTTTGTAATAATTTCAATAATAAGGTCACTTTTTCCTGGAAGATAATTTTTGGGGAAATCTTTACTTATTTTTGAAGTATCTGTGCTGTTCTCAATAAGTATTTTTGATGAGTGTTATGCTGAAAGCCAATATTCAATCATTTGCTAAATTTCCTTGATGTTATCTCCTAAATATTTAAAAATCTATCCCCTTTCTTACCTACCATCTTCAGATCCTCATTTCTCTAACATGCATCACTACAAGAACATTTCAGAATCCTCCTTCTCAAGGCCAAAGGATTTTTTTTTTTATGTATGTTTTTATGTATGAGAGAAAAGGAGAGGGAGAGAGAGATAGAAACATCAGAGATGAGAATCACCCATTGATCACCTGCATCCTACATGCCCCCTATTGGAATCCAGCTCAAAACCTGGGCATGTGCCCTGACCAGAATCTAACTCTGACCTCCTGGTTCAAAGGTCAAAGCTCAATCACTGAGCCACACTGGCCAGCAAGGCCAAAGGATCTTAATAATGTAAATTACATCAATACAACCTCAAGCTTAAAATCCTTCCGTGGTCCCCAGGCCTCATCATTTAAAGGTAACTTCCAAGTTCTTTGGCATCTATATGGCCTTTCAAGATCTGATTCCTGCTTCCCTCTCCAGGCTTTCCGCTCCAGCAAGAATGAAAGCCTTGTGGTAGTGGCCCTTACTCTTTCCCAACCTCCACTATCTGGAATGCTTAAGTATCTTGAATTTCATAGGAGCTAAGCTGGTTGGGGGAGGGGTCTAGGAAGCCAGTGTTCTCCCCAAACATTCTCCCACATGGGGGTCTTTTAGAAAAATTATAAATATGTAACAAGTTGATATGGCAGTTGCAATTTGAAGTTGATAGACCCTCCCTTCAGAAGTAGCAGAGGAAGTTGGTTTTGTTTCACTTCCTCACCAGCCAAGGGTGCAGACTTCCCCTCTGGCGGGAACCCTACAGGCACCTTGGGTTCTTGCAGGTTCTATCCAACCAACCATTCAGGTATTCACCCTTTACACATCCTCTCCCTCCCCTTACCAGACTGACATCCTTCCTCAAAACTCCCAACCTCTGGGCTCAGTGGTTTGCCTACCATCCAGGGCAGTGTCAGGGCCTAGAACAGCGCTAATTCATGGTTATCGAGCGCAGTGCCCAGCACCACGTCTAGAACGTGGGTGATAACCCAAAGAATTTTGGGGGTGAAGGACTAAATAAAGACAAGACCTTTTCGGAGCTTACTTTCCTTTTCGCGAAAAGAGCTTTTCCCAGGCCCGCCCCTGCCCGGGTTGAGGTTCCACCCCTTCCGTAGGGAAGCTGCCTCCGGCCTTCCCCGCCAGCCCGGCCCCGCCCTCCCCCTGCCCGGCCCCCGCAGCCTGCTTGGCTGGAGTTTGGCGCCAACCGTGGGTTTGCCTCCCCGGCGGACGGCGGGAACTAGTGAGATGCGCCGGGACGTGCTGTGCGTCGGGCCTGATTGGCCAGGGGCGCGCAGTCCCGCCTCCGCGTCCCGGCTGAGCTCTGGCATTGGGCAGAGATGCCAGGGGGACCTCGCTGTGCAGAGAGGAGGATTCCGGGCTGTGCTGGGCCGGACCGGGTGGGTAAGTTGCCGACTGGGTCCGGTCCGTACAGCGCTGCGGGGGAAGAGGCTGCATGGCGAGGTAGTGCCCCGAGCGGAGGCCGGCGGCGTGCCGGGAGCCGAGGGTTCGAGGAGAGCGGCGGGGCCAGGAGGGGTGGGCGCGCCCGGGGTCCGGGGCCCGGGCAGCCGCTTCCCGTCGCTCTCGGTTGCAGCCTCTGGGCTCGCACTCGCTCCTGGAAGGAGGGTCCAGGCTGGTGCTGGGGCGAGTGTAAGCAGGAGCTGCGATTTAGACAGCCCTTTTTCCAACCCCCGGGAGCCCACCCCAAGAAAATACACAATTTCGTTTTGGGGTGTACTCTTAAAGGCTTTCGGATGGGACTTTTTGGAGGAATGGGTCTTCCTAAGCGCCAATTGGGGTGATCGTGGGCGTGGTTGTTGGGGAGACTGTGTGGCCAAGAGAATTTTCTTGATCTCCTCTGCGCCTAGAACCATGACACATAGTAGGCCCTAACTCAGATGTTAGTGTGGAATTTGCAGAATTTCAGGATCGATGGTTCAGGGATCCATTTATTGGCGTTGACTCATTCTTCCCTGTTCTTTTCTAGGTTCTTTTCTGATCTGTTCCCATTCTTTTCAGCTCCAGCTCCAAACCTTTCCCTCTCCTCAAGGCCCCTTTCCCATTTCACTCAGTGCCTCTTGGGAGGTAAATAGAGGCATTCAGGGCAAGAATTTCTCTCTCCCCCCACCCCCACCCCAGTTATCTTCCAGCGTTTCTTGCCATTTTGCAAGGAGATGGTCCCCTTTAAATAAAATAAAATAAAAAAATAGGCTCTTCTCCCTAATATTCTTGATTTTGTCATCTAGCTTTAGAGACAGCTGGGATCCAATCCCAGACCTGCCACTTGCCAGCTCTTTAACTTTGGGGTAAATTTCTTGATCATCTGTATCTGTTTACTCATCTGTAAAAAGGGAAATTAATAGTAGTACACATCTCATAGGACTTGTGGAGGTTTTAAAGTAATTTAATAACGTATTTGGAATATTTATGTCGGTGTCTGGCTCATCTAAATGTATGGTTCACTAAATGTAGTGTTTGTTATTTTCTCCTTACATATTCTTCAGGAATTTTGCTATATTTAGATGTAGCCTTTCTCATGAGCCTCAAAATACACTCTTCCTCTCCTCTGGCTTTTTCCTATTTTTTTCTACAAATGCTTATTGCTTTCTCTCTTTTATTTTATTCTTTTTAAAAATTATTATTGCTTTCAGAGAGGAAGGGAGAGGAAGAGAGAGATGGAAACATTAATGATGAGAGATAATAATTGATGGGTTGACTCTTGCACACACACACACCCACAACCCAGGCATGTGCCCTTGACTGGAATCGAACTTGGGACCCTTCAGTCCGCAGACCAACTCTCTACCCACTGAGCAAATCATCTAGATCTCCTCTTCTATTTTATAAAAAATAAATTTTCCTTTCAACTCTTTAAGGCATTATCGTATCACAATGCTAGGTGATCCTTCTCTCATCTACTTCAACTTCATATCTGAATTTATTGGAGTTTTTCCTCAAAAAGTGATCTTGTAGCTCCTTCATATCATGTTTCTCAATGTTTCAAATTTTGCTTTTACAGTTTTCATAGGTGCAACATTCTTATCAGTATCAACTCTCATGGTATATTGAGATCCTCAGTTGGGGAAAGGTGAGAGCAAGTGTGCAGAAGCCCCTCTTCGTCTTCCCAGGAGCTGCAGATAGATAATCCCTCCTCCTCTTTTTCCTCTCTTCCTTTCCAGGACAATCATTGGCCTTTGTGATGCCAAGAGACTAATCTCAACTGTACCCGTTTTGTCTTGCCTTCTCTACTATATACTGTGGTTTCCAGCTATGTGTGAAACACCTTCTCCTGGATGTCCTACTGATGGCTCAACATGTCTTCTTTGGTTCTCAGTTTCAGTTAAAAGCATGAATACTTTGTTATTAAAGCTAGAAACCTTAGGGTTGTCTTTTAATAAATTGGGAATTTCATTAATTCAACTTTTTTTATTTTATTACTACCAACCTGCCAGACCCTGTACTGGGGATACAGTGGTGAATAGAAGAAAGCCTGTTTTGATAGTATTCATGGAACTCTAGTCCAGTGGGTGAGATGGACATTTCATCAGGAATGCCACAAAATATGTAACCACAAACTGAAAAGAAACATTACTTAAGCAAAAATATCAAAGATGAGTTAGTTAACTGAAGGTAGAGCTTCAAGGAAAGTACACTGTCTGCCGAGATTCTGTGGTGGAAAGGAGCAAATGTCTTGTTCAAAAAGCTGATAAAGGCAATGATCAGAGCAAAGACTGTTGGGAATGGGGAGAAATATGCAGACTAACACTGGAGGGGTAGGCTGAGGTCAGATCACTCAGAGATTTGTAAGAATTATGACAAATTTTGTTTTTTATCCTAAAATCAGCAGAAAGCATTGAAGAATTTTAAGTAGAGAAGGGATTATGATTAGATTTTTATTTGGAAAAGACACTCAGGCTGTGCTTTTGAAGTGGTTAGGAGTGGACATTTGGCTCTGACCAGTTTTGCTCAGTGATTATAGTGTCAGCCT